GCTTGAGTGAGTTTCACTGTAACTGCAATGACCATTACGTCTTTGTGAAGAAACATAACAGTTTTCCGTATCTTAGCGAACATTTACGTCATGTTTATCATGATATCAGCAGAACTTTTTTCTTATCTCTCCAAAGTCTAAGACCGTATTGGAGTTGTAGCGAAGTGCAAAATATGAACTGTGCATTGTGCAATTCTCCAATGCACACAGTTTCATGTAAATTACACCATAATTGAATGCAACTATTTTCCTTTGATAAGACCAAACTGTGGAGATTTGGTTGCAGAGTTGAGACAATCGATTGCATCAATTTCATCGCTTTGTCTGTAATCCAAAAGGCTACAGAGCATAGTAAATCAGCGGCTACGTATGCAATATTTGCTTGCTTCAATCATGTCACTTCAAGTAGGGGAGAGTGGGGAAAGATGCCCAGGGTTTTACTATGTCATATATTATTCGAAAATGACGATCGGAAAGCAAAAACTTTGAGTTTCAACGGAAGGCAACATCATTTGTCTCCAAAAATATCACACTTTCGTGCCTGAAATATTATAACTTTTTTGCTATTAAGCATTTTCCTGAAGAAGTGAAAGGGGGCATCTTACCCCACAGGGTGGGAAAGACGCCCCCTGGCGTTGGGAAAGATGCCCCCCTGCACTATAAGTGACATAAATGGGCACGTGAATCGCCTGAACGAATCAGTAGTCCATTCGAGCCTGCAGTAGACACCAAACGTCATCGTAAGGGCCCTCAAAAGTAGTCGTAAGGGGCTTCAGAGGTCATCGTTAGGGCCATTATAGTCCAGCGCGGCCAAACAAGCCTCCGTGGTGGCGTTCGGAGACCACTGTGGGGCCCGTATAGGTCTTCATGATGCTTGAGGGCCCTCAAGCCCATCGTGGGGACCTCAGATGCCAGTGCGGCCCGTGGAGCCAACGTGGGAGCCCTCAAAGGATGTCGTAAGGGGCCCTGGAGCCAATAATGGGGCCCACAGAGGCCGTCGTGAGGGCTCTCAGAGTCATGCCGCCCAAAAAGTCGCTGTGTGGGCCGAGAGGCCCGCATGGGGAGCACCCGCCCGTACTGGACTCTCAATAGTCCCAGATCGGCTTTTGTCTCTCATCACAAGTATGTAATGAATGATTTGACGGGCTGCTTGAAGGACAGCCTACGGATTTAGGGGGCGTCTTTCCCCATCAGGACAGGGGGCATCTTACCCCAAGGTACCGAAGTAACATTAAATCAGTACAATTTGTTAGCCATAAAACTACACCCTGAAACAAACTGTTTGGGACACAGTACACGCATGTTAATATATCACGACTAGAACAAGGGACGCAAAAATTATCTATCTTCTTTGATATTTACAATGTTTTGACACCAAAATATTTTTTGAAAGCAGCAAATAAAAAACATGCAATCACCAGCCAGCCGTTGCCCAACTGAGCTTCGCAAATTTTTGTGCAGTTAACAAGGCAGGTTTCCGCTTTACGCTATGAACATTAATTTCCAGGTTCGATTCATTGTTTCGCCGCTAGAGGGGGTGGGGCGTCTTTCCCACCCTGGGCATCTTACCCCACTCTCCCCTAACTATAGCATGGCATTTCTTTTATGCATATTATACCAAATTATACGCATTATAATTCAATGATGTTCAATCATCATTAGTCACTTTGTACCATTACGTCAATGAGTCGTTCCCAGCGGGCCGGGACCGCTCCAGAAGTCGACTCCCGTTGTGTCGTTCTGGCGGCAGCGATAAGTCACTTTCTTCCGGCCGGAACCGAGCCGAAGAACCGTTACCAGCGGAACAGCTGCCGCGGCGGCGTGCGGCGGCGCGCTGGAGACGTGGAGCGGCGCACGGGAGGCTCTGTGACGCAGTGTGACGCACTGGCTGCACCGCTGTGACGGCGTAACGCCACTGCAGCGTGTTATATGTTCAAGCCAGTCCCGGGAGGTTTAACCGGAGCCTAAAGATATCGTTCCGTTCTTCACTAGCCTTATCCCAGTGTGCTGACTGATATCCCGTCTCGCTCCTGTCGTGGCTTCGCTCCCAGTTTTGGCCACGGCGCCAGCTCGGGCCCGGCTCGCCGCGGCTGGTTTGGACACGGTTCGCTGCGCATGGGCAGATACGGGCCTGAAGACGGACGGAGCGGGGCTGGGGGAGGGACCCATTCTTGGTAGCCGGGTGACCCTGTCGACGCCGCTGTACTGTCTACAGTGGGGCGTCCGTTCAAGCTTTGTTACGGTTTCTGTTTTATTACCTACGGCTTAAAGTATTGGTATTCACCTATGCTGTGTTTTGTACCCCTTACGGCGTATAGCTTACTCACTGTGACTATCGTGACAGATAAAACAGCTAAGGTGCCCTGCCTCGCGTGATTCCTTCCACAAAGGGCACATGTGTATTCCGTATATATGTCCGAGGACCATGCTCGCTGTATCCTGATTCCGTGGTCGACTGCGCAGTCACGCCACACCGTCCAACATTGCACCACGGTGAACACAGGCAGGGCGTGCTGGCCGGCCGATCCACGGCGCAGTTCTATACGGCGCACCACTGCAGGCACGGCCGTGCCGCCGCCGTCCGTCACTGCATGTAGTGCACGGGCCGGGCCGGGCCGGTGGCGTCCGTCGTTTCACGGGCCGGCCGCCGGCGTCCCACAGCTCACCGCTGCTTGGACAGCGTGCAATGCACGATGCACACGGCAGGGTGTACGTGACCGCTGTGCACAGACGCCGCGGAGAGCGGAGATACGCCGGTCCTGCTGCTGTAGATACTGTGACGCCATCGGGTCTGCGTGTTCGAACAGAGATAGAAGCTAATATTACCATAGTCTGATAGTTTCGAAACTGAGGGGAAGGAAACTGCGTTGTGCTTCATATCACCATGTTCAGAAGTGGGGAGAAAGTTCGTTTTTGCAGCGGTGTACAAAATAATCCTGCTAGGAACAAAGACTTTACAGCTTTTGCTACGTCCGGCAAACGCTAGCAAAAGCAGCTCCATACTACTCGTATGTACAGCGTTGTGTCGGCTTCAGCTGCGGTGTGAATGGGAGACAGGCTGCAGTAGCGACTGTAGTAGCACCAGCGGCGGCAGTGGCAGGGGAGACTGTGTGTGGTGATGGTGCTGGGACACCCTCAGTCAGGGTGTCGTCACGGAGCTTAGGGGGGGGGGGGGGAGGGGTGCCGCGCCCGCTGGGCAGGGGGTGTCATGGCCTATGTTTATGGCACCGACGCGTCTCCAGCCGGCGGAGCGGGCAGGGGCGCGGTATGACGTTCAAGGCATGATCACTAGAGAAGGGACAGGTACGGAACCGTGACGGCAGGTGAACGGGAAGAGGGGACAAGGTGGTGCCGATGCATAGGGTCATAGAGGGTTCATTGAGAAACTGATCATGTCCAAAAAATATACATTAGCAAACAATTGCGGCCATACGGTATTCAAGGCATTTCCCAGCGGTGCTCTTTAGGGCAGCTTTGACGCTTCATCCGGAGGCGTCACCAACTTTAGCTGCATTTTCCGCATTCTCCCCATTATTGGGCTTAAGTTTCGTGAAAGTTGGGGATAGTCTAGAGGTTCTGGAGAAGATCGTCGCTTTAATAATGATTTCAACTGATTTGAGGGAGGAAAAATGTGTCATGGCTTATGCATGCAAGGTATTAGCACTTCGCATCGCCTGATTGATAGCCAGGAACTCTTTCGCAAGCCCAGTGTGGGGCATAGCGCTCCATGCTTCCAGTTTTCACTGACTCACATGTTTATGTGTAGAATAGGTAGAGGTACCCTACATGATGTATTCCATGTTCCCCTTTTCTTCGGGATCTAACTGGTCATCGATGTCTACATCTTTGTCACATTTGCTAACCCGACTGCTCTTCTTCACTCGTGTGCTTCACGTTACACTTGCAATATTTCTGTTCATTATTCTTCCCCGCCCCGGCGGCCGCGGTCACAGTTCGCGGCCTGCCGGGGTGTCGCGTCACGTCACATTGGGTCACGTTAGGTTATGCACCGTGACACGTCACATTATGTGCCGTGGCGGAGTGTCAAAGTGGTGCATCACGACGGCCATGCTGAGGATGGCTCAGTCTGGTGACCCCGCTGAGCTACTGTAAAGGAGGCGCAGCCATGGATACAGGATCAGTGTCAGCGGAATCGAAGCAGAATGGTAATCCAATTACATAGGATTAACGTAGCGTCACGCGTGTATTTAATTTGAACCATGATTGGCCGAATGGCTACAGCTCCCATTGCTTCGAATGCAATAATCACCAGACCACCTACCAGCCAACCTATACTGTCCCACCGGTAAGCCGTACAGACGGTATAGGCACGGAGCTCGGCGGCGGCTCGGCCGTGTCCGTCCGCCCCCCCCCCCCCCCCCGGCCGCCTTCGTCCGTCACCAGTGCACAGCGGACGGTCACGCTTCGGTAGGGCACTGTGCAACCGCTGATGTCGGCAACAACAGCCCGAGACTCGAGCCGTGGAGACGGTAGATAAAGAGACTAGATAAATAACTGACCGAGATCGTCGGTATGTTAGTCACTGTACTCTCGGATATCTTTTTACCGTTTCATTCAAAACACCATGTAATCACGTGCAATAAGTACCTATCCAAGTAAGGATACACATTACACACAGCTGGTTATTTTGTTTGGTCGTGGTATGTTTTTGCCAGCCTGCCGCCCGGGTGATTCCAGCGCTATGGGTTAGGTTCTTGTGCGTCCGTCTGGACGTGCAGTCTCCAGTACCGGCCCGCGTCTTGTGGAGACTGCAGAGTCGCATAGGCAGCTAACACCAGCGGCGACCCCTACGCCGCCGGGGCGCTAGCCTCCGCGGCGCAGCGGACTGTGGAATGCAGAGCAGTTATGGGCGGCTACTGTTCCGAGATAGCTGGCGTGCTTCTCTGTTCGTCGCGAAATTCGGCAACGGGATGGGGACGACTGAAGCCTAGTCAGCCCGTTTCGTGCCGCTGTACTGACGTTTTTCCTCTTTTTCGCAGGATCAAGCCGAACAAGAGGAACTGGAGAGGATACATCGAGAGGAGGAAGACCGACTTTACCTGAAATTCGCCTCTCAAAGAGAACAAGAGGACCAACGGTTAAAAGAAGAATTCAAGGTATGTTAGCTGTTATGCACCGTCTCGTTACAGTAGCGTTAACGTGCATTAACTGTCACCAGACATGACAGCTTGCTATAATCCATCTCTCAACAGGTTGTCAATTGTTAGACAAGTAGGTAGGTAACTACTTAACTTCATAATCGCCAATTAGAATAGCGGCGACTATAAGAACGACACGTGTCTGCAGCATTCTCTTCACGTCACGCCTGCCTAATGGTTCCTCCTCATTAGACTCAGCACTATTTAAAAGTTTCGACCCCACACGGCTCGTTACCATTCGGCCTGTACCCGTCGGACGTCCCTTATCAGTGTCTCTCTCTGAGGTCTCGGGACCGGTCACCGGGCGCGCGGCGACGCCCGCCGCTCGGTCGGCATACCTCTGTCCTGTGTCCGTCGCCGGCGCGGCTGGCTCTCCAGTGACCCGGTCCGACGGCCCCAGTGTCCGCGCCGGCCGCCTCTCCACACCGAGCCGCGAGCCGCCGCTAACGGGACCGTCAATGGCCGCCTCTCGGTCGGTTCCGCCTGACAGACCAGCCGGCAGGCGGCCACAGGCGGGTGGAGGCGGACACAGGCGGGCACACAGAATGCAGGCGGATATAGGGAGATGGCTGACAGTGTGAGGAGGGCGGACAGGCCGCGCCGAGTCGAGCCGACCTGCCCCGCTGACAGTGGCCACATGGGCGGACCGATGCGCGTGCCTGCGCCTCCGGCACGCGCCGCGCCTCACCGTGTCGAACTGAGGGTGCGGCGCGACTGAGTGAGCTGACCGGTGTACCAAAGCCAGTATACCCCTGGGGACTGGGTCCGAGCGAGGCCCGAGGGTTTCAGCGTGTGGGCTGGCCGATCATAGGAGAGCACGCAGTGCGTGTGGCTCCGAATGGAGCATTGTGACGCTCTAACGGGGTTACCAATAATGGTCTATGATGACCTCACGAGAGTTGAAATCATCAGCCGAAATGATAGAGATGTAAGTACATACACTGCACATTGCGCAGGGAGCATTGTTAGGGGAGCCCGGAGCACGCATTGCTAGAACGAGTTCATCGTAAGGCTAGCCACGCATTCCCAAAGAGCATGTGTGAACCGCAAGAGCGGGAAAACTCCTGAGGGATTGCGTTATTCGTCAGGGTGACCGTGCTAAAAACTGTGTCACCAGTCACCACCCACCGGCGAACCTCGCCAGTAAACACAGCGGACCGTGCCCTGTGACGGTCCGACCCGCCCTCCGCGCAGAGGCCGGGCGGCGGCGGCGGCGGCGGCGGCGGTGGCGCGTGCCCCTGCGTTCGTCCCGGCGACCGCTTCCGCCGCCCATTGTGCCGCCCCCGCCCCCGCCCCCGCCGCCGCCGCCGCCCGGGCGTATTGTCCGACCAGAGTCCGAGCTCTCGCCGGTCCGCTCACCGCACTCCCAACTCTGCCCGACTCGTGTGTGACCAGAGTCAAACGAACGGTCAGAGAGGAGAGAGAGAGATTATAGAAATGGAGAAAATCGCCTCCCGGCCTCTCGCGGGGAGAGCGATGTGCTGATCATCTACTCAAAACGTGAACAGGGGATTTCCAGGGTTGTTAGTCTTTCTAATGGCCTGTTATATGCGATTATATCTGCTGACGATGCTGAATAAATCACTCATCGTAACGATGATAGGTGAGAGGCTGTACACAAAAGCTCTTACTGATATAGTACGAATTCATTTCGACATTTTTGAATGAAACATGCCTTGGGGGCACGTTTTTGAAGAATGTTGGAAGAATCCACAGACATTCGCTCATCTTATCTGCACTTTTCCTCATGGACTTCCTCATATATTCAATGTCTAGACTCTAAAGAGTCTTTCGATGTTTACAGATAATGCCTAAAAACTATATGCTTAATTGTTAACGTACCACGGATGTACTTACTGACTTGGCGGCAGGCGGATAGGTTGATGCTCCTTTTTTTCTCATCACATAATGATATTGCATCGCATTTGATTTGAAGCGTATTGGATTTGAAATCTTGTTCTGATTTACAGGAAGAATGGGAGAAGGAGCTGGAGAAGCTGACGGCCAAGTTCGAGAAGGACATGAGCAAACGAAGAAACAAAGACGATGTCAAGGTTCTTACCGTCAAACACCTGAAGGAAAAGGAAGAATTCGAAAAGAATATGACGATAAAACGCGAGAAGAAAAAAGAATCGATGACAAGAAAACTTTTGGAGCACGAGAGGTAAGTTTTTTAGTTTGATCTTATCGTATCGTAATCGTGTTGTAATCGAAATAAGCTCTAAGCGGTAACTAAGTTCGTTAACGGATCTTGGGTTAAATTTAGTCCGCACGAGCATGTGCCAAGATAGCCGCCGCTGCTTGCCATGTTAAAAATGCATACCTTCGGCGTATTCGAGGAGGAAAACCGGTCTTATAGAGCCGATGTAGGTGCCGCATTCCTTCCCCTGCAGTCGAACGTCCCTTGTCTGAAGTGACCTTGGCGACACGATTTTTGTCACCTTTGACTCGAGTGCCGCAAAAAGGCTTAGTTACGGTAGTTGTATTATGTCACGTCGCATTACGGCGTGGGAATGGAAACTTTGACCTACTGCCTTGAGTGCCTGCTTGTCTGTGAATTTGAGGATAATATCTTGTTTAATGCTGAAGAGGCAATAACTAATCCATTCTTAAAGTGCACAAAAACATGTACCGATCTCGAATTGATCATTCACCCAAGAACCCGTATTCGAGCGATGCCACCCCCGCCCCCCGTAGTACATCATTTTTAACCCGCGCGGGGCTGGGGGGGGGGGTAAATTTTACCCCCCCCCCCTCGCGAATTTTTGCGATATCTCAAAAACGGCGGCGCGCAGCGCCGCCAAACTTTCAGTACCTTTTCTTACATCAATTTGACACGTTCCCTGAAAATTTGAGCGAAATCCGTCGGAAATTTTTTGAGAAATTGGCGTTTTAGTGACGTCATGTTCGCCATTTTCGCCTCAAAAACGGCAAAACTTCAAACGCCGCTAACATCTTCATTTTTAAAGAAATCAAGACGTAACAAAAAAATTTTATGCGTAATTTTACTTTGTCTATCAAATGGCTATCTCAGTTTTTTGAAAATATTCGATTTTGGCCTAAATTTTTTCAAAAAACTGACTTTTTTGGGAAAATTATTATAAAATCCAAAATTTTGAGTCTATCGAAAAACCGGAATATATGTCAGAGAAGTGGTCTATGTGCACCTACATACCAAATTTTAGAAGAATCGGTTCAAAAATGTGGGAGTTATTCAAAATTTTATGACGTCACGACACACAATTTTTTTGAAAAATGACTTTTTTGGAAGTTCTAGACCTCGTACGGAAACAAAAATAGCACCATTCGATTCGTCGTGAAAAACTGCATCAGATAGACACCTTTTTAGGCCTTAACAACCAACTTTAAAATTTGACCTCACTTGACCTGACCTTGACCTGACCTCGACCTGAAATTCATCTAGAGGTGGTCCATATCACTTATTGAGTGTGACTATTGAATTCTATGAGTAAAATGACCCATAAAACATGTGTCGCACATGCCCTTTTCTATATTTTGTTTTTTGGTGACCTGACCTGACCTGACCTTGACCTTGACCTCTGAATGATATTGTATGCAACGAATATTGTCTTGGTAGCCTAAGAACACGTTTTGGGCGATCAGTCTCAGTCCATGACTCCATTCTTCGGTAACTACGGTGCAAGGCCGATACTGTAGAAACTTGCAATTTGTACCCTTGACCTGACCTTGACCTTGACCTCAAACTTAAAATTAAGTACATGTTTTTAGTAGTTCGTGATGAGAGCTTTCGATTGGCGTTTGAATTTTCCAAATCGGACCATTAGTTCGGGAGATAACGGGGGGGGGGGGGTAAAATTTACCCCCCCCCCCAGCCCCGCGCGTTCGGCTGGAGACCCCAGCCCCGCGCGGGTTAACGGGCGCTCATCACCACAGGGCGGCCACGGCGGCGCTGGTCGACAAGCAGAGCAAGGAGATGATGTCGCTCATCAACGAGCGCAAGATCGAGCACCTGATGACGCACCTGGGCGAGGAGCACGTGCAGGACGTGCCGGCCGAGCTGCACGAGTACCCGGCGCAGCCGCCGCCCCCCTCGCCGGCCACCGTCGGCAAAATCGAGATCTACGACGACCCGGAGGTGTTCAGCGAGGTCGACCAGCTGGCCATTCAGGTGGGGAACGGGAATAGAGGGGCGGTGGATGTCCAGATGGGTCTGGGATAGAGGGTACTGCATGTGAGTTGCGTTGGAATTGAAGTTGGATGCCCAGCTTTAAATAGAGGCAGGCAAAAATAGGCGTTTTTATGACAGCTATCGATGCAGTTTTTTTATCAGAAACAGTAAAGGGAATCACCCTTGTAACGTTAACTTTCGTCGTTCAGCTTAGCTCGTAAAACTCGCACCATGCCAGTTCTTACTTGTCTGCGTCATAAAGTAATTTGTGATGCAGTCTTTGCTCGACTATGGCGTATTATTATGATGGTAATTATAACCCAAACAATGGCACGTCTGGTGAAAAGTGCCGCGGAAACACGAGTAATTACATTTAGCGGCGGCGCATTGTTCCGCGCTGATAGGGCGGGCTGCTGTAGTGTCAGTCAGTAGGTATAATGTCACCCGTATTTGGGTCAGGCAGTGTGTCCGATCTCCTAATCCTCCTTCAGGTAGTATGTTGTCGCTGTATCGCCCCTGTGGCGTATGGCACCTCCATTGTAGTCTCCCGTCCACCGGCACGCGATAGGTGAGGTAGCGCCCGACCCGACACCCCCGGATTAATTCACCTTACAGTGGTCCGTCCGATATGGGGCGAGGCATGGGTCGGTCCTACTCCGCCCCCTCCCCCGGGGCTCGGTCGGTCCGTTAGAGCGCTCACAAAAGAAGCTCCTCCGAGTCTCACTGCGCCCTCGGCAGCACCCGCGCCCGTGACGGGAGCACAGCTCAGAGCTCACGAGCGTGCTAATTAATGATCACTCGCGCCGCCGCTATGACATTAACGATGGCAGCGTGGTGACCCGCGGCGACCTAACGTGACCCGCAGTGGCCTGAGATGTCTCTTTGGTGCTGCCAACGACCCCTCAAACACTCTTTAATTAAACAATTAGGGCTTCCCGGGAGGTCCATGACTCTCCCAGTCATATTTAGCGACGCTGAGGCCACCTGATATCACTCCTGCTACTTTCGCAAACGTTACTTTCTAACGACCCGTACCCTTATACAAAGAGCAGTCTCTGATCGACGCTAACTCGCCCTCAGGTGGCTCAAGAGGACCAGAAGACGTTCACCGACCTGATCCGGCAGCTGCTCGGAAACTACGCCTCCGACGTCGAAAAGGCCCGGTACGTTATGATAAGTATGATAAGTTAAAAAAACACAAACATGCATAGCCATGCGATTTGCTGAGTTTTGTGTGATATGTTGAGTGTGATGTCTTTTTGTTCCATTCTCATATGACGCGGGAGCGTAATAGCCACAACTACCTGTGGATGCCCCCCAGATGTTAAATACAATACAATACAATACAACACGGTAGCTTATAGACTTGTCCTCTCCCTCCGGAGCAGGGTGGGCGTATCTCATAAGCTACATACATCTACTTTGATTTGATCCTGCTGTAGGCAATGATATAGGGACAGAGAGAGCTGAGATGACATTGATGGGATGCGAGGAATAGGAGCTGGGAGAGGAGGGGAGGGAGCGGGAGGTATATATAGCGTGCGGAGGTGTCGTGACAGGCGCTACTGCGTGTCGGAGCGCGGCCCCGTGATGCGTGGGCGACCCACGTGCCGTTAGCTGTGGCCCGTAAACACAGCACTCAACAGAGTAGTTTACCGTAATGACGGGCTGGGCCCTGCAGTGGGGAGGGGTGTCACGGGACTGGGGAGGGGCTTGATGACATTGTTTTGCTGTGGATTACCTTTTTACACTGCCGCCGATGTAAATGATAAGTTAGCCATTTTTATTCATATCTGGAACTCTGTCGCTGATGTTCATTGCCCTGTCGTGCGCAGAACGGTGCGACGTCCCGCCTGCCCCTGGCTGCGGGACGAGTCTGTCAGGGAGGTCATGGCGGAGCGGGACGAGGCGCGGCGGGTGTGGGCCGCCTCGGGTTCAGTGACTGACCGTGACGTTTATAGGCGGCTCCGCAACAGAGCAAAGCTTCTTTTATCGCGTGCGCGCAGATCTTACCTGACTGATTCGCTTCAATGCGACGCGAGGCGTTTCTGGAGCCGTCTGAAGCGGTACGGTGCTGACTTGTCTGCGAGAGGCTCCAGAGGCGCACAACCACCCGATGACGACACACTGAGCGCTGACCAGCTCAATCGGCACTTCGCTGGTGTCGGCGCTCGTGTGGCAGCTGAGGCCGTGCGGGCCGTGCAGGGGAGTGAGACCCCCGCAGCTGGCCCGCGACCTCCCCGGGTGTGTTCGAGCGCCTTCACTCTGACTTGTATTACTCTGCCTGACCTGATCTTGACCGTGAGCCGGCTGAGTTCGTCGAGAGCTGTTGGGGTTGACGGCATCCCTATCACTGCTGTCAGGAGCTGTCTCCCTGCAGTCGGTCCGCTCATCCTTCACCTCATCAATTCCTCCATATCCACCAGCACCTTCCCCAACGCATGGAAAGTTGCCATTGTTACCCCCATCCTTAAGTCCGGTGACCCCAACCAGCCAGGCAACTACCGTCCTATTTCCATCCTCCCAGCGCTTTCCAAAATCCTTGAAAAGGTTGTGTGTTCCCAGCTCACTTCCTACCTCGTCACTAACCACATCCTTTCCCCATCCCAATATGCCTATCGCCCATCCCACTCCACCGAAGATGCCATACTCGACATTGTCGAATGGGCGGCTCGCAGGATCGATGACGGTGACGTCGCGGCGGTAACGTCAATCGACCTGAGCAAGGCGTTCGACAGTGTCGATCACTCGGTGCTTCTGAACAAGCTCGAGTGGTATGGCATCTCATCCCGCTGGTTCAGCAGCTACCTCTCCGGCCGTTCCCAACTTGTCCGCTCCTCGACGGCACTCCCACTCTCCCACGGCGTCCCCCAGGGGTCCATCGTGGGTCCCATCCTCTTCCTCACCTTCGTCAACGACCTAACCTGTTTCCTCCCCCATGGCCGCCTCATATCCTACGCGGACGACACCCAAATCTTGGACTCAGCACCCTCCAATCCCACTGACATCCAAGTGCTGAAGTCCCGGGCCGAGGAGAACATCCAGCACCTCCAGCACTGGTTCAGCTTGAATAGTTTGAAAATGAATGGGGAGAAGACCTGTTTCACCCTTTTCGGCACGCAAAATTCAGTTGATAGAGTTGAAGACTTCGCCATTAACGTAAATGATGTAACTATACGGCCAACAAAACATATCAAAGTGCTGGGCGTTCTCCTCGACCAAACCCTGAGCTGGGAGCCACACATATCCTCCATCATCCGCCGGTGCAACGCAATCCTCATATCATTATTCAAAATTCGTCATCACCTATCCCCAGACATCCTTAAAATCCTTGTCCAAACCCATGTCTTCCCCCACCTCCAGTACTGCTCGTCAGTCTGGGGTGGTGCCTCCAAATCCCGCCTGGACCGACTGCAGAAGGTCATACATTTTGCCGCACGACTGGTCTCTGGTCTCCGTAAATTTGACCGCATCACCCCCGCTCTCGGCGCGCTCGGCTGGCCCAACATTGGGGAAGTGATCGCGCGCAGGGACGCAGTGAATGTGCATCGCGCCCTGTATGCCGCTGGTGCCCCTGACTCGCTACGGGCAATGTTTCGCCCACGAGCCGTCGTCTCAGAGAGGGCCACGCGTGCCACCGCTGCGGGCTCGGCGGTGATCGACTTGCCCCGAGTCCGCCTGGCGGTGGCTCGGCGGCAGTTCCCGTACAGAGCCGCGGCGGCTTGGAACGGGCTGCCGCGAGAGGTGACGGGGACCGCCTCCGGGGCACAGCTGATGCGGTTCTTCCGATAGAGATATGTCGCCACCGAGTGTTTTTTTTTTTAGTACTATTGTACATTTTGTGTGTCTTTTACTATGATGATTTTTATGACTTAGGTACTCTCATATTGCTTGTACTGACTGGGCCGTAATAGCCACCTGTGGATCAGCCCTAATAAACGATTTACGATTTACGATTTACGATTACCGAGGTTAAGATGCACTGTGTTACAGAGTTTTTTGCCAATATTAGCCACTCCGCCAAGTCAATAGTCATCGGCCATTAAATCCATATCAATGTCGGCCATCTAAAGCTACGTCAGCCACGTTTGGCGTTGAACACGGCATCAAAGTCGTAATTTCACGCCACATTTGGTAGTATTGAGATGTTCTTGTCAGCGCTCTTCCGTGAGAAACAGAGCTCGTATGTGTTCTCAGCTCTTCTTTAGTTCTGCTACATGATCCATCAAAGCGCTGACCGATATCGCGTGATCCATTATGTTCAGAGTCTAGATCGGACCTTGATCTCTGGCACACGGAGTAGCCGTTATACAGATCACTTTTAGCATCGTAGGACCTACCTAATTTATCGCTCAGAGACATGAACATCATGTCAACGGAAGCACTGACTCACTCATGATCTAATTCTATCAACTTCCTCATGATCTGCCGCCGTCTTTTCAGTACCATTTTCCGCTGGATCACGGTGAAGAACCTGAACCAGATGAACTTTGAGGACGGGGTGCGCACGGACACGCCGATGGGCCTGCTGCGCGGCATCAAGTACGGCACCGAGAGCTACCACGTCCTCTTCAAGCGACTCTGCAGGTGGGCATGGACGTTTTCTTGTCTCCAAACTTGGGTCTGTTTGAGACGCAGAGGGTTCGTAAAGGGATAGTTGTTGCATAGATATTTAACGTTGTCTTCGTTACAAATGAAACTAGAAATAGGAATGTAGTGACGTCATAACCATTTACGACCCGTCATCGTACTTCCAATAAATGTCTTCCCATAAACCGGGCCGATGTTCTTCACTGTGCCCGGTGCATTCCGACAATCCATAAACCGCAGAGCTCTCCGCTGCATAACCGGCTGAGCCGGCGGCCCGCCCCGCTCTCAGCGCCTCAGCTGATCCCTGACCTCTGACCTGTGACCCCTGACCTCTGACCCCGCCCGCAGCTACGCCGGCCTCCACTGCGTGGTCATCAAGGGCTACAGCAAGTCGGCCGGCTACCAGCCCGGAGTGAAGTTCGAGGACAACCGCTTCAGGAACTCGTGGAACGCCGTCTACGTGGCCGGTGGGTGACACGTGCACACGTGGCCGAGAAAACACGTGCTGTGCACACGTGGAAATGAAAAGTGTTCACGTGGAAAGGAAGGGTTGTTTCTCGGGGATATTCTGCCTGTTGAATAAGCTAGTGGTCGTGTCGTGATGGAAAGGTGGAGTCTCAGTGGGAGTTTCGACAGGACATGAGTCGGGTGAATGAAATAGAGACCATCGATTCCGCATTATTGCTGGCAGCGTGCAACAGTAACTGCAGAGTTGGGCTGACTGGCACGGAGAGATGGCTCGAAGAAGTGACAGCTCGCTGCTGGCAGGCCGGTGAAGGGGTGGGAACGGGCGGCGGTGGTCTGTGAGCTCCCTGCCCGTTTATCGCGTGTGTGGCCACAAGGCCGCTGGCCGTTTGAAGTGACGGTGTCACTACCAGCGATAGTGGGCCGTACCGGACCCGCCGCGGCTGTCCGGCCAGTTTTTAGGCGGCCGACACCACTGACTGAATTCCAGCCGCAGTCCGGTTGTGGCGCACGATAAAAACTCGCCAGCATCTTGTGCCAATGATGTCATAGGTCCAATTAATCAGATAACGGCAGCCCGTACGGTGAGGTGACATTCAGCCAGCTGTGTGGTCAGCCGATGTAGCTATTCATGAAATGTATTACCCGGACCACCGGAGCTCTCATACACCGTTGGTCGATCTGCGTAGTTTTAAAACAGAGCCATGACTGTGACGAACCTTGTGTAACCTTACGTTGTCCCACAGGCGCCTGGCGTTTCGTGCAGTGCAACTGGGGAGCGCGGCATCTCGTGAACGCCAAGGAGGTCCCCAAGCCGGGCAACAAGAACAAGTCGGACAGTCTGCGGTGAGTGACCGGCCGTCCGGGGGAGAGGTGCGGCGCCTCTCCCGGTTAGGTAAACGGACGGGGTGAATCACGGGTCGAGTTAGGTGTGAGTCACTGACCTAGTGGGTGGCGGATGATGGGAATCGTCCCTAAACGGAGGAAGACTTGGGGTTCCGGGTAAGTCGCATTAGGCAATGTTTACCTTTTGCCTGAAGTATGACTTGCTTGGTGATTAAAATGTCGTGACTTCGATCGATCTTCTCCGCTTAGTTTAGCTCTCGGGAAAAGACGCATGAGATGCGAACAGCTCCTTCATGCGTTCACGGAATAATCTTTATCGATATAGTAATAATGCGGCTGCCTAAAACAGTGTTGTAGGCCTCGAGGTTGCAGCCGACATGGATGAGTCTGCCCCTCCACCGAGAGTTTGTCTATCCCTCCACTGACCGTGTTTGTCCCTCCCTCTTTCCCAGGTACGAGTACGACGACCACTACTTCCTGACGGACTCGAAGGAGTTCATCTACGAGTTTTTCCCGCTGCAGCCCGAGTGGCAGCTGCTCCGTCACCCCATCACCCTGCAGGAGTTCGAGGAGCTGCCGTTCGTCCGCTCGCTCTTCTTCCGATACGGACTGTGCTTCCCGGACGAGGATACCAAGGCAGTCATGCACACCGACTCCACAGGTTCGGGGTGACTGGTGGAGAGGGTACTTTGGTGGTAAAAGGCAGTGAGATTTGCTGACTTGAGAAAGGACAGTCAGGACAAAGTTAACTCGAGCTCGAGCCACTCTTGTGTTCAGTTTCCATAGGTAGTGATCTGATCTCGGTATTGGGGGGGGGAGGGGTGTGGATTTGAGACATGCCATACGACGTCTTGGTGCCGACTCTGCTAAACCATTTGCATATAGCCGTGGCATTGGACCACAGTACACGGCACAGCTGTGCTCCCCAAGCATCAAGTCGTATATCTCGGCCGAGACCTGTATAGTGTATACAGCTGTGACAGTGACAGTGGCAGCTGCCATTTTGGTCTGGGACATTGGAGAGGTCAGAGGGTGCCCCGTGGCATACACTTACAACACGTGCACCGGGGCCAAAATTTCATTTTCTTTCTCACAAACGTTCGGAGCTGATATGCTGCTGTTTCCGTGCCCCTTATTATCACACAACCAACGTGCCAGTCTATAACACTGGGTTCGGAATGGTGGTGGCGCCATGTGTAAATCGTTCTTATAGGTTCTGACCGGCATCGGGCACCCTCCGGAGCGCCATCTGTAGAGGTCTCCCAGGTCCCAGCTGGCGTCAGCTACCCTCCCGAGCGCCATCTGCGGCAGAACACCATACGGCGTCTCCTGACCATCCCTCCCTCTCTCCAGGCGCGGCCACGATCCGTATCGGGATGCCGACGCACATGCAGTCGTCACTGATCTTCCACTACAACCTCAAGTTCTACGACAACGACGGCGACACCTACGAGGGCGTCAGCCTCAAACGCTTCGTCATGCAGGTGAGAGCAGCCGGTCCCGCAGAGTGGGACGGCTACGACGGTCAGGGATTTTGATATGGTTGCATCTGGCACTAATTGTGCGTCTTCGTTTCGCTCGGTAAACGTTTCAAAAATCTGGTCTTGAATCGGATAGCGATAGAGCTACACGAACAAACGGCGATTGCCTGCAAACACAATTCCTCAAAGACGACTCGCAAGTCGCAACCCGGATTAAAACCTTTACTTTTCGCTCTGCTCCCTGATATGCCAGGCCGCTCCCTGTTATGACACTCCCTCCCTGCCCCCGTTACAGTCTGTGGTGGGCAACATGGTGGCGTTCCGAGTCCACGCGCCCACCAGCGGCGCGCTACTACTGGACATTTTCGCTAACGCCGTCACTCCGCGCGAGTACCTGACCGGCGAGCCGATGAAGTTCAAGTCGGTCTGCAAGTTCAAGATCGTGTGCCGGGACCTGCAGACGGTGATGGTGCCGCTGCCCGACTGCGCCAGCGGAGAGTGGGGGCCCATGAAGGCCAACAGGTCAGTACGCGGGACGGGAGGGACAAGGAAAGGGGTCGAGGACGGCGTGGGGCGTGAAAAGAAGCATTTTAGCGGCTATTATTTGTTGAACAATGATGAATATGAGACATCTTTCAGAGAAGCTGACAGTTGATTTTGTTTTACTTTTTGAAAAGCTCAGATAGCATTGTTTGAGATTCAATAGAGTGATAAGAACCCGATTTTTTTTTAACGCACCAACGGCATTAATTTATCATTGACAATTAACAGCCAGATAGATATCTTGCTATCTTCTCTACTCGTATCTTCCCGGATTGATCCTATCCGATTGATTTCCGTGCGCTGCTGCACCCCACTTTGACGTTTAAATTGAATGCTCCCATTCCCCGGTATCGGACTCATTGATCAGCGATGTTTACGGGGCTGTCTCTGCGGACCAGTGCAGCGACAGATCAGACAGGATGTGCTGCCGCGGGCCGGGCCGGGATCAAAGTCCCTGGAGCGACCACCCGCTGGTTACTGGGGGTGGGGGCGGTGTGTCACCGATTACCGATATGCTGGGAACGGAGCGACCCGCGCCCGGCGGCGTCACCGAGGGGGGGGAGTGTTTATAGTGGAACACGGATGTAACTGCTCGGAGGGGGAGGGGGAGGCGTGGTGCAATGCTTATTCCGGTTGGTATCACAGAGTGGTGCTGGCTGGACAGCACCACGTAGTGTGTGTAGGTATATGGTAACGGAGGGAGGTAAATAGATAAAACCACAGGCCGGCGCTTATAGAGGTCACGGTCAGGGGGATGCGTGGTGTGTTTATTGTGATAGGGCGGCGCTCTCAGCAAACGTGTTTTAGTGTGCGTTGTCGCGTGTGCTAGGTGCGATAAGTCAGAGCCTCGGCAAACATCCTTATCACTTATTACGCACTAATCCAAATAGACCAGCACACCATTCGCCTGCTGTTGCTGCTGGCTTGGGCCGGGAAGCCGTTACACTCATTTGCTCTGGGTATCTCAGAGACCCCGCCGTTCCGTCGGCTGCAGATCCAGTCCGGTCTGATGCTGTGCACGGTGCAGAGCTGAGAATTTCGGAGAACCGGCCGGCAGGGCGGACGGTGCAGACGTATATCGCGTCCCGTGTGATACGACGCACCGCCGGACCGGGCCGACCGGACCGGACGGGGCTGGCTACACCCGGTGGGCCGGCCGGGGCCTGCCGTAGGACTGACGCATTAGCAGCAAATATGCGCAGTGTGGCTGCTGCAATTGACTAGTTAGTACCCCGAACGAGTGACGTCGTGTGTGAAATGGGAAATTCCCCACCGGCGATTCGCGAGCCTCGTTCCGGCGTGATGGGTGGAACTCTGCTCCACGCGATAGCTGGTTTATTGTCTGCCAGCGACGGCCACGTGACCCCGGCCCCGCAGCCGACAGGCCGGGACCCGCATATCTGGGGGTGACCGACCGTCCCCCTCCCCAGGTGACCCGCAGCATACGGACTCACAGGTCACACGATACCCGCCGCTCACATGTCATGCTCGGTGATGAGCTGATACCTAATTGCTCAAGCAATGGTGTGATTGGTAGGGTAATTGTATTTGATCCTTCGAATGATCGAGACATCTAAGAAGGATTTAACATTTTCTTGCTTTGTAATGGAGTTGTGGAGTGAGAGGCTAGTTCATATGCTGAGGTAGTTCCCCAAAATTATGCTTCAGGGAACCACATCACATCTCCCGGAGTCGCTCAGTGGGCTCTATGCACGATCCCCGGGCAATTGGAGCGCCTCAGCCGCTCATGAATACCACGAAATGGGACGGGAATGACGTCAGCTCCACCCACGCTGTTCATTCCACCGACTCTGTGACGTCACCGGCAGTGACGCGCCGCACCCGCTGACCCCGCAGCGGCCCGCTGACCGACGCCACTGTAATGTCGTTGTGCAACCGTCCCATTCCCTGGCGGTTTGCTCTGATATCGTCCGTAGCTGAATGTTGTAACCGGACTTCATAATGACAAGCCCGACTTTTTGGCTTCGTAGACGGCCATGATTCAAAGACATCTCTTCCAAACAACAGTCTAGCAGCTAAAGGGAAACATTCAGAAAGCCTTCAGGGTGTCTCACAGATGGTGATACACCATCCCCGTACCGGGGTTGAGTCAGAGTGACATGAGTTGTCGCGCGCAGGCTCTCAATTCGCGTGAAGTAGGACGGCTCGGTGGGACCTAGCTTGCCTTTGCCCCTACCCGGATCCCCAGAGGGGCCCTCTGACCTCCCCTCTTTTCCCCTCTCACAGGCTGTTCGGCCTGATCCCGGTCACCCACCCGGACGCGCTCATCTTCTGCAACCGGGAGCTGGAGGTGCAGTTCCGCATGTCGCGGCCGCTCACCGACTTCATGGCCACGCTGCACCGAAACGGCACCGAGGAGAAGCGACTGGGCAAGTACGTGAGCCACAGCGTCAGCGGCGAGCTGGTCACCTTCCGCATCGCCTTCCCCGAGGAGGGCCAGTACGGCTTGGACGTGTACACGCGCGAGGTGCAGCGCGGCGAGAGCGAGAACAACGAGAAACACCTGCTGACGCACTGCTGCAAGTACCTCATCAACTCGTCCAAGAAGAACTGAGCCGGCAGGAGAGGGTGACGAAATGGTTTGAGGACTGGGTCAGATGACCCGACGGGAGATGGTTGTGCGCTGATGGTTGTGCGGCGACTGCTGAGTCGCCGGCCGCTTAGTGCGAGGAGTCGAGTGTTACAGTGACCAGAGGCAGTGGTATCGAGTGTCACGATGTCGAGTGTCGCGGTGACGAGAAACACGTGTCGTGTGTCGAGTGTCACGGTGACCGGGGACGCGGCGATCGCCCAGTGACCTGCAGACACGGTCAGATAAAGCGTCTGGGGCCCGGTAACGCCGCTGTGATCAGAGGGACCGCCGAGCGGCTGGCCCGCCGGAGCAGGGAGACCCGGCGTCCTGACGGCCCTGGGCAGGCCCCGGATCCTTCCCAGTGACCAAGAACACTCGTCCCCCGTCAGTCGTCAGTATTGTGAAACGGCTGGGCCAGGCGATAGACAGCGGCGACCGGACTACCGCCGAGAAACTAAAGGCCCCCAGAGCCTGCTTCCGAGTCAGCCTTCCACGGGTGGACAGGAGACAGACGTCCGTCCACCGTCCAGCGGTCTGGCGAGCCGCCCACTGTGTATTGTGCGTAAACGCGTGTGATTCACGCGTCATGCGTGCCGACGCGACACACAGCCCAGACGAGAAAGAACACACCTTCCATTTTCAGGATTGACATGTTGAATGCGCGCTTTGGTACCAAGTGGAGTGAGATCGCGGAGTGTGAGTCACGGTTTGACCGGTGTGGTCTTCCATGGGCGATCTGTTGAACTGTTGGTGCAGGCAGCCCGTCGGCGGCTTGCTGCCTAATGCCCATCCCACGGGACCAGTCTGTGCGAACTTTGTGTCAGGGAGTGACGTGCTGGATGAACTATGTTTTAGGGCTACACGAGAGCAGTGTTTATGATTATAATGAGGCTTGGTTGGTTGTTGGCACCGGCTGCGTGAAGGTTCCGGCAGCTTCACGAGCTGGTCACCGCGGTGGGCCGAATTCCGACCCATGATTGTTGAGTTTTAGCCCCACGATTCGGTGATAATTTCAGTCAGTTACGCCGGGTCGTGCCGTTATTTTCACTCCGATGTCCGCCCGGCGCTCTTCCGCTCTTGGTTCAGCGACTGATCCACCACTGCTAACGCCAGTTGTTTTCGTTACGTGGACTGTCTCACTCTGCGCCGAGCGACAAAGCTTTGTGCTCGGTCAGTGCGTGACCACACCGGCCGGCCGGCCTGTCGACGGGAGGCAGACGTCGACCCGCACCCGCGTCCCCGGCCCCTCTTCTCTTGTTTACCGACAGTGGTGACGGTGAGAGCGCGGGTCTCTATTTAATATTTAATGTAAGCCGCTGCCTACACACCGATAAACCGTGCTTGTCAGTTGCACGCCCGTAGCGGACTGAAAGGTGCTCTTCCCGTGCGGCGGCCGCATGGACGGACTAGGCTTGTGCGGGTTGTAAATTATCGAGACTGTCCTGAAAGTCCTGGCCTGGAACGGCCGGATTATAGTATTCAAATGTATCCACTGAAATAAACACTGCATAAGATGAATCGTGTTCATTGTGAGAAAACGCTATCTGCATTAGGATCGGTTTGTGCACACACAGTAGGTACCGATGACAGGGCGACAAGTGGTTCACAACGATAGCAGATTTCAAATAGTTAACACCACATATAACCTTTGGTCAAATATCCATTCGGCCAGATACAAGATTGTGAGCGCTCAACAAATAGCGAATGAAAATCTGGGACGACGCAGTACGGAATTCCCCACTTCACACGGCTGGGATAAGCAGTTTTTCAATCTGGAGAGCGCATCACTACGACACTAGCGGCCGATAATCTTAATCCGGCGGCCCGGTCCGTGCCTGGCGTACCGCCGTGACCTACTGCCCCGGGGGCGGCTGGTAACCGTGAGCCGATAACGTATCGCCGTGCTGACAGCAGCGGTCGGACATTGACCAGACACCTCCCCCCTGCCCCCGCCCCACCGACCTGTGACCCGCATTCACCGGGCTCCCACGTACCCAACAGCGGGGCGCCGTGAGCGGCCTTCCGATGTAGCCTTATTGGATTACAAAGTCTGCCAGAAATAAAGCAGCTGCTAAACTTTTGAGCCAGAGTTTTGAATCGGAGCAGTTCCGAAGTAGGGGAAGGTGGGGTAAGACGGCCCAGCGGGGCAAGACGGACCACCAGCCCTCCCGGCTGAACCGCTGCTGGTATCTACTGCTTTATGCACTCACTATGTTTGTTTTCCTTCGTAACAATGGCCACCTTGAGCTCATGCTGCTTGGATGCATAGCTTTTGAGTTATTGAGAAAAATGTTGCTTTTCGTCAAACCGATCTAATATAAGAGGTCTACGGGTGATTCAATTACGGCGCCTTTCTTGCATGATTAGTTTCTATTTTGCACTTAACTGTGAAGAACAAAGTTATAAACTTAGTTATAGTCACACTTTAGGAAAGGCAAGGTTTTGCAATGTTGGGCTATTTGACATATACGTCATGATAATGACAGAATTTAGATTTGGGGCAAGACGGACCACTGTGGTCCATCTTACCCTGTGGTGGTCCATTGTACCCTGCGTATGGAAAGTTCTTTTCTAAAACATTGACACAAGTTTAAGTAAGCTATTTTTTTTTTCAGGAAGGAGTCTTTGTTTCATGTGAGCCATGCATTCAAGTGCTCAGTTAGCATGCATTCATGCCAAACGACAATCAACACACATGTTCCCAGCTTTTAGCTGCACTGTAAAGAATAAAGGCTCATTTTGTTATTTTACCATTCTGGTTACTTTTTCTTACAAGAGTACAGAGTAGAAGTGTAACACACATGAACGGATAGCAGGCACTGCTGGGTGGTCCGTCTTACCCCACATTTTTTCTTGTCTGAGTTTTTGACATGTCCCTCTTTAAGAGCATCCACCACCTAGATGTCTTTAATTTGAAATTTAGTCTTTACACATATCAACAGAGGAAGGATGGAGCATTCCGAAGAGTATAAATAATGTGAATTACGAGAGCAGTGTAGCAAGATATGCGGCCTCAAACCTTAGCTGGTCCGTCTTACCCCACCTTCCCCTAAATAGCCCACTTACGAAAACAAAGGTATTTGCGAGGAGTTAGAACTTTCCAAGACCAAAAACACCCAATCTGGGAGTTTTCATTCCAAACACCAAACGTAAAGCTTGAACATTCTGCCCTGTATTGATAACTGATGGCATAGACATTCATCTGGGCAGACAATATTTAGACTTTGGCAGCGTCAACAAATAACCTCCCTCACGAGGGAGCGGAGCGGGCAGCGGTCCACTCGATAAAGACGGCGACATCCGCAGACCGAAGCGCGCAAGCTCGTACTGACAAACGCACAGACATACGCACACTGTCCAGACGGCGACCGGCGCGGGCTCTTTGGTAGCGTCTCTGAAGCAAACACACATACACGTCCACACAAAGACAGCCAGACGGCCTGACCGGACGGCCAGACGGCCTGACCGGACGGCCAGACGGCCTGACCGCTCACTGACCCATAGAGACCAGTCCAAGAGACTGCCGGTCCCGTGAGCCGGCCTCAGCGGCACATCCAACAAGCACGAATAACAGCGTTACGCGGTGGGCAGTCCACGCAGTGACCGCCACCGTTAACAATGGTTGGTGCCTAACCAGCGCCCTAGTCGGTCCCTGATACAGCAGCGAGGGAAACGAGACAACTGTCCGGCTCAACGATACACCAGTGGGGAAGACGAGAGCTCGACGGCGCAACAGTGAACAGCGCACCACCGAATCACACGGCGACACGACACTGAGCGTGGCACATGGGAAGCGTAACAGCGGGGGAGCACGGGGGGACAGGAGTGGGTCGAACAACCGGCCACAATCACACTGCCGGAGACCATCAGCGACCGGTGTGGCACCATAGATATGACGCGAACGATACGTGGATCCTACATAATACATAGACCAGATATGGTAGGAACCACGGGCAACAGGAAGACGACGAGAGCATAGCTAGCGAGGCAGATACGTGGGCCTCATAACAGGCCTGAACACTTGACACGAACGGAACATAGGACAAAGTACAGGGATCATATCGAGGGCACAGGCTATCCAGAAATTTAAGCGCCCATTTGAACATCGAGTTGACACGTAGAATATCGTAGGAACACCGTACGCGCGCACATCTAACGCATTTCCTTACGCAGCCATGAGCGGTTCACGGGCGATTCATTGCGGTAAAGAGCTGTCCATCGGATAATGTGCCGATACGACTGAACAACAGTCGCAAGCCAACACGGTGTAACACACTATTTTGTTTCTTAGGTGACTGAAAGGTGTATGAAAATTAAGTAGCTGATACCGGTATATCCGAGTGTATAATTAAGAAGTAAGTTGACATTTTGTGAAAAACACAAAACTGTGAAATAAATATAGACAAGCACTACAATATTACATCACAGGATCCCAAAACACACGGAGAGCACGGCTCCAAAACCACTCAGGACTGCGGGGAAGCATTGGTTCCTTGCAGACACACCTAAAAAGGACGCAACTTTTCCTAATTTACAGATATGCATGGGGATTTCACAAACTAAATAGCATACAACAGAAGTTTACATAGGCACATATACGCGTCTCGAAGCAGGCTACGCAAAATAAGACTAAAAGCTTAGTGGCAACGCCTGAAAGCTTGCAACCAGTTGGGACCGATTCAATGGGTATCTCTTGTAATAAGATACGGAGGTCGGTCAACAATGATAGACAAAACGAGTGCTCTCCAAATCCTAATGTTGAGTATGGTCGTGAATATGATGCAAACTTCACGATTCGCACAAGCAACTTGGTCGCGGCTCTACCAGTTAAAACAGCAGCAATAACAAAAACAATAACTTTTATATTCGGTACGCAATATGTCTATCTAACTATACTATGATCATTCCAATATTCTGCCCCAAATTTTCATGTGATCCATCATCACAAGTGATTTGACATTGGTCTTGAACGAAAATAGTGAGCTCTCTATGAGCATGTGGGGCAACTATCGACCGCCGTTTATTTATTTTATTTTATTTTTCAGCCGAGAAAGCCCATGCCATTTGGCGTAACAGAGGTTCATCTCTGTCCCTTTCACTTCTTAACACCCATAACAAGAGCAAATCTATTGCACACGAGCGCAACACACTGCGTCAGCAACGCGGCCCAAACGTGGCTAAGCTTACCCATATTGACTGCATTCAATGTAGAAACAGTAAGGCATGAGAATCAATCAACGCTACCTAATTTAAACCATACTACAGTTCCTAAAAGGGCATCATCTCCAAAATGGCCATTGTGATCACACTTAATTACCACAAGCAACATGCATAAATTCCCTGTCCATGGGGCTGTGGTCCAAGCTCCAGCAACATACTTAGGCATATTTGAAATGTTGTGACAAGCTGGATAAAACTTTGTTCATACGACGCGTTATGTAAAAGGTGATATAAATATCTGGCCGCAATCCTGAATTATCCATATCTGTACTGGAAAATACGCGAAAATGAAGGGAAGGACGGCTTGTCAATTTGTCATTGCATCATGAAGGGGGGATTGAAACAAAAGCAAAAGTTGTTCCCTAACCGACCATTTTATCGCTACCAGCGTTTTAACTACATCACGTCCAACAAGAGGAACTGACTATGACACACAAACACAAATCTGTGGACCTTCACACGAGTCAGCGCAATGACACCACATTGTGCTACGTATCAGCGATACGGGCCCCGGGTCTCCCTCAGCCCGCCGCTGACTTACTTTAACGGCCGCTGGCAGCCGGCGGAGGTCGTACAGCCGCCCCACCGGCCGCCTATTTCTCCATCAGTAGCTGGCGGAGCAGCTCCACGCAGCGGCGCGAGCCCTCCTGCGCCTCCGGCGAGAAGCGCGCGAAGTTGAGGAAGCCATGGCAGACGCCGTCCAGCACGGTCAGGCCGACCGGCACGTTCAGCGCCCGCCAGCGGCGCGCCATCATCACACAGTCGTCCAGACACGGGTCCAGGTGGCACGTCAGGATGTGCGTGGGCGGGCAGCGCGACATCACCTCGTCCCGCTCGAAGAAGGGGCTCAGGCGCGGGTCGGGGTCCACCTCGAAGTAGCGGAACTCGTCCGTCAGCGAGTTGGCCACCAGCGTGTCCAGGTCGTGGCTGGCCAGCGTGTGGCCCAGCTTGCGTCGCTTGGGGTTCAGCGTGTAGGGCACCTCTGGTGAGTCGTCCTCCGTAGCCCGCGCCGCCGCCGCCGCCGCCTCCGGTTTCTCGCCCTCGCCGTTCGGCTCGGCCGAGTCCCCACCCTCCGACTCCGGGACGGCGTAGTCCTCCGGCCGGGGGGCGTGCACGGCGCCGCCGCGCGCGTGGCCGGCGTACGCGTGCAGACAGCGCATCAGGAAGCCGAGTGGCAGCACCGGGTCCATGACGCAGAGCAGCCGGGCGGCCGACGGCGTGAAGGAGGTGTTGAACGGCGTGTAGACCAGGAACTGTCCGTCGGGCACGCGCACGCCGCGCTGGATGGCCTGCATGGTGACTGTGGTGACCAGGTTCCCTCCCGCCGAGTCGCCGGCCACGATAATCCGCTCACCGGTGGAGCCCAGCAGGCGGCAGTTCTTCACGGCCCAACAGTACGCGTAGAACGCCTCGTCCGCCGCACGGGGGAACGGCGCGTCCGGAGCCAGCGAGTAGTCGATCGAGAAGAACGGCACGTCCAGGTCGCGCGCCCACTCGCGGAGGTAGACCTCGTGCGACTTGGAGGACTGCGCCACGAAGCCGCCACCGTGACAGTGCACGATCAGACAGGGGCTGGGCGGCAGTTTGGCCGGCTTGGAGGCGCGACCGCCGAGCATACCCTCCCTGCGGCGGGTGGAAAGCAGCCGGCAGTGGATCGAGTCGGGACCGATGTGCACCGTCGGCGGCGCGATGTCCACCGTGCCCGTTCCGTCTGCACGCGGCACCTGCAGCGGCTCGGGCGGCAGGCCCACGGTGATGTTGACTGCGGCGGCCGGACACGCCACCTCCGGGTACATCTGCAGGAACTCGCTCTCCTGCTGCGACCAGAAGCCCTTGCAGAAGTCGATGTCGGCGTAGCGGGAGATGTTGACGATGCGCTTGGCGCGGTACTCGGGGTCGCTGAGGATGCGCCGGAAGAACACGGAGGCGGTGGCCCAGCGACGGAACGTGCTGCCCGTGTTGTAGAAGTAGTGGCTGTACATGCACATGAAGCACGCTATCCGCATCAGCACCGCCTGCATTGAGGGGCAGTACTGGGAGCCCATCATCCTTCCGTAGAAGCAGTACTGGTTGATCTCCTCGGCCTTTTTGAGCAGCTCGATCGGCGAGTGCTTGGCGTCGGGGAACAGCGATCCGGGCTCGCTCCAGCCGATCAGCGTGTTCAGGTGCTCCATCATGGTGCCGATGGAGACCATCCACTGACACCAGGCCTCCACGTCCTTGGCGCACTCCTTGCGGCTCAGCTGGCGGCGGCCGTTCCCGTTCCGGATTTTCAGACACGTCTCGTGGCTGGCGTTCACCATTTTGTCGAACATGTCGACAAACGAGCGGTACCCGTTGCCGGGCACCGCCTCGGAGAAGTCGAACTGGCGGCAGACGGCGCGCACCTGGTCCGCCTTGGCCGCCGTGGCCTCGTAGTGGTCGGCCAGCGAGGCCAGCCCGATGGCCAGCCGCTGGCCGTGCTCGCTCACATCGTCCCGGAACAGCGCCGAGCACGCGCGCGCCAGCGACGCCAGCGACTGCTGACGGTTGTCGTCCTTGGACGGAGACAAGCCTGGGGCTGGGGCGGCGGCCGGGGCCGGGGCGGCAGCCGGGGCAGAGCCAAGGCCCGGCGAACCGACAGAGTCCGTACTGGCCATCCTTAGCGCGGTGAAGACGCCTCGAGGCTGAGCTGCGAGTTTGGCCAGCACACGGAACCGATAGGCCATGCACTGAGCAACACAGGACAGCTGAAAACATGACCCTGCATCAGTCACTGGAGATTGAAGGAGCATACAATGAGCATGTGATATTCAGTGTCTGAATGCCAATGTTATATTGACGTCGGTTGGAAATGTTGAAAGGGTCAAGTTCTAAAGAAGAAAGAAGTAGTAAAACTCCAAAATATTTTTATTGATTCATGCTTGCATACAGACAACGTAACTATATATAATCATAAGTCGAGACTTCTGGCTACTTGAATTTTTTATTTGATATAATTATAAACATCATCACTAAATAAAATTCCAGAGTTTATGTTTATCAGTAAAATGTAAAGGTACCTGCAGCTGGCAGGGTGACTGGTCAGTGTTAAATCTGTCAACTGGTATCCATCCTGGAGCACAGGTACCTGATTTTAATAATTTTAATTTAACTTTGCTAGACTGTGACAGAAAGTGTGAGGAAGGATATCCTTTTGTCATTGAAACATCCTGGCATGTGGGGAAAATTGTCACCAGTATCATAGGAGTAAACTCCAGTTTCCAAATACAAGCCCCACATACTGACTTACCTACTTATGGGCATCAATCCTTCAAAATGTAGCAAAATAATCATCTAGCAATTATGAACATAAGCAAGACATAAAATTGCTTATCATAACAGCTAGCATATTGGAAAAAATGAGCAAGGAAGCCTTATAGGAGTTTGCAAGTAAATGGAAATTGAAAGTATTTTAAATTATTTCTGAACCATTATGGATATATTTATCAGAAATAAATAAAAATAAATAAACCACAAATAAGTATATGCCAGCAAATTGTTAACAACTTTTTGCAAAACCCACTGCCAAAATCCAGGCAACACTGGTGTCCAGAAACTGCGATAGATGCATTCTCATAAGTCGTAACTGTCCCACCCTTGACCTGCTAGCAAAGAGAACTTTCTCATGATTAATTCACCATTCCAAGAATTCAATCATCTCCTAATGAAGTCATGACTGAATATATGATGATACAATTTGAATTACACAATCATTGATCATGAAACATTTAATGTATGCGTTATACAATTTAAATTGCTAAAAATAGAACTTTGTTGATGGCATAGGCAATCACAATCCGTAGTACAGCAATACCAAGCACACACTCAGGCAAGGCCGTATAAGAGCACTCAGGGTACCAAGGATTTTAGAAGGCGTTATCACACCCAGAGTAAGTAGATACAACACCTACCTTCTCAAATCCGAACAAAATGTCGCTTTTCAAGCAACGATACTTGTTGACTCCCACCGACACCACTGTCGTTCACGAAATGCGCCGTTCTTCGCAGCATATTTACGTCTGGACAACGAGTTGCGTTGGAGAGGCCGGAAATAGTGGCGATTTCAGGACCGCAAGAATGGACCGTCATTGGAATGATTCTTTTTTAAACCGTGCACTGTTTTCGGCCGGAATTTAATAGTTACTACAGAATATTTTGTAATTACGTTTACAACAAGAATGAATGCCATCAGGGCTAAATTTTTAATACTTTTGCATTTTGTCAAGAAGCATATAGTGCTGTTATATTGCAGTTTTAGCGCGTTTGTTACAAAATATGAAGCGAATAAGCGTCAGTGTAATTCATCAACAGTGGCAACAGTGCCAGAAGTTAACTTGAGGGAAAGCTATGCTAATTGCTCTTGTCCATCCACTAAAATTTATTAAATATTTTGCTTTGTGTATTCCAAAAGGAGAGGGAACTATTTCATTTGTGCCTTCATGTCAGAATTGAAGGTGGATCATTAAATTTTCAACGCAGTTTACAAACAAGCATTTGGTCTTTCTCGTTTATAAGCAGTGGCTAAGAAAAGGTTGATCAATCCTGAAGTTCTATCATCGTACCTCAACTTGGCAGCAAGATCCCCCAAGGACAGAGGATATATTGTATACATGTCCTGTAAATCAAGACAAACAAGCATTTGGTCTTTCTCGTATACAAGCAGTGGCTAAGAAAAGGTTGATCAATCCTGAAGTTCAGTCATCATACACTGAAAAAATTTTTTACTCAGGCCAGGCATTACTCAGTAATAACTCATGAAGAAACTCAGTGAATACGATAGTGGTGCTCACTTATTGGCTGACCTAACTCACATCACCAGGGTGACTTCGTTATGCGTGAGTTCTGAGTGCTTAGTTTCGTGAATTCGAACTGAGTCGGAAATGAGTTTTGCTTGGGCAAATCTAGTTTCCTGCGCAATGCATGAGTTCTCGCGAATTCACGTGCAGTTGTGCGTGAGGTACCCCCGGCTTGAAGATGCGCGCATGCGCGGCAGGGTGAGTTTCCTGCGTGATGCGTGAGTTCGCGTGATGAGTATTATAGCCGTTGCGTTCGAAAACCGCGGCGCGCGCTTCAGTCCGTTGTGGCGCGGTGACTCGCGTAGTTCACGTTGAATTGTTGAGGCTATTGTGAAATTGTGCAGGAGAGTGCAGGAGCGGGGAAGGCGTGCAGCGAAGGATGGGACGGATAAGTTATCTGTGAAGAGCTGGGTGATTGTCGATGAAGCTTTTATCAATCGCATGCGCCGCGGAGAACAGGGAGGTGAACTGATGGACCAGCAGCCATTCCCCGCCGGCGTCAGGAGGTCGGTGCCAACCGTGAACGGCGGAGCAGATCGATCGAGAAACTGAGGGATACCTACCCGGCATAGTTCGAAAAAGAAGAGGTGAGTTATGTTATATTTAAATTAAAAAAAAAACATGTTTGTGGGATGATGTTGTCCTTATCCTAAAAGAACGTTCATTTGACCCTTTTTACTTCTTTAAACAAGAACTCCGTCACGACCCGATGTTTTTTTTTTGGGGGGGGGGGGGCGAAGGTTGTTTGAAGTCGATTCTTTCCATGCAGCATCCATAGGCACAATGTTAAAAATGTAAAATATTGGGGGACACGTCCCCCGTACCCTTCCCCCCCCCCCCGGTGGTGGAGCCCATGGTCTTAATTCCGCTCGCTGAACCGTTTAAGATTCTTTTGTCTCCTTTGTGCTTATTATTGTTCCACTGTTATTATTTTTTTCCGACTGTTTTTTTTAATGCCTACACACATATTTTCGAACACTATTCGATTTCAGCGAGCATTTTCAACCTTCCTTACATATTAGATTATCAGATACCGCGGCGAGACGCGTTTGGACGTGACATAATTATTTCCATTACTGTTAAGTATAACACATTTTATGTGATTGTTTCAAGCTGATTTTAATATTGGACGCCCATGGAAGTGTTTTGCGAGACTAAAACCCGTCTGTTAAGGTGACCATCCCACCTTGACCCGCGCTGTGCTGGGTGGCGTTTTACGCCCCCCACCCCGCCCCCTCAGGTTTTTCGCGAATATCTAAGAACGGCGGCGCGCAGCGCCACCATTTTCGGCACACCTGCTCATACATTTTTTTCTGCATATGAAGAAATTTTAGACCCAGGTCGTTCAAGGTCAGGTCACGTCAAATGACTTAACATCAGACAAATTTCAATGGTCGCTGACGATCGCACCGTTCGCAACGTGCCATGGAAACCGTTCGATATTTTTGTCATTTTCGCTCAGGGAATTCACCGCTCGATTTCACACCAGTTTGAGGTAAAATGTCAAAAAAATATCGAACGGATTTCATTTTATAGCGTTTTTGATACTGTCCCATCACCATGTCTCAAGTATCAACCTTACGGCATGTATAAAATATATTTGCTAGTGCAATAAAACACCTCATATGTGTTTAGCTTGACGGTTTGGATCGACTGATATGCAACATGACCTGGTCAGGTCAACCTGAGGTCAAGTTTTAAATATGGCCTTTCAAGGTCTAATTATAGTTCATTCGTCCCGACGAGAGGAACACTATGCTAACGGCAAAATAAATGTCGTGACTCTTGAGTGGAAAGTATCACAGAAAACATTTTGGTAAAAACGGCTTTTTTAGAGTTTTTGCTCTCTGGAGGCTTAATTGTTGACCTGAGGTCAAATCTGAGATCAAACGCCAGCAAAAAAAAAAAACGTCGAAAGGGCTTTTGACTGCATTTTTTTTCCGCGGGCAGCTCTTTTGGTTCCGAGTTAAGCACCAGTTTTTCGAAAATATTGAAATAAGCAAAATTTGACCTTTCCTGACCTCTGGTGACCTGGCACTTGACTTGACCTTAAAATTACCCAAGTATTTCCTTAAATATCTTTAATGCTTTTTCGAAAGCCGCTTACTGCGTGTCGCTACGTGGCCCAACCCCAACAGCCGAGTTAGAAGAGGGGACGTGAAGACGACCCCCTCCCCCCCCAGTACATCACGGTAAACTCAGAGCACCAGCACGGCGCGGTTTAACATTAATTTTGAGCTGAAGTAACTTGATAACTTTTGATATTTCAATCAACTTGCATGCCCCATAACTTCCGTTTCTCTTACTGGCAAAAGAAAATCTGACTTTTTATTGTGTTTTCAGGGAACGGTCCATTGAGCCTCCTCTGCATCTTGGCGGAGAAGGCGTCAGTGGTGGCGTACACGGGTGACGAAAATTTGGATCACCCCTATCATAACAAGTCCGAAGAAAACGAACGGTGCCGCCTCATCGTGGAGCGAACGGAAGTCTTGTGGGGATCCATGGTTTGGAAGGGAGTCTTTTGCTGTGGGCGACGGCGCACTTTGTGCTCAGTCAACAAAAAGTGCGAAACACGCTGTGGTTTGTGTGTATCCATGTGCTCCACACACCATTCAATGCTGAGCGCCAGCCACCTGTAGCCGCGAAGACTGAGGTCGAGAAGCTGGCAAAAGAGTGAAGCTGAGCTGACGTGAAGTCGATCCCCCCCCCCCCCGACGCAGTTTGGCGTGTGTCAGAATTGAAATACAGCGCAATGCGACCGTTTCTACAAACATGTATTTCTTGTAAGGGCTGGGGCGAATAGTGCAAGACTAGACGTTGGTCGGGCATGGTATAATACAGATATGTATGCTGGTTTTGGGCAATGATTCGTTATATATTGGCCAATCCCAATATATAGACTAGCTGCCTGGTGGTGGCTGTTGTATCAGCATCATGCATGCATATTGCATAATGCTGATGCGGCAGCTGTTATCATGGGCGGCGAGCCTATACATTGGCTTGAGCCAATATAAAACGAATCAGATCAGCCGTTTCAGGCGGCGCCTGAGTAACACCCGAGTATCGTATGAGCTATCGACGTGAGTACGTCCTGAGTACAGCCCTAGTTTTCACTGAATAACCGATGAGTTCCAACTGAGTTATGGCCGTACTATCACCTGAGTTATACATTAGTACCAGCTGAGTTACATGTGAGTTACTTCCTAGTTTTTCATGAGTAATGACTTACTAATACCTGAGTTTGGCCTGAGTTGTCTGAGTAGGACATGAGTTACGCATGAGTACTTACTGAGTTTTATCTGAGTTTTACCATCGGACAAAATGGCAACTCACTTTGTTACTCACATGCTACTCACTTGCAATGAGTTTTGCCCGAGTTTTACCTGCGTTCCGCCCTGAGTTTTACCTGAGTACGCGGATTTAGAGTGAGTTTTACCATTGGACAAAATGGCAACTCAGTCATTACTCAGAAAAGTGAGTAAAATTTTTTTTCAGTGTACCTCAACTTGGCAGCAAGATCCCCCAAGGACAGAGGATACATTGTAAACCTGTCCTGTTAATCAAAGCATTTTTGTGCCTTCAAAGGCTAAAGTTATCTGTGGTGTGTTCAGAGTTAGGTTATATGGCCGTTTTTGTTGTATGTTTATGTGGAGATTGAATATAACTGTGACCCTGTGCTTGTTTGTATACTTACGGTCAAACAGGGAACAGCACATTCACATAACATACTCTACTCACCTAGCACCTAACTCATAGCTGTACCCTGCAGGATCTGTACTTGTTCATGTCTCGAGCATTAACAAAGCACTAAAGTAGCTTAGTAATCATTTCCCACATTTTCTGAGCATCTAACATGACATACAGCAGTGCAGAGCAGCTTCAGAGAAGAAACACTTTAAATGCACAGACTCACACCAGCCACCCAATGAGCCAGTTCCTCAGTTGACTGTTTCCCTGCCCCTGGACACAGTTTGGCAATGTGAGCTAACTTTTGGCAAGTTGAAGGTTAGCAGGTAAGATTGAGTTAGGGTGAGTACCACTACCTACCTATAACTGGGTGCTACTGCCATGCAGGTCTTGGGTAGGCTGCAAATATGTGTGATGATTGAGGTTAGGTCAGCTGTCAGGTTAGTCAGGTTCAGGTATGCTCATTGCTCAGGTCACATTTTTATGGACATTTGGCAAATTAAAAAAACTAACAATCTGATCTAAGCTAACCCGACTAAACATACACAACTACTGACTATAGGAACTGAGCACCTACCTACTTGTGCCTACAGGCTACATCTCATACCATGTCAAAGTAGAGTTCCTTGGTGGAAGATTACGCTCAGTACTTTTTATCCCAGCCCTGTGAAGAAAACTAATACTTCTAAGCTCTGAGTCACTGCTGGCCATCCACAGGAAGAAACGCTGAGACTGAGAGCTTTGCCATTGTATATTGGACCAATAATGACTATCACGAATGACTATGAACACATAATATGATCACATCGTTGCATGGATTGTCACATTGCCAATTTTACTACAATCCTTTTTTAAAGAAATACAGTGATGATGATTAACATCAAAATCAACATAAAGTGGATTTAGTGATCCAAGCTTTCTCCTCCAGTAGCAATGGAATGATCGCATGTTTCATTTGCCAGACACTGAGTACCTGATGCACATTACAATCTGCATAGCATCTAAGCATAGTAAAACTGCCCAAGTCCATTCATTCTAGATTTTAACTTGAAAGTTAGCACTAATTTATCTTGCTGTTGTAAGTTATCATTCAATATTCATACCAATACATCAATATGCGCTCATCAGTCAACATTTTCTGGCATGATCCTGCTCAGCGTGCTCTTCAGTATTGCTCCAAGGTCTACAATATTATAGCTTGTTTTTGGACAATAAGCTCTTTTAATTTTACTTTTTCTTGCTGATATATGAGCCCGATCAACTTGGGTTTATCAACCAAAATTTCATAACTTGTTCAACTTGATATTGATATTGCTCAGTCTGAGTCAGGACCTCTGTCAGCCTCGATACTTCAGATTGTTTTCAGTCAACATGCTTCTTAAATATGATATAATTCAATCTTAAGGGATTCAAAACATCCAACAAAACGACGTACAAGAGCAAGAAAACCACCAGATAAACTAAAAAATGGCCTTGGAACAGAGCCAAGTTGTGTGCTCCATTTGTTTGTTTACAATGATTGTAGTGCTGATGTATTTTTAGGACTCTGAACGTCGGCTTATAAAAAAAATGAAACGTTTTTACAAAAGTTGTAAGGCAAGTAATATTTATCTGAAAGAACTAAAATATTAAAAAGCCAAACACTATGAAATACTTGAATCGGAACGAAAAAGTAACCCAAAAATCCAGCCCAATCACCGGCTCCTAAAACTGCAACACAATCAGCACTTTTCCCCGCAACTCGTTGTCCAGACGTAAATATGCTTCTTCGCAACCCTAATCAAGGATTGCGGCAAATCGTTGTGGTGCATGTGAAACTGGGAGCATATATTTTATTAGCATCTGACCATCTGTCATCTATATTTTCACTTGTTTACGTTTTGCAGCCTTTAGTTGTCGAGGGACATGATTTTTGGTACTTTTGAATACAACAATTATTAAAATTTTACAATTAAATAAAAACTCAAATTTTCGAGCTCAAGCCATAGAGAAAGTAATCTGAGTGGCATTTTATCATTGCATAGAGCTCAAGCTAGAATGAAATGATTTAGCAATAGCTGACGTGAATATATTCTGCGTTTTCTTCATTCCTGATAGTCATTTTAAAAGACGACCTGGAAAATGCGTGATTACGAAAATATCTGGCTTTGATTTTTCTTTATTGGTACGCTTTCGATATATGTAGTGCATTAATATGTATTTTTGGAAACAAATTAAATGATAGCCTACAGCTGATTGCAGTCACGTGACAGTTTCACCTCGCGTGCGCGTGTGACGCGTTGACGTGTTGGGGGTTGTGTGTTGGGTTGTGTGTTTTTCCCAAGTGTTTTCCGTGGAAATTACCGTGTTAGCTGTGGTTTAAAAATAGCAATCGAAGGTTTTAACGCACCGTGAAGTAGGTATGTATTCACGAATTTTGGCCGCGTAGCCAGCGGCTTTTTTGGCGGGAGGTCATTTCCCGACACAAGCTGTCACGGCGCCCCGGACTTGACCTTGACATGACCTGACCCGGAAGGAGACAACTCAGATCGTATAGTTAAGCTCACAGAACACGCATGAGCGCCGGTCGCCAACGCCGTGTTACGGTTTACAGTGACGATATTATGCTAAGAGCGCTGGTTGAAATCTGAATTAGCATTCTGCCTGATAAGTGACAGTCGTCTGATTTTAATGCCGATAAAAGTTAAGCCACTGAAGGGGTTCAAAGTGAGGAGTCGTGGACAGGGCAATTGGGCATGCCGTATGGAAGAGTATCTAGCTTACAGGTACGACCCCAACCCGCAACGTAATGCGTGCTCCACGGACCGCGTGGGAGGTCCCGTACTCGCGACCTCTGGGCCCTGATTTGGACTTGAATGCCGTTTCAGCCTTGGATCCGCCAGTATAACGGACAAGAGGAAATGCGCTGCCGTTACTCGTTGATCTCAAACTTGGTCTGGCGCTCCCCGTGTTCAGCTCCCGGCTCGGGCTATGCCAAGGCCTGCCCGCTATAGCTGACGTTGGCACTCTGACTCGTCTCCCCAGTTTCCCGTCACACACGCTCAGGCCACCATCACAAGACCGTATATTTGTCGGGCCGGAGCCCGGGGCGGGCGGCCGTCAGCCGTGCCCGCCGCGTCGCTCCCGGCCGCCCCAGTCCCGTCCTCCCCTCGCGCCGGCCGCGCCGGCCGCGCCGCCCGCGCACATATCACTGCATTACACATGGGTTGGGGTCGGGGATCGGTCGGTCGGCCGCCGCCGGTCGGGCCAGTCGGGGTCGGGTGCAGTCGGCTCCGACCGGCCCGAGGTCGGTGCGCCGGTCGGGTCCGGTCGGCGGCGGTCGGGGGGCGGGTGCAGTCGCTCTCCGCCGCCGCGGTCGGACTCCGGCGCTCGTCTCCTGCCGCCGCCTCACGCGGCGACCGGGGCCGGGTCTGAGAGCTCCCGGCGGACGGCCGAGCCGCCGCGCAGTCTGGTGGACGGCCGGTTCGTTACTCGTGGCGCGCGGCACGTGACACGTGTATACAGTCTCTCTCTCGCGCGCGCGGCGCTATGGCACGTGGCAGTATGTACAGTTCGGCGGCGGCACCGGTTCGGGCCGCACGTGCCGGCGACGGTCCCCGGGTGGGGGTAAACGTGCGCTCGGCGCCGCCTCATGACGACATATGTGCTCTATGTAGTATGTACAGCGCCGTTGGGAAGTTCGTCTCGTCTTTCGGGATCATCTGCGAACGTACGATTTAGTCAGTCAACACCGTCAAGGAAAACAGAAAGTGTGTGCTCGTCGGACTCCTCCACGAGTTTGTTACAATAACTCAGTACCGCGCTACCGGCGTCATCATAGTAATATGCAATTCCGCTTTTCACGCTAACATAATATCAACAGTCGAAGAGCCCCTCAACAGCCCCTCCCGTCCCACCCGCCTCGTCCCGCCCGCTGATCGCTCGCCCCGTCTCTCACCACAGCGGTGGCCGGTGGGCGCTCACTCCTGCTTGGGCAACACGTTCAGCGAAAAGTTGGCGCTGGTCTCGTGCTTCTTGCCCTGCGCGCGCACCGAGTACTGGCCGACGTCGGTGGGCACGCAGGCGGGAATCAGCAGCTGGTGCTTGGTCTTCTCGCCGGTCATCTTGAGGTGGGTGCTGCTGCTGTCCAACGGCTTACCGTCCTTACACCACGTCACTGCAGACAGAGAGCGGTGGGGGTCACAGCGCGCCCGGTGGGGTGGGGTGCATGGGCGAGAACAGCAGCGACACGCCACAGTTTCCGAGCAGTGTAGCAGAGTGGGACGGGTCCCGTTTGCTGTAAGCCTGGCTATCGATTTCATCTGAATCGCTCATCAGCTGTAAAGTCAGCGCAGTTGACTCGAACAAATCATAATCACCGTCGCAAGCAGCACGTACGCATTTTAAGCAGGACACGTAGAGCAATGTCGGCCCCTTGTTTTTATCCAACGTTTGGCATTGGTCAGCTTATTTTGTGTACCAGTAGTGCTGACACCGTTGCCCTTACCTTTGGCGGCGGACTTTTCGAGGACGATGTTGAACTTGGCGGGCTCGCCCTCGGTGACAGTCGCCGACGCCGGGAATGTTTTGAACGCCGGCTGCTTCACCTCCTCGTTAGGAACTGAAACGGAGACGGCCCGGGTACGGTCAGAAGGTTGCATGGAGGCGCACGCTTCGTGCATATTTGCCGTTTAATGCCTGCCTTTAGCATGTCTCACTTATTTTAAATACTGTCTTATAGAATCATAAGAAATTAAATACCACTATAAATAGCAATTTCATTCGCCTCTGTCCCTTCTGATCTATTGATCTCTCCAAGAATGATGTTCTGTAAAATGAACTTAACTTAGGATTCGGTCCTACAGCCGCACAAAGCTCAGCGAAGCAATTTATGTAGAGGATGCGATCGACATCTATCCACGTCGATGCCACCATTCATCGCCCCGCTCTGCTCACCATCTTTACTTTGCCATTTAACCCGAGCATCCTAAGCTGCCGTGTGCACTCTCGAAGATTCCACTCACCGAGCACGACCAGTGTGCAGGAAGAGAAGCTCTCGCCGGCGTCGTTGAACGCCTCGCACGTGTACGCGCCCGCGTCCTCCGGGAAGATCTCGGCGATCTTCAGGCTGTACAGGTCGCCGGCACTGTCGTACTCAAAGTCCTTGGACGGCTTGATCTCCTTGTCGTTGTGCAACCAAACGACGTCGAACTTTGACGCGCCTACGAGAGTTCCAAAGGAAGAGGTGTCAAGGCACAGTCGCACAGTGCACACCTAATATGCATATCTTGTGTAAGGTCTTGAGAAAAATCGTAGTGGAGCGTACGGAAGATGAAACACCAGTATAAACTACAAGCGCGAAGCAAAAGCTCTATTATCAACAGGCCAGTATTGTATCGATTTGAAGGCAGTGATAGGAAAATTTACCGGAACTTTTCCCGATGCCAGAACTGTTTCAAGAGTTCAGGTCACCTTAGTTGAGTGCACCCTTGAGCGACTCACCTGTGAGTTTACAGGTGAGTGTGACGGCGTCTCCGTCCTTGACCACCTTGGACTGGATGTGCTCCACTACTCTCGGCGGAACCTCACCGCTGGCGCCCTTCTTTGGCGCGCTTTCCATCGCTGTCGGCGCAAACAGACGGTCAACTAGTTATACGGTGCCAGGATGGGGTTCGTTAGTGTTGTGTCTTCAGTTTCTGGCTGGTAAAGTCGTCACACTACCAGCACTAACACTTGACTCATCCACACTGAGGGTGATGTTCTCGCATTGGGGTTTCGTCACATTTTTTCGTCACGTCATCATGTCCTGTAGTGTCTGGTACCTACTCAAGTGCCGTGACGACCATTCGATTGATTGTGAAATCGTAAACTAAGTTTGACACGGCTTAAAATCCACAGCCTTGTGTGGCGATAGGTTGTAAATCGTCATGTCTAAGTGTCGAGAGAGTGTGTCGGGAAAGAAGCAGTCTCTTACACCACACCAAAACACGACAGGGAAAAACCCACAGCGTGTCCGCCAAAATTTGATCACAACACTATGAAAGCAAAACGCAGGTGGCCTAAAAATACAAGCTTGACATCGAAGTAAAAGCAGCGCCTAGGCTCAAAGAAGCGACGCGGTCGCAGACTGTATAGCGACGAAAAAACTGCGGTCATGTGTAGCACACAGGGTTATAAATCATCAATCCACCGATACCGAACACCTATGGGACGCGTTACCTTTGGCAGCTTCGACAGTGTCGGGAAAGAAGCAGTCTCTTACACCATACCAAAACACGACAGGGAAAAACCCACAGCGTGTCCGCCAAAATTTGATCACAACACTATGAAAGCAAAACGCAGGTGGCCTAAAAATACAAGCTTGACATCGAAGTAAAAGCAGCGCCTGGGCTCAAAGAAGCGACGCGGTCGCAGACTGTATAGCGACGAAAAAACTGCGGTCATGTGTAGCACACAGGGTTATAAATCATCAATCCACCGATACCGAACACCTATGGGACGGAAAAACCCACAGCGTGTCCGCCAAAATTTGATCACAACACTATGAAAGCAAAACGCAGGTGGCCTAAAAATACAAGCTTGACATCGAAGTAAAAGCAGCGCCTGGGCTCAAAGAAGCGACGCGGTCGCAGACTGTATAGCGACGAAAAAAACTGCGGTCATGTGTAGCACACAGGGTTATAAATCATCAATCCACCGATACCGAACACCTTTGGGACGCGTTACCTTTGGCAGCTTCGACAGCCGCAGCACCCGCTAAAAATGGACAAAGACCGCTGTGACATTCAGTACCAGACAGACCGATCCCAAACAATATATGATATGAGAGAATAAACAAAAATCAGATATGGAAAACGGTAGAAACACGCACTTGGCTCTCTTCTCTATAAAAAAACGCTAAATAAAACAATCTATAAAAATGGTTAACATTGGATAACGGATCGCGCTGGAGTATCGTCATCGCGCATCCGCTCAACCAGGGTAACAAGAGGACGTTCAACTATAAAAAATGAAGTGCCTCACAAAAATACGTACTGTTGAAACGAAGAACATTGTCGTGCACCAGAGGATGGGCCCCACGTTGATTCCCTTCTCCAACAACCACCCAACCACCCTCCAAGTGGGCTACTCACGTGTGACGGTGACCTTGCACGTGGTGGTGACCTCGCCCATCGAGTTGTAGGCGCGGCACTCGTACAGGCCCTCATCCTCGGGGAACACCTCGGCGATCACCAGCGACGCCACGCCGTTGCGGTACTTGAGGTCGATCACGTCAGAGGAGCTGAGCGGCTCGCCGTTTTTGCTCCAGGCCGTCTTGGGGTCGGGGTCGCCGCGCACCTGGCAGCGCAGCGCCAGCGCCTCCCCGTCGCGCACCGCCAGCTCCGACGGCATCTTGTCCTCGAACACGGGCGCGTGCATCAGCGAGTCGTCCGGCGGGATCTCCAGCTCCTTGGTGGCCGAGCGCGAGCGGCTCTGGGAGCCGCCGCTGGTGCCCGTGCCGTACGCCTTCAGAGGTCGCTTGGTCGTCTCGCCGCTGCCTGACGAGGTCTCCGTTCGACTGCTCGATATCGCGGAGGAGGCGGCGGCGGTGGACTGCGGGCGTTGGACGGCAGGGTTAGACATACTGCGGCAGTGAGTTAGCGAGATACGACGCCAAAGAGATCATTAGCAGGTGTTGAACGTATCGTGGCTTAGGTGTGAGGTCGTTTGTCCACGTTTGGGCAGAACGTTTGACCGAAGAATCAGGCCGTCACGTTTTTCCAAGTGTCAGTCTACATCGCTTTACTCCCGGTTTACAGCGAACGAAGAGGAACGAAGATGCGAACAAGAAGTAGATGCTCTCTTCAGTCAAGATTTTAACCATATTTACTTCGGCAACTGCACGAAGGATTTCGTACTTTCACCCTGATGTCTTTTCGGCCGAACTGAAACGCCTACCTTAGCTGTACTCGACTGGAAGGAGGAGGCGCTCTGTTTGGTCGAGCTCTTGAAGTCGCTCTTGTAGGACGAGGTGTCGGTCTTGTGTGACGCCGAGTAGCTGTGTGACGCCGCGTAGTCGTGACCGTTTGTGATTGGCTGCTGGTGCGGCACCGTGGGCAGGTACCTCCGGTCTGCCGAACAGGTGCGCGGTCATATGGCGCACGTAAGGAGCAAGTGTAGAGAGACACTGATAGATGTAGGTACGAGGAGGTACCGCTTCTGAGGTTGAACGGCTGGAAAGTCAGAAACAGAGGGCAGAAGAGAAGAGATGGAGCGCATAGGTTCCGGAGCACACGTTGAAAGACAAACAAGAGAAGAAAAGCGCAGAGAACTCGTAAGAGCAACGGCTGCATGTTTTATTTATGTATTTACATTCAACTTATTTAACACTTGATGCAGTTTATACATAGCCAAATGAACTTAGTAGAATATGATCGAAACATAAGGAAATCAATGGTGGAATTCTCATGGAACGAACACTGAAGATATAAAACTGAAATATATTGAAGCACACAGGTGGCACAAGAGAGAAAGATCACCGAAAGTGTGTCAGTATTTTCATCACTTACCGGTGCCGCTGTCCGTGACGGGTGCAGGAGTTGAAAGAAAACATTAGGACTGTTAGTTTGCATACATCTCAGTAACTCCACGCAGAAAGACACAATAGTTGATGCAAGCAAGGCATTGGGTTGATAAAGTGTTAGTATACAACAAAATCAGATGCTATGGGCGTTTCGTAACTCTCAGAATTACGTGAGTAGAGTAATTGACTACGGTCAGATGATGCGGGTTGCACATATGTTATGAGCACGCCAAGGGATAGTTATTACTTAACTACTTATATTACACGTGTTCAACTGGGATGCTATAATTCTGGCTGCAGGGTGTATGCTCATTTCCCGACTGGGCGACAATATTATATGGACGAAAATAACGAAAATGTGTTTAACGGGTCTTCGAGAAACGACAGAATACTTTACTTCATCAAACCAAAAAATAAAATTATACCGGGTTAAACACAAGAAAGAAACGCAGCGAAGGACTTGACACCTGCTAAATACGTGAATACGAAATACGTGTACACTAAAGGAGCTGTATGTTACCTTCTTTACTAAATTTATCGAAGATCTTTTTCTCCTGTTCAGGAGTGCCACCTGGGAATTGTTGCGGACGGGGTATGTTAGGTATTGGTCCGGAGGGCATAGAAGCAGATCGCTTATTGGGCATGCTAGATAGAGAAAAAAGGCGCCATATCGTGCTAAAAAAGAATCAGTCTAGCGGTTCACCAAACGGCAACCGACTGAAAAACACCAGCAGTTTGATTGGAAATTCGTCTTATGCAAGCTGCACAGCAATATTAGGCATAGATTGGACGGCGAACCGTCTCAAAACAGGTTTTACCCACATCCCGGCTCTGAAACACCGAACAAGCTCGATGAAGTTTCACTCACTTAACTAAAACAACGTGGTCCAGTAAGCAGCAAGCGGCATTGAAAACATATGCTTCATATGGCTTCATCAAGCGTTGCAAAATAGTTGTTCGCTTATGCCCATAATGCACATTCAATATGATCCGCTTTAATCGGTAAAACATTACAAGTCTATCACAATACTAATGCTCGCTCAAAATTAAAGCCGAATATCTTTCAAAGTGTTAATGGGACTCGAAAATTGCGTTATTTGATATAATGTACAAAATAATATATGTACATACACACATTCTTATAAATTGCTCATAAAGTGCGGATTTTTTTCAGAACAAACTAAACGGTGTTCCGCACCTTACATTGCATCACATGCCTCCTCCAACTACCTTAAAGAACATGTCAAACAATACATGATCATTATGCCAAACTGAATGGTATGGACCTTTTATTTATATACTTGTGCCATTCCATCCCGCTGTGACTCCCTCTTTGTCCTGCTCGCCCACCCGTCCCGGCACTGTCGCTTCCTCATGTCCAGCAGCTGGTCGTCACTCACCCTCGACGATGACGACGCAGTAGGTCTCGTCGCTGCCGAGGTGGTTGGAGGCCACGCAGCGGTACTTGCCGCTGTCCTCCGGTTGGCAGTTGACGATCTCCATTGTGATCACACCGTCGCTGTGCGTCATCGTGTACTCGTACTTGCTCAGCTCCTTGCTGCCCTTGTACCACTTGATCTGCGGAACAGTAGGCGACGGCCAGGAGTGGTGAGATTAGACGGACGGAGACCTGGCTAGAATCTGGGCTCTTAATAAATGGCAACTCTGGCACAGATACTGTTTACACCGAGGACCAAGAAGAAAATGACCGCGGCAAGGAGACAAAACGAAGTGAAAAGCTCGTGTAGAACAATCTAGGAAATGCTTGCAATGATACTTTAGATATTCTGAAGACAGAAAGGAAGCTCCAGAAAAACAAGAGATTTCGGCAACTACCAGACCGTACTCGATCCACTGGCCACGAACCGTGGGTGTGGGCTTTCCGCTGAGACAGCAAAGCAGCTTGCAGGTCTGGTGCATCTGCATGACGCGCGGCCGCAGGTGGAAGGTGAAGAGCGGGCCCGAGTCGGCCTCCTGCTCCCACACCCGCCGGTAGCTGAACAGCTGCTGCCGCCGCCGCACCGGCTGCTGCGTCTCGGCCGGCTTCGGCGCCGCCTGCGGCATCGCCTGCACGTTCAGGAAGACGGGCTCCTCGCGGAAGCCGTAGTGGCTCTCGGCGCGGATCATGTACTCGCCGCGGTCCGACAGCTTCACCCGGTTGATGATGAAGGTGTAGTCGTCGCCGGCGTACCGGCGCATGTATTTGACCGACTGTCGCAGCTCCATGTTGTCGCGGTACCAGGTGACCGTCGGCGGCGCCAGCGAGATGACCCGACACGTGAACCGCACCGACTGGCCCTCGTACGCGAACGCCGAGGTCGGGCGGATGACGAAGCGCGGCGCCGCCTGCAGCCGGTCGAAGGTGACCTCGTGCATGCGGTACCGCTCCATCTGCAGCTTCCGCAGGCTGGAGTAGTTGGAGATGTGGCCGATGGGCACCAGGAACTGGTCCCACGTGTCGTAGCGCGCGCGCATCCGGTCGCGCAGGCGCGTGTAGCGCGAGTTGGCGATCGGTGATGTGAGGTGGCTGTGGTCGCCCTTCAGCCACGGGTGCTCCAGACACTCGTGTGCAGTCATCCGCTTCCTGCGAACATGGGCGGCTCGATGTCAATTGTCAGACTGGCATTGATTTCATTTACGCATTCATTAGTCACTCATCGTACATGTGAGCTCAAAGATGTGAAGAGGACGTTGGGAGCATTGGAACACGTTCCTTTCATCCGCTTCCTACTTACTCCTTGGCCTTGATGAGGAGTCGTCGGATGAAGTCCTTGCCCTCTTCTGAGACGTTGTTGAAGGCCTCCTCGTCAAAGTCCCAGTCGCAGGAGCGCACGTTTTTGAGTGTGTCGATGTCGTTCTCGCCGGCGAACGGCGAGAGGCCGGACAGTCTGCGGGCACAGCACGGCGCACGGCATCACGGCAATGATTGAGCCGCTCAGTTAGTGGAGACGCTGCGCGCACACAACGCGGATACAACGCAACAGACGAACACGAGTATACACATAAAGTGAATGTACCAACTACAGATGATGGGACATTTAAACATTTGTGCCATCCACGTGGCATATCTACATATTTACACATTTGGTAGCCGGCGAACACCGTCAGGGTGCATTCCACAATATCCACATATCTGATATAAGTGTTAACGGGTTTTACTTTGTACACCTAATGAGAAGTTGCAGTGTTCAGTAATATTGATTATTGATGCTCAGCGAAGCCACCTTGGATAGGTTTCATGCACATGTTTTTATTAGGAAGGTGGTAATGCTATGGTTTGTTTAATATTACTACGTTAATTGTTATCCTGAAAACATGACATGGATTTACAAACATTCGTTTTTTCATTTCAACCAATACACCAAATGTTCATGAACATGCCATCAACTACAGACAAGTGCCTAAACAATGGCATGCTTTACCGCCTCTTAAGCAATCGTTTCTCTAGCCACCATCCACCTATTCGCTCTGCACCCGAACTCTGAAGTCTGCCCTGACCGTGGTCCCCAGGCTACTCACAGAACGTAGCCGAGCACTCCCACGGCCCACATATCCGTGTAGAAGCCGACCGGCTCCCGCTCCACGATCTCCGGCGCAGCGAACTCGGCCGTGCCAGTCGAGATCTTGACCAGCTCGTTGGGGTTCAGCTTGGTGGCCAGACCGAAGTCGATCAGCTTCACCTTGGTCGACTTGGACGTCTGGCACATGATGTTCTCCGGCTTTACGTCTGAGGGGTAGATCGCGGCGTTTTATGGGATTTTCGAATCGTGACCTCGTCCGGCAACATGCTGATATCCAATGTAAAATAAATTTGTAATGCACGATGTTTCACCAGGTCGCAGCATAGGGCTCTATTTTTTTTTAATTTTCTGAACCTTTGGAACACTCAAACTTAGCACCGAAGATCTGGAATTGCTAAGGAAACAAAGCTTATTGTCTAGTTAGCGGCACGGTAAAGGAAGGACTACCTATGATGTAGAATATACATTCTTACCGAGGTGGATGATGTTCTTCTCGTGCATGTGCTTGACGGCCTCGCAGATCTGGCGCATGTAGTTGATGACCTCGGCCTCTGACATGGTGTAGCCCTCGGCAGTGATGCGCTCAAACAGCTCCCCGCCCGAGAGGAACTCGAAGATCAGCACCATCTCGTCGTCCTCCTCGAACGCGTCGTGCAGGTTGATCAGCTTCGGGTGGTGCAGCTGGTTCATGATGTCGATCTCCTTCTTGATCAGCTCCTTCTCCATCGGGTGGCTGATCGGGATGAACTTGGCGGCGAAGATGTGGCCCGACTTGCGCTCGCGGCAGCGGTGCACGACGCCAAACGCGCCGGTGCCGATCTCCTCGAGTATCTCGTAGTGGTCGTAGACGCTGTCGTGTTTGATGTCGACTGGCTGCGGCACGTACTTGGAGTAGATGTCGAACACGAACTGGTCGTAGTTATCCACCTTCTGGTCCGACTTGCCGCGGATACGCTTGCCGTTCTCGTCCACTGCAGGGAAAGGGATGACAGTCATGATTGATGAACGTAACGTTCTGGGTTCATTTATGATTGCCTTATGGTAAATGATAGCTAGCGAAGTTATGACAGCAACAAGCTTCACCCTACTTTTCACTGGTGAAACTGACAAATTTGAGACACGGAACTTGACAAGATTTAGATATGTAACCGTCATGAATGACACGGAACTGACCAGTGGAGCTGGCTCTTTAAATCTGGTAAGAATACTTACCTTCGTATTTCTTGACGTCGCCCTTCTTCTTGGCCGTCTCCTGCGTGGTGATGGCCGACGACTCGACGCTCGGGTCGGACCGGCCGTAAATGTTCTCGGCGATCACCCGGAACGAGTACGTCTTGCCCGACGTCAGGCCCTGCGCCTCGTGCGTCGTGAACCTGCAGATTTGGGATGCGTAAAATGGGAACGAAAACGGGTATTTAGCCATGAGAAGCGTTACATTTAAACACTGGTTCCGAGAAGCTCGTAATGAGTTTCATTAAAAGCGTAGCATCCTCTTTTGAGGTCATGGGGTTACATACGAGTATTTCAGCGTTTATTTAAGCGACACCTTGACTTATTCAGACATTTTATTTTGCCTTTATGATGCCGTATAATAACGTGGACTTCCATTTGGTTGCGTTAAATGTTTAGCTAGCACGGAGTATTTTACAATGTCAGTAGAGAACGGTTACCGTTTACTGTGCACGACCAAAGCATGAGCATGTCATTTCGCTGCAGCGAATCAGCTAACCTGGTGTTTCCGCAGCGGATCCAGGAGGTCATCGGGTGCTCGCGCTTCTCGATGATATAGTTGGTCACGTTGCTGCCGCCGTCCCAGGCGGGCGGCTTCCAGCTGACGATGCACGTGTTGTGGGTCGGCTTCTCGGCCATCACGTACCGCGGCGGCTCCGGGTGGTCTGTGGACGAGGAGTGATGGGTCGTTGGCTGGGACACGGCTTAGCGTATCATCCCAAGCACGTCTTATTCGTATTCAAAACTCGTCCTTTTGCTCTTTGCCTAGTTTGGACACAACTGACGCGGATCCATGAGCTGATCCCATGTTTGAGATCAAACGGAACATCCTTTTGCCGGGTTGATGAGGACAGTAGCAACTGGCATGTGAGAGAAAGGGTGTGAGGAGGCGACGACATGGCCTAGGTTATTTTACTGGCGCGCTTGTTCCCCGATTATGATTTATGAGGATTCCTTGTACCACAGACGTGCGCGGTGATCACTGTCGGTCTGCTGTCTGTAACGTACCGGCGATCTGGACCTTGATGATGCACGAGTCCATGCCGAGCTCGTTCTCGGCCACCAGTCGGTACGGACCGTTGTCGGCCCGGTCCACGTCGCGGATTGTGAGGATCGCGTGACGGTCCTGCGGGGGAAGGCGGCGGGACGTCACACTCTGGGTCGTTACGGCTGTTCAGCTCGGAAGTCGATCGATGCAGTTTTATCAGTTGAGCTAAGAGCTTAGGCTACGTTTTCAGTTAGGACTCCGGGCCTGCATGTGGTCAGAGGAATATTTCAGACACAGATAAAGGATCCACATAAAATAAGTAAACATGACAGCCACTATAATAGCGAAGAAGTTGGAAAGATGCTGTCAACTGACCGTGGTCTGCAGGTCGTAGTGAGATCCCTTCTCGATGGTCTCGCCCTCCTTGCTCCACGTGCAGCGCGGCTTGGGGTTGCCCGTGAACGGAATCTTGATGACGATGTTCTCGCCCTTGTCGAAGAATGCCGTGTCGCGGAACCGCGGGGGCACGTTGATCTTCGGTGCCGCTGTAGACGAAAGCCATTGCGACGTGTCACAGTAAATCGACAGTCATAATTCCGTAACTTTCACGTCACCAACCACCTTAATCGAGCATCGCAGAGTTATGATTGTTCTGGTCCCACTAATCCTCCCCAAATGACCCCCGCCTTACTTTTGATGGTGAGGGTGGCGCGGGTGGACTTGTGTCCGGCGGCGTTGTGCGCGCGGCAGCTGTAGTCGTCGGCGTCCTCTCCGTACACGTCGCGTACCTCCAGGTAGTAGGTGTCGCCCTCCCGGTCCGTGTAGTACTTGCTGCTGTTGAAGATCTCGCGACTGCCCTTGTACCAGGTGATGGTCGGTTTGGGCGTGCCGGTGATCTTGCACTGGAAGTTGGCCGACTTGTTCTCCAGTGCCATCACGTTCTTCAAAGGCTGCACGATCTGAGGTGGCGTCGCCGCTGTCGGTGACAAAACGGGGGTTATAGATAAATAGAGATGACCTACCGAGGTAATGGCGCTGCCCAGGATTCATTTATTGACCAGACTATGGAGGTGTCAAGTTAAACATTTTACCATCGCGGAATTCAGTTCGAACCTTTTTCTTGTTAACAGGGTAAAAAAAAAAAAAACACTCAATGGGGCGCGTGACAGATGGAGAATCATCCATTAGTTATATTCTTGCCCATAATTCTCACCGTGTGGGTCCCGAATCTTCACGGAGGTGCTGGCAGAGGACGGCTCGCTGGTGCCGGCCTCGTTGACGGCGAACACGCGGAACTCGTACTGCCGGTCCTCCACCAGGTTTGCGATGTTGATCTGCGTCGTCGTGCACAGTACCTGGACGGGACAGCGAAATTGTAGTGAGGCTAGCGAAAGTAAGTAAGTAAGAATGTGCATGCTTTTAGGTATATGACGAATGGACTTGTCTGGAAATCCTTGATTATTTTCGCTTACGATAAATCGTTTTGAACAAATTCGCTCGAAAAAGGTTTTCATCAGGTATGTGCGTTTCATAATCTAATTGAGTCCCAAAGCTGCGAATGCGATTTATATCTTAAAATGTTTGGACTACGTCTCTCACCTGGTTGACCTTCTGCCAGGCGGTGCTGCCGACCTCGCGCTTCTCGATCCAGTATCCCTGGATGCGCGCGCCGCCGTCCTTCTCGGGCCGTTCCCAGCTGAGATTGACGAAGTCCCCGCCGACCTCCTTGACGCTGGGCTCGCCCGGTGGCGAGGGCGGATCGTACGGCGACCGCGCCTTCACCGGGTTCAGGCCTTCCAGCGGCGGGCCCATACCGTTCTCGTTCACCGCCATCACGCGGAACAGGTACTCCTGGTTCTCGGTCAGGCCCTGGACGATGAACGACGTGTCCTTGCACGTGGTGGAGACGATCACCCACTGCGAGTGGGTGATGTCGCGCCGCTCCACCACGTAGTGGGTCACCTTGACGCCGCCGTCGTAGGACGGAGGCCGCCAGGTGAGCGTGCACGTGTGTTTGGTGATCTCGGTGACCTGCAGCGGGCCCTGCGGCGCGCCCGGCAGTCCGGTGATGTAGATGTTGAAGCTGGCCGACACGTCGCCGCTGTCGTTGGACACTCTGAGCGTGTACTCGCCGGCGTCTGTCTTCTGGATCTCACGAATGAAGATGATGAGGTAGTCGTCGAACACGGTGTACTTGATGTGCTTGTCCTCTTGCACCTCGCGGCCATCGTGCTTCAGTGACACGTTCATCGGCTGGTCGCCAGAGAAGTAGATCTTAATCTTGGTGTTGTCACCCTCCGGCAGGTACAGGTCGTTCGGCATCTTGTCGATCTTGGGTGGAGCTGTAAAACAGATGCGAGGTTAAAAGAGCAAATGCCAAAACCATCAACTCAAGGTAGAAAGACACCACGAGTTGGTTTCTATTTTTTTTCGTTTGTAACAAAAGGTTGCTGGGAGACAAGAGTCCGTTTTAGTAGAAACATTTTCATAGTAATTACACTTAATAGGCTCTTTTGATTGATACGGTTGATTTGATCTGATTTCACCGTGGAAATTGCAGCACATCCTCGACACATCTGTCATCCCTCCTGCCATACCGCTCCGATTTGCTTACATCCGATGCGGACGCGGCAGGTGGTGGTGGCCTGTCCGATGGCGTTGCTGGCCACGCAGGCATATTCGCCGTCGTCCGAGGACCAGACCTCGCTGAACACCAGCCGGAACGTGCCGTCCGGCGAGGACTCGCAGCTGACGCGGCCCAGCTCCGTGTTCACCTCGCGGCCGTTCTTCAGCCAGCGCGCCGTCGGTGGCGGCGTGCCTGGGAAAATGGGGCTTCAGTCAAGGATCAACCTAGCTTTTGTCCCTAATTGCCTGAAGAATATTTTTGGCTACTGAAGTAATGTATGATCACATAATTATAATCGCAAGCTTTCCTTTGAAACGTCAAGCCCACTCGACCAGCAAAAGTAGGTATGTACGTCAGATATCTGAACATGCGGAAGATTGTCTGATACTTTACTCACCAGTGGCCTGGCATGTGAGCGTCATGGGCTTCATCAGGCCGGCGCCCGTGTTCATCAGCGACTTGACGAACTCGGGCTTGGTGCCTCCGACCACGTCCTGGACGCGGACGGGTCCCAGGCCCTGGGCGGGCTCGCTGCGGCCGGCCGCGTTCAGCGCGTACACCCGGAACTCGTAGTCGCCGCCCTCCTTCAGGTTGATGGCCGAGAACTCGCAGCTGGGGATGTTGTAGTCGTTGCACTTGACCCAGAAGGCGCTACCCAGCTCGCGCTTCTCCACCAGGTAGCCGGTGATGCGGCTGCCACCGTCGAAAGCCGGAGGCTCCCACTTGAGGTCGACGTAGCTGCGCGTGACCTTTGCCACCTGCGGGGTGCCCGGCGGTCCTGGAACGCCGAAGCGCGACTTGACCTTGACGCGTTGGCTCGGCGGCGACGGCTTGCTGAAGCCGGCCGCGTTCTTGGCCTTGACGCGGAACTCGTACTCGTGTCCCTCGAGGAGTGCGTTGACCTGGTGGACGGTGTCGCGCGCCAGGTAGTCGTTGCAGTCGCGCCACATCTCGTCTGTGACGTCGCGCATCTCGAGCTTGTAGCCCTGGATCTTTGATCCACCGTCCGAGTTGGGCCGCTCCCACATGAGTTTGGCCGAGCTGGAGGTGCAGTCGAGCACCTTGGGCCGGCCCGGCGGATCGGGCACGGTGAACGGGAACTTGGCCGTGATCGGCTCGTCCGAGTCGAGCGGCTCCGAGAGTCCGTACTGGTTCTCGGCGCGCACACGGAACAGGTACTTGTGGTTCGGCTCCAGACCCATCACTTCGTACGAGCAGCCGCGCACGAAGCTGCAGGCCTTCATCCAGATCTGCGGCCAGAAGTGAGCGCATCAGTAACTAAGCTAGGTCCTTACGTGGTAACACGTGTAATTACTGTATTAGTCGTTTTGTGGACAGCATAATGCTCATAATATGATAATCGTGTTTAAATTCTTTTGGACTAGTGAACTAATGCTTTAATGACAATTATGAAAATGTATGTTGTGTGAAAAGCTGCTTTTCCATCAGAGGATGGAAATAAAATAGAAACAATAAACGAAACAGGTGTGTGCTTACGTCCGACGAGACGTCCATCTTCTCGACGACGTAGTTTGTGATGGGCGACCCTCCGTCGTCGGCCGGCGGCCTCCAGGACAGGGAACAGTTCTCGGGCGTGATGTCCGAGATGTCCAACGGTCCCTGCCGAAGAAACACGGCGTCATGTGGTTCCGTGCCTCATGGTGTTAGGGAAGACGATTTTGGGAATTGGCTCCATATGAATACCCAAGTTACCCCAACGATTTGACGCAGAATCGTCGAACTGACTTCTGTCGCGACTGACTTACCTGTGGCGCGGTGGGCTTGTCGACCACCTGGACGCGGCAGGTGGCCGTGTCGTAGCCCTCCGAGTTCGACAGGCGGATCGTGTAGCTGCCCTGGTCCGACCGCTTGGCGCGCTTGTTGTGGAAGATAGTCGTGGTGTCGCTGTGAAGAGGCCAGCGTAGCGTGACTCAATTGATTACCTTCATGATTGCTAACCATTTTTACCATACGGAATGATGTCTGGAGATTCATTTTAACTTTAAGACTCTGCGCTAAGCAAAGATCATCCATCAGCTACTTTTTATGAATACGCTTCGTGTAAACGTCCCATGCTCGGCCCTGACCTGGTCTCGAACTTGATGCGTTCGTCCTGGACGACCTCCTCGCCTCCGACGGTCCAGCTGGGCCGGGGTCGGGGCGAGGCCGTGAACGGCACAGTGATGGTGAATGGCTCGCCGGCCATCACCGTCATGTCGCGGATCGCCAGGTCCGACGTGATCTTGGGCGCGCCTGTAAGACGGGGAGAGGGTAAGGTTAGATGTGCTCGATGATGAGTTTCTGTTTGTGTGTCTAGCACGAAATGTAAGCATGAACTAGGTACAGATCGTGTATGGTGAAAGGTTTCCCTCATACTTACTCGGCGGCGCCTGAGCCTTGATCGGGTCGGACGGATTGCTCCACGGGCCTTGTCCGGCAGCGTTCTTGGCCGCCACACGGAACTCGTACTCCTGGCCCTCCGTGAGGTTGATCACCCTGAAAGAACGTAATACATATCATATTTATTTGCGTAGTACATCAAAATACCAGGAATGTGTGTCATCCCTGTCGTACTCTATTTTCATATTGGCAAGGTAACATAGTGACAAAGTCACGGAATCCAACACCTTTTCTACCCCTCCTCGGTCCTCCTGCCTCCCGGTGCTCACCTGTACTGGAGGTCCTGGATGGTGCCGTGGCTGGCCTTGGACCAGCTCTCGCCGGGGATCCTCTTCTCCAGCACGTAGCCGGTGATGATGGATCCGCCGTCGTGGCGCGGCCGGAGCCAGGTCAGCGTGATCGAGTCCTCGGAGGTGTCCAGGCCGCGCGGGGCGCCAGGAGCGCCCGGCACGTCTGAGGGAGGGAATAATAAAAGGGTTAGTCGGGCAGAGGCCTAACGGCATGAATAGGCTTAGCTTGTAATTTCCATACATTTTCACGTCGTACTGATATGGTAAAGTTGGCGAGTCAGAAAAGAGAAAGCTGGAAGACAATTTAACCCGCGAGTTGCTGGGGGGGGGGGGCGTTAAACGCCCCCACTTTTTTTTCGCCGGGCCATAGCACAAAAACGGCGCGCCGCAGGCGCGCCAAATTTTGGGTACCTGTAGTGAATTGATTGAAGTTTATTGTGACAAAGTTTCAAAAAAATCGGTCGGGAAATTTTTGAGATATCGAGGTTTTAGTGACGTCATGATTTCTGAGTTTTCGACCAAAAACGGCATATGTTCAAAAAATCATATAAAATCACAGAATAGACATACAGACATGCCGTAAACGCCATTAGACTGCCAATACCATGATCAATCAAATGGCTATCTTCGATTATTGATTATCGTTCCGCATTTTCCAAAATCTTGAACTGAATCTTGGCAATTTTTCGTGACTACTTCACGACCATGATACATGAATTTGTTAAATTGAAGTTTTTAAACCAAACACGTACACATATGATAAAATGAATGTCACCATCGTGTTCTACGCCCCAAATTACCTATAAAACATGTGTCACAGGCTGCGAATATCAGTTTTGATTTTCGGGGATATGTGCCTACCCGGTTGACCTGACCTTGACCCTGACCTATGCTTGAATGACCCCTTTATGGAGCTGGCACACTTGTAGGCCCTATAGGGTGGATTGTGCGCCGTTTTGACAGAGTTTATGGCGAGAGGCGCCCATTGCGAAGTCCTGAAGTCCATGCTACTGAAAGCCCGATTTCAGGTGTTTGACCTGACCTTGACCCGACCTGTGACCTCAAAATTCAACTTTAAAGTACTCATCTGAAGCGTCTCGTCGCGCTCTTTCGTTTGCCGCCTCGTGCGTTTCGCTGCGCCTATTGGTTCTCGAGTTATCGGCTGGGGGCGTTTAACGCCCCCCCCCCCCCCAGCAAACGGTGGGTGGCGAAATACCCCAGCAACTGCCGGGTTAAGAGACCAAAGCGACGCTTCCCTCCAACGGCATTGGTACTTTTGGTTCTTACCGAACGGATGTCTGGCCTTGACGGGCTCTGAGGTCGGGCACGGATCCGAGATACCGTATTGGTTCTCGGCACTGACTCGGAAGTCGTAGTCGCGGCCCACGGTCAGGTTCTTCACCCGCAGAGCCGTGCCGGACACGTAGCTTGACACCTGGGAGACGAAGAGATGGTGAGAATGGTGCTCGATTTTGGACTGTTCTGAAGGAATGAGACTTGTGAGAACTAACAAGTAAGATGTTGGCACCACTTATATTTCCACCGTCATTGAAGTGTCTATTGTCTAAGTCGTTCATGTTCATGTCCATCTCGATGCATACGAGAGGTGAATTAATATCTAGGATACTATACAAAATCGATGCCAGTGTGCGCCATACCTTGGTCCAGTCCCTGGCGCCACGCTCGCGCTTCTCCACGATGTAGTTTGTGATGTTGGCGCCGCCGTCGTCCTTGGGTGGCTTCCACAGCAGCGTGAGGCTCTCGCCGCCAAACTCGTCCGCGCGCAGGTCGCTGGGCGGAGACGGACGGTCCAGCACCTGGGGGACGAGTCAGAGAAGTCATGGTCAGTTGCGTCCATTGTGCCAGTAGGATTGTCAATGTCAACGTAGCTGTCAAACAATGGGAGTGTTAGGTGACCTAGTTTAGTAGAGAAAACCAGGCCAGCAAAGGGACAGGCATGGCCTGGGCGCTACGCCCATGCCAGCCAATCGATGTTTCCTTCTCACCTTGACGTTGCAGACTGCCGTGTCGAATCCGGACGGGTTCTTGAGGTGCACTTTGTACGGGCCGGTGTCGCCGCGCTGGGCGTTCTTCATCACGAAGCTGGCCGAGTCGTCCGACAGCTGGCGGTGCACGCGCGAGTCGTCCTCGATGGGCGCGTCGTCGCGCGTCCACGTGGCTACCGGCTGCGGGAAGCCCGTGAACGGCACGTGGATGCTGAAGTCCTGGCCGGCGCGCACCGTGATGTCGCGGATGCCGGTGATGTCGATGTGCGGCTTGTTCGGTTGCTCCTCCACCTGATGACAGTAAGGGAGAATGTCAGTTTAAGATGGGTGATGCTTGGGATCATGTCCTTGGTTTGGTGCAGGCTTCTGCCAGACACGGGACAGCCTGGCTTATTCGGGTGTTAGCATCGAGCCAGCATAGCACCGGTCACAGAGCGCTGCCCTCGGCGCCGGCGCCTTTACATCTATTGAGAGCGGTCTGCGCGGTGGCGGGCAGCGGCTGCGAGGCTGTGGGCGGCACCCAGTGTGATTGTGCGGACTCGAGAGGCGCCCCGAGTTAAGTGCTCCGGTATTTTTGCGCCAATCGAGCGACACTGATTGTTTGTTTCGAATGAATGTGTTAAATATATGAGATGAGAGATGAGATGAGCTGTGGGATATCATTGTTAGAGTAACAAGAAGTAGCCTCTCACCTTGATGAGCGGCGACGGTTTTCCGGGCTCGGACTCGCCGACCTCGTTGACGGCGATGATGCGGAACGAGTACTCGTCGCCCTCGGTCAGGCCCGGCACCGTGAACGAGTTGAGCGGGTGCAGCGTGTCGTTGCACGGGATCCAGTCCTTGCTGCCCTTGGGCTGCTTCTGGATGAAGTAGCCGCGGATCTTGGCACCACCGTCGTTGGGCGCCCGCCAGGAGAGTGTCACCGAGTCCTTGGTGATACGGTCCGGACGAGGAGCCTCCGGTGCGCTCGGCTTGTCTGAAAACATATTAGGGAGGAGGTCAAAGATTGGTCGCAAAAGTTGCTGTCGTAAGCTGTTTAATTTCGTTCGTTCCTAACTCGTCGCAGAGGTGCAAATGGGCAATCAATTGATTTTATATCTTAGGTCTTGAAACACTGAAGGTTCTAAATAGCACGGACTGCGGTCACTCATTAGAGACGATCTTAGGCTCTAGCTCGTTTTACACTGCATCAACCACAACAAAGTCCATTTGTTAGTTTCTATCAACCAGTCCGGTCACAACCCGCGGCTGTCCGCTCCCCCAGACACTCTGTGACTCACAGGTCATGGGTCCGCAGGTGACCGACTCGGACGGCCTGCTCGGTTTGCCCGGGCCCGCGTCGTTCACGGCGATCACGCGGAACTCGTAGCGGGTGCCCTCCGAGAGGTGGCCCACGTTGAAGCTCGTGTTGGGTACCGGGTAGTTGTTGCATTTGATCCACTGGCCGCCGCGGTCCCGACGCTCCACAATGTAACCTGGAGGAGAAATGTGAGGGAGGGGTGACTGGACTGGTTTTGACGCTATCAATATGCATTAGGGTGACATGCATGTGGCTATCGAAGGTGGTATTTAGCGCCTGTGCTATGCAGGGCTTCTGATGACATTTGGATACACAAGTCAAAGTGCATAAGCATAGTGCCCCTACCCAGTGCAATAACAGCAACGCTCTAGCATCCGCACAACCGCTGCAGTCCATGACGTGGCTGACCTGAGACGGGGTTTCCGCCGTTGTCCTCTGGCGGGTTCCAGGTCAGGTTGACACCGGTCGGTGAGTAGGAGACTATCTTCGGCGCGCTCGGCGCTCCCGGAGCCTCGAACGGATTCTTGGCCGTGACCTGCAGCAGCGATGATGGGTCAGTAGCAATAGGAATCGGCGTTATATCAGCTTTATAGATTCTTGGATTCACTTTAAGAAAAGTTTTGTCGTTAAGGGATAAGAGGCGCTCAGCAACGTGATAGTCCCTCATTACCACAGCTATCCCTTATCTCCGCAATGTCAAACGCTACCACTAACCTCCTTGCCGGAGAGCGGCTCGGAGAGGCCGTACATGTTCTCGGCCCTGATGCGGAACATGTAGCGCTTGCCCTCGGTGAGACCCTTGACGGTGAAGGTCGGGCTGGGGATGTAGCCGGGCACCGGCCGGTAGTTGTCCATGCCGTAGTCGGCCATCTCCACTTGGTAACCTGCGCAGAGACAACGACGGCTTAGCATTCTCCTCTCAGTGTCAAGAAATGACATCGAGAAACATGGATTGATGAACATTAGATGACATAAACGATTCTCCATTGAAGGTCGGACATCACTTACAGACCTTCTTTCCTTCTATTGGCCACGTTTCTCCTAACACGTTCATTCATCATCATCGTCCGGCCGGCAGCCTCCCGCCACCGCCTCCTCCTCACCGGTGATGTCGGAGCCTCCGTTGTCGGAAGGCGGCAGCCAGGTCATGGTGACGCTGGTGCCGGTGACTTGGTCGTAGGAGAGCGGGCCGCGCGGCGGGCCCGGCTTGTCCACCACGATCACCTCCAGGTCGCCCTTGTCCGAGCCGTAGGCGTTCGTCGCCGTCACCGTGTACTTGCCGGCATCGTCGCGCGTCGAGCGCGGGATGTGGAACGTCGTGTACTCGGGCGTCGTGTCCATCTGCCAGACGTACAGTAGGGCGTCAACGAAGGCGGAGCAAATAGTGAAACGCTACAAGAAACACCGTAGAACGTCGGTAATGGCGGTACAAAGATGGGGAACACTGTCAGAAAAAAAAAACAGAGTGAGTCAGCCGCGGCAGTTCAACTGTGAAACGGCTCGTTTCATAGGCATGATGCCGAACGGAAGGTTCCTACATTCCATCTTTTTCGTCCCCTCACCTCGACGCGGCCGCCGTGAGACACCTTGCGGCCGTCGCGGGTCCACTCGACGGTCGGCTGCGGCGCTCCGCTCATCGGGATCCGGATGTCGATCGGCTCTCCGGCGCGGACGCGGATCTTCCGGCCCAAGATGCCGTCCAGGTTCAGCTTCGGCGGCTCTGTGCGGGTGAACATGGAACGTTAGGTGCCGGGGTGCTTGTCAGTAACCGATGAGTCGCCTGCTATGATCATATAACAGCAACATCCACTCTGTCCGCGTCAAGTCTGTCAGCGCCACTATACAAATACCTAATGTTCGAATATCATTGTTGGCATAGCGCCGCTTTGTCATTGATCTTTGAGTGTTTCCTAGGAAACGTGAAGTGAAACGATCGTCTCTCACCTTTCATGGGCCGGGCAGTGATGGTGTGGGACGGGTCGGACGGGCTGCCCGGTCCGGCGGCGTTGATGGCCGTCACTCGGTACTCGTACAATTTTCCCTCCCGCACCGTGTCGTCCCGGTAGTCGTTGCCCTGGAGACAAAGTGGTACAATATGATGGGTTATGACGACAATAAAAATATAACGCAAACATGACCGAGTTTGTCACTTCATTGATGACCAAAAGGCCTGACCGGTGAGTTATGTTGGCTGATTAGCTAGTACGAAGGTAAGATTGTGACGTCTTACCGGCGCCGGGTTCCTGCTGATCTTGGTCCAGCGGCCGGTCATGTGTTCGCGCCGCTCCACGTCGTAGCCCGTGATGCGGCTGCCGCCATTGGAGCGCGGTGGCTGCCAGCGGATCTTGATGAAGTCCTTGTCGGCATCCACCGCCTCCGGACGGCCCGGCATGCCTGGCACACCTGCGAACAACGAGACACAGTCGTCAGCGAAAGATACGGGGATAAGCAGGGAACGTTGGGGTACGCTCTTTATGGGCTGATTAATTTGGGAATCTGTGGTCTTCGTCTGTGCTTCAAGAAAGATCTTGGATTTTGGGATGGACAGGGAAGTATCGCGACTCCTTTCATCGTCATCGATATTTTAGCTATACATATCTTACCCTAAGGGCTAACCTGATCCCGTGTCACACGAATACTCACTCGACTCTGGCCAGTTCGGAGTCTGACTCACCGAAGGAGTTTTTGGCGACGACGGGTTTGTCGGTGGTGAGCGGCTCGGAGACCCCCTGCAGGTTCTGGGCCCGCACGCGGAACTCGTACTCGGTGCCCTCGAGCAGGCGCGGCACGGTGGCGTGCGTGTTCTTGGGGTCGACGTACTGCAGGGCCGGTACCCAGCCGCCGCCGTGCGTCAGGTCGCGCTTCTCCACGATGTAGGCGCTGTGAGTGTTGAAGTAGGTGGTGGAGTCAGACCAATATAAGGATGGAGACGATAAAAGCGTGGATCACAGATGCTGGGGATTTGGTGCAGACAGTGTTTAAAACTAGACATACATAGGCGAATAGTTAATGACGTCCTATGTGAGCAAGACGTGGCCTTCTGTCGCAGAGCGAAGTGACTAGTTACGCCAAGACTATTAGGCATAGCTTCTAATTTGTAGAAAATGTTTCGGATAAGACCTCTTCGCTTGACAAAATTCCCTCACCGAGCGTTCGTTACATGCGACTCACGTGATGGGGCTGCCTCCGTCGTCCTTGGGCGGCTTCCAGGAGAGACTCACGGTGCTGGAGGTGACCTCGTCGTACTCGAGCGGACCCTCCGGTGGGCTCGGCTTGTCCAGCACAATCACCTCCATCACACCTGGCACAAAGAGGAGGGCATAGTCACGGATGGACAGACTTGTGGTGAGGTCATTGCGGCTGAAGAATGATTGGATCAAGCCACCACTGGTAAAAGCCTGACATTGGTGGTGAGCTTCACACCTTTGTCGCAGCATGAATGGCTGTTGAGCTACGTATCCTCATAGGAGTCTTACTCGCTATTGAAATACGTACCCTCGTCGGATCCGGAGTCGTTGGTGAGCCGCAGCAGGTAGTTGCCCGACTCGCCGCGCTGCGCGTTCACCGAGTGGACCACCGTGTGGTGGTTGATGGCCGTCATCGTCGTCCTGGGGGCAGAGGCACTTGGCTTCATAAGTCCGGCAACGGTGGATTTCGTATATCGGAGGAATGCTTCAGCGGCTTTCTGTCAGTTTTAAGTTATGCTTTGCCATTGCTTTGTCATGCTTTGCTATGCTATGCTTTGTCACCGACATATTTTCGACACCCCTTTCTTATCTGTCGAAGTACCAATCCTATTGAATGTCATCACTGGTACCTCGTCCTCACCAATCCCTTTCCTAACACATCACGCCACGATTATGTCCCCCCCCCTTCGAACTGCCAGAACTGTGCGAAGCATACAAGCTGTACGAACCTCTCGGAGAGCTGCAGCGGGTGTCCGTTGACCAGCCACTCTACGGTCGGGTCCGGCTCGCCCACATAGTCGATGTCGATGTGCAGGATCTGACCCGCCTTGATACGCAGCTCCGTCATCGGCGTCTTGATCTTGGGCGCCACTGAAAACACGAGGCACAATAGGTTACCGCATGATCTTGGCCTTGGCACACACCTTTGCTAGTGAATTTGACCGTACCTATCAGTCGGCATGATATTTGATCTTTGCGCTTGGAGCAGGCTCGTGAAGATTGCATATCACGGCGCTACGGCGCTGACAAGAGTTGCTCCCAACAAAACAAAGAAACAAAAGCGTCATGATATTTGTTTTTTGAAACCCTTTACATCCGTAACTCACGTCTTCGCGGCCTGGCCATGACCAGGTCAGAGGGCTCGCTGGGCTCCGACTGGCCGGCCTTGTTGACGGCGATGATACGGAACTCATACTCCTGACCCTCGGTCAGGTCAGGCGCGACACCCTGTGAGGGGTCGGGAGGGTCAGTCGGGTGTCTCAGGTCCTTTTAGCGTATGACGAAGAACCTATTGTGTTGTTTGATCCGCATAGTGTTACATATGGAAGCGCTTTCGATTTCAATGATAAATTGGTCATCGGTAGTTGAGCTATGAGCTCAAGTTTACCTGTCATTCTCCGGACTCCGACTGCCCGCCCTTATCACTTCCTACCTTCGTCTTATCGGCGGGCACGCGGGCGGCGTTTTGCCAGATGGGCGATCCCTTGGCTTTCTTCTGGATGATGTACCCGGTGATGGGCGCGCCGCCGTCGTGGCGCGGCTTGGTCCACTCGAGCTCGACAAAGTCGCTGTCCCAGTCGGTGACGATGGGACGGCCGGGCGCGTCGGGCTCGTCTGAGGGAGCGAGACAGCGGTATTGAAAATTACATCGACCGTGACTATAATGGAAATGAAATCAGAGGCCTCACCTGCAGCACCGGGAAAGAAATGGCAGTGATATCACTGCAGGTGACGAATCATCTCCCGAGGGGCTGGAAACGGCTCTATATATCTTAAAATAAAAGTTCAGCGATGCTCGACATTCCTCATAAACCAAAAGTTCGCCACAGGAGATCGCCTGAATCCTTTTACACTCTCCGCTGCCAATTATGTATCCCATCGCTGTTACGTACCGCACTCGTTTTTGGCGATGATGCTGCGGTCCGTCTTGAGCGGCTCCGACTCGCCGATGTTGTTGACGGCCTTGACGCGGAACATGTACTCCTTGCGGTGCACCAGGCCCATCACGTCGGCGCTCAGGTTCGAGCTCTGGCAGACCTGGCGAATGCAGACAACACAGTGTGATCGGGGACCTAGTGGGACTTGATGTTTGGCTGGAGTTCAGATGGCGTGGGTAGACTGTGCCGCACGACGTCCGGGTGCTGCGGCACAGCCAAACTATTCCCATACAGCTGCCTCTTGGTGGGGCATTCGTTTGCGTAACGCTAGATAAAGAGTTACTAAATGTGATTCGACATTTTATTTAATGTTTTATGGATCCCTTTTCATAAATGCAGAAGTCCGCTTGACAAATTATTTTACCAGCCCACCCTCATCTAACACACAAGTGTTCACGATGCGATACAGCCACCCCTGTGACCGGGAGGATGTAGGGGAAGGTGGGGTAAGACGGACCAGCTAAGAGAGAGAGAGAGAGAGAGAGAGAGAGAGAGAGAGAGAGAGAGAGAGAGAGAGAGAGAGAGAGAGAGAGAGAGAGAGAGAGAGAGAGAGAGAGAGAGAGAGAGAGAGAGAGAGAGAGAGAGAGAGAGAGAGAGAGAGAGAGAGAGAGAGAGAGAGAGAGAGAGAGAGAGAGAGAGAGAGAGAGAGAGAGAGAGAGAGAGAGAGAGAGAGAGAGAGAGAGAGAGAGAGAGAGAGAGAGAGAGAGAGAGAGAGAGAGAGAGAGAGAGAGAGAGAGAGAGAGAGAGAGAGAGAGAGAGAGAGAGAGAGAGAGAGAGAGAGAGAGAGAGAGAGAGAGAGAGAGAGAGAGAGAGAGAGAGAGAGAGAGAGAGAGAGAGAGAGAGAGAGAGAGAGAGAGAGAGAGAGAGAGAGAGAGAGAGAGAGAGAGAGAGAGAGAGAGAGAGAGAGAGAGAGAGAGAGAGAGAGAGAGAGAGAGAGAGAGAGAGAGAGAGAGAGAGAGAGAGAGAGAGAGAGAGAGAGAGAGAGAGAGAGAGAGAGAGAGAGAGAGAGAGAGAGAGAGAGAGAGAGAGAGAGAGAGAGAGAGAGAGAGAGAGAGAGAGAGAGAGAGAGAGAGAGAGAGAGAGAGAGAGAGAGAGAGAGAGAGAGAGAGAGAGAGAGAGAGAGAGAGAGAGAGAGAGAGAGAGAGAGAGAGAGAGAGAGAGAGAGAGAGAGAGAGAGAGAGAGAGAGAGAGAGAGAGAGAGAGAGAGAGAGAGAGAGAGAGAGAGAGAGAGAGAGAGAGAGAGAGAGAGAGAGAGAGAGAGAGAGAGAGAGAGAGAGAGAGAGAGAGAGAGAGAGAGAGAGAGAGAGAGAGAGAGAGAGAGAGAGAGAGAGAGAGAGAGAGAGAGAGAGAGAGAGAGAGAGAGAGAGAGAGAGAGAGAGAGAGAGAGAGAGAGAGAGAGAGAGAGAGAGAGAGAGAGAGAGAGAGAGAGAGAGAGAGAGAGAGAGAGAGAGAGAGAGAGAGAGAGAGAGAGAGAGAGAGAGAGAGAGAGAGAGAGAGAGAGAGAGAGAGAACTGTATTTACGGACTCATGGTCCAATTGTAAATGAGGCAGAACCACTAAGGTTTAAAGCCGCATATCTTGCTACACTGCTCTCGTAATTCATATTATTTATAGTCTTCGGAATGCTCAATCCTTCCTCTGTTGATATGTGTAAAGACTAAATTTCAAATTAAAGACATCTAGGTGGTGGATGCTCTTAAAGAGGGACATGTCAAAAACTCAGACAAGAAAAAACGTGGGGTAAGACGGACCACCCAGCAGTGCCTGCTATCCGTTCATGTGTGTTACACTTCTGCTCTGTACTCTTGTAAGAAAAAGTAACCAGAATGGTAAAATAACAAAATGAGCCTTTATTCATTACTCATGTGTGATGGAAGTGCAGCTAAAAGCTGGGAACATGTATGTTGATTGTCGTTTGGCATGAATGCATGCTAACTGAGCACCTGCATGCATGGCTCACATGCAACAAAGACTCCTTCCTGAAAAATTAGCTTACTTAAACTTGTGTCAATGTTTTGGAAAAGAACTTTCCATATGCAGGGTACAATGGACCACCACAGGGTAAGATGGACCACAGTGGTCCGTCTTGCCCCAAACCTAAATTCTGTCATTATCATGACGTATATGTCAAATAGCCCAACATTGCAAAACCAGTTGCCTTTCCTAAAGTGTGACTATAACTAAGTTTATAACTTTGTTCTTCACAGTTAAGTGCAAAATAGAAACTAATCATGCAAGAAAGGCGGCGTAATTGAATCACCCGTAGACCTCTTATATTAGATCGGTTTGACGAAAAACAACATTTTTCTCAATAACTCAAAAGCTATGCATCCTAGCAGCATGAGCTCAAGGTGGCCATTGTTACGAAGGAAAACAAACATAGTGAGTGCATAAAGCAGTAGATACCAGCAGCGGTTCAGCCGGGAGGGCTGGTGGTCCGTCTTGCCCCGCTGGGCCGTCTTACCCCACCTTCCCCTACCGACCTCTGTCCAGGTGCCTCTGGACGTGTCCATCTTCTCCACCAGGTAGTGGGTGATGGGAGAGCCGCCGTCGTCCTCCGGCTCCCGCCAGGCCAGCTTACAGCCGTCCTTGTTGACGTCAGACACCTTGAGCGGGCCTTGAGGCGGCGACGGCTTGTCTAACGGACAGAGAGCCGGGCGGGCAACGGTTAGATACGCCACGTCGAACAATAATTTTATCGCTGACAGACTTAAGACAGGACGTTGCTTCAGTTAACAGGAAACTTTAAATGGCAAAGATATATCCCTGTTACAAAGACTCGAGGCGTATTCGAGTTTGCTTTAGCTATTTCCAAGTCAGCATTATAGCCGAAGGAAGACGCATGAACATTCCATAGCGCCCTTGCTCTAGCCCATAACTGTTTTGCTTAGCCCCCTTCCCCCACTGACCGAGCACGGTGACGGTGGCCTGCGCCGAGTCCGAGCCGAGCTCGTTGCTCAGCGTCAGTCGGTACGGGCCCGAGTCGGAGCGCAGCGAGAACGGAATGTCCAGCGTGGTGTGGCCGGAGAACGTCTGCAGGTCCACCCGCTCCGAGGGCTCCAGCACCTTGCCGCTCACCTGCCACTGCACCTGCACGCGCAGGGAGGGTGGGAATAGGGTTATTGCGGCCACGAGATAACCCGAACAATGTGGATAGCATATTTGTTTCATAAGTGAGGGCACTCAGCGGAGGAATACCGAGTGGAGCGTGGCTTACCTTCGGCTTCGGAGATCCCTCGAAGGGAATGTTGTACTGAATTCGGGTTCCAGCGCGAACCACCAGATCCTCCAGAGCAGACTTGTTGAACGATGGCTTGACTGTGGAACAAGATTCGGGAACATTAAGTATAGAGTATAGGTCTGAATGAATAAATGAATGAATGAATGAATGAATGAATGAATGAATGAATGAATGAATGAATGAATGAGTGAATGAATGATTGATTGTATGTATTTTTTTCAGCATTTCAACTTTTCATCGCAGGCTCTAAGTCCGACAAAGTGTCCGTACCTATGCCCGGCTGTCGCCCATGTTCCCCGTACACTGACCGAAGCGCGGTTTGCAGGTGACTGTATCGCTGGACTCTCCGGGCTCCGACGGGCCCGCCTGGTTGACGGCGATCACGCGGAACTGGTACTGCTCACCCTCGCTCAGGTCCGGCACCGTGCCGCGCGTCTTGTCGCCGGGCACCTCGGCGGCCTTCTCCCACATACTGGTGGAGGGGAGGCCAGGTCAGGTCAGTGTCATTGTCGAGTGACGGGGGATTGAGATCCGGTTAGTTGAGTCGCAGATGTCAGTCTCAGGTGAAGTCAGGTGAAGTCAGGTCAATTGTGTTATACCGAGGGCTAGGCATGGCTGTAGGTCACTGAGAGCGTCAGGCTAAGCGAAGTGCCTTGGACACTCAATCGAATCACAGGTATATGAAAGCCTCTCGGTCCATATTTGCAGTAGCACTCAGTACTCACCCGTATTTGGGCTTCTTCTCAATGATGTATTTGCTGATAGGCGAGCCGCCGTCCTGTTTGGGCGCCGGCCACTCCAGGTCCACGTGGTCCCGATCCCAGTCGGTCGCCTGAGGACAGCGGACACGATCCAGTTAGCGAAGACGAGCTTTGTCCTATATGACAAGATGATGTTGCCTGGCTTTGATGTTAAATGATTGTGGGTTCTAGCCATGAAAGGTGACTTACATGATTATACTCTCATAACCCTCTCGTCTTTGCGTCTTACGATCGTTTAATCAGACTATCATCTGAAATGCATGCCAAGTTCTCGGGCTTGAACTGACCGTGGGCTTTCCGGGCCTGTCGGGCTTCTTGAAGGGGTCCTTGGCGGTGACGGTATCGGTGCCAGTCAGCGGCAGCGACTGGCCCATCCGGTTCACCGCGTACACCCGGAACTTGTAGTCGTGGTTCTCAATCAGGTGGTCCACCCTGTGGGAAACGGGGAAGGTTGTAATGAAGTCATTCGTTTGCCTGATCATAACAGTACTAAGTCATGTGAAAGTTTGATGTGAATAGTGCCGTGATCTCAGCAACTCACCGATGGAAAGAACCCAGTTCGTGTACTTATTGCCCATCTCGACATGGACTGGTAGTTATCCCCACTCCCCAGCCATCACACGACTCTCAAAACGGCGGCTCAGGTCTAATTGTTTCACTTCTAATGGTGGCAGCGCGGACTGTCACTGAACTCACTTCATGTGGCAGCGCGGGCTGTCACCGATGGGCACCCAGCGGAAGGTGTCGGCGTCCATCTTCTCCACGCTGTAGTGGGTGATGTCGGAGCCGCCGTCGTCCTTGGGCACCTTCCAGCTGAGCGTGCAGCCCGACTTCGTGACGTCAGAGTGACGCAGCGGGCCCTGCGGCGGCGACGGCACATCTGCCGGAGGGAGGTATGGTCAAAAGTGTGGTCAAAGGGCAAAAGGGTACAAAATACCAGTTATGCTGTGTACATGACTAAACGGCAAAAGAAACGTTTAACAGCGTCTGATTGTCAACATGCTGAATTCCTTGCCTATTCATACCAAAACGTCACGAATCCCTCGTTTCCCAGTCGGTACTCTGTCTTCGCTGACCGTCCCAGTCTCTGGCTCACCCATTACGTTGACCCGGACGGTGTTGGTGTCCCGTCCGTTGCGGTTCTCCGCCGTCAGCGTGTAGTCTCCGGAGTCGGCGCGCTTCACGTCAAACACCCGCAGTTTGATCAGGTAGTCCTCGGGCGTGATCTTCACCCGGTCAGACGCCTCCAGGGGACTCGACTGCGAACGTGGTGGGGTGCAGGGGGATAGACGTCAGAGCGGCAGGAGTGTTTTTTTTTTTTTGCAAGGTTTGCTTTTTGTGTTGCTCTTATTCGAAGACAAAAACTGCGCTAAAAAAACAGCATCACGAAGACCCAATTTTTCTTAACGAAAATATCCGAGACATAATTTTCTTGGTTTTTACATTTTACGAATTTTCGTCTTAGCCAAAGGTCCGCTCGTATTCATCTGTTGAAGAGTCTTACCTCTACCGGATAGTATTGATGCTTTATCACAACTCCAAACATACCTGAAATGTCCATTTTTTGGTTGCTGGCGGCTCGCCGGTGACGGGCACGTCAAACTCGATCGTCTGTCCGGCGCGCAGCTTCAGCTCCGTCATGGCCGTGCGGTCGATCCGCGGTGCCACTGGCGGAGAGACAGGCTGGTCACTCATTGCTTATTATTATTATTATTGTTTATTCAGCATCGTCATGCGACAAAAAGATACATACTCCCCCCCCCCCACCCCACCCACCCACACACACAGTTAATCAGCACTCAGGAGGTTAGTAGTCTTAACAGGCGCCGCGAGGCCTGACAGTTGCTTGCCAAAACCATCTTCAAACTGTCTATAAGACCGCTTTCTTGGAGTGGTGCCCGGACTATGTCGTGATCGACGTACCCAGCAGCGATGTGCATGATAGCGCCGAAATTCCCACCACACAGATTATATACGTGGCCAATAAACGACCCATCCAACTGCTCGGGGTACGTAGCAAGTCTGGCCAGTCCAGTGACGTAGGCTTGGCGAAGACGGTGGTCAGCGCGGAAAGCATTACGGAATGCGCGGAGGGCATCACCTCGCAGCACCTCACCGATGCGAGGCACCCCAGCAGCAATCAAAAGAGCCGTATGGTGCGCAGAACGCGGCAGACCCAGCGCTGCCTTGATCAGCGAAGCCTGTCGCGAGTCTAGACGCTCAATGTCGGCGGAGCTGAGGGGAGCCGTCTCACAGCCGAAGATCAGTGCCGGCAGCACTACTGTCTTCCAGAGGAAGATTTTGTCAGCAGCAGTCAGGCGGTTGGTGAAATTGCCCAGGGGTGTGAGGCCATAGAATGATGCACAAGCACGCCTGATGCGCTGAGCCACGTGGCTGTCTGTGCTGAGGTTGTCATCAAGCACCGTACCGAGGTGCTCGGTCGTCTGCCGGATCTGCAGCTGCTGTCCTGACAGTGTCCACCTCGGTGTGCTCGTGAATAGTTCCTGTCCAAATATAATACAATGGCTCTTGGTTTTTCCCGGTTCAGGGTGAACGAAGTCGAGGCGCCAAGTAGCCGCGAATTCTCCCACCATCTGCAGCATTGCACCGAGGTCACGCGCGTTCGCAGATATAAGGAGAATATCGTCAGCGTAGCAGATAGCGGGTACGTGCTGGCTGTGTAGATATGCTCCACGACCGCTGCGATCTAGGACCTCAATAAGAGGTAAGAGGAAGATGTTTGCAAGGGTTGGCGATAAGATGGCCCCTTGTCTGGTGCCCCTGCAGATCAGGAACGCTTCAGATGTGGCGCCACCAAAAGTCACCCTTGCAGAGAGGTGGCGGTACCAGGTGACCATGAGGCACCAGCAGTAGTCGCTAAGATAGTCTTCCAGACGGAAGAACAGACCGTCATGCCATATTCGGTCAAAGCATTTCCTCGCGTCAAGGTTTGCGACAAAAACAGGAAGACCCCTGGCTCGATTCTGCTGTATGGTCTCTCCAGCCAACAGAGACGCTTGCACGGTGCCCCGATTGGAGATAAAACCAAACTGCAGATGATGAGGTTCAAATGAGGCGTTCAGTTCGTCTAGCACTAGCAGCTCGAGCAGCTTAGATGCGCAGGTTGTGATTGAAATCGGTCGATAGTTGTCCAAGCAGTTAGGGTCCGATTGAGATTTCTTCAACACGGGTACAATAACGCTGTCAGCGAAGGTAGCTGGCACGCTACACGTGGACAGGCAGACAGAGAGAAGGTGCGCCAGAGCTGACAGGAGACAAGGCGACTGACCATAGAGAAGGTGCTCCGCCGTGATGCCGTCTATACCAGGTGCCTTCCCACGCTGTAACCGGTGAATGAGGCCTGCTACTTGTCCAGCTGAAACCGTTCTTTCGGATGCATCGTTACGGATTCTCCTTAGTCGAGAATCTACATGTTCAGCAATTTGGAGCTGGTCCAGAGTCAGTTGCCTGTGACTATCTTGGTGCACAGTCTGGAAGGGCTTCCATTTTTTGTCAGATCCAAAAAGTGTAAAAATGCACCAAATCTTGTAAATATTCATCAAATGTGACATCTTAAACCAATATTGGTAAGTTAGCACCAAACCAGGAATTTGTTTTACCAAAATAAGTAAAATTTATCACCAAAATAGGAATTTTCAGGCAACTCGACCATTTTTAGGGAAAACCCTACCAAATGAAGTACAAATTTACCAAAAAGTGAATTCCTTCCACCAAATACATGCAAGAATGCACCAATTTTAGTAGGAATGTTTTATCTACTGGATCAAATGGTATAATTTCAGTAGAATTTCTGGCAGCGCTGGCAGCGACTCGGCGTGCCGCGACGCTTCGAAATGGAGCGTCCTCGGTTCGGTAGCGTCCCCTAACCTTTGCTTCGGTCCTTTGGTCGTTGAGTGTCGCGTCGTTCGTTGAGTTGTGTCTCCCAGCGCGGACTTTTTCGAAATTCGGGGAATAGTGCAAACCCGTGTATAACCAAATCAATCCTCTTACAAGTTACAGATCCTCTAGCTTTGCAGTTGTCTTGTAGAGGAAAGCCAGCAATGGAGGAATCGGATGTCTCCTTGAGCGAGTTTCAATCCGAGACCACTCCCGAGGGCTGTTCACGGGCCCTGTGTGCGGTCGGACCGCACAAGCCTCCAAGCTCCGCCCACTGCGTCCCTACGTCAGCCTTCCGTCACCGCACCTATGACCGCACACAGCGACCGCTGTGGCCGGTCGGGACTGGCCACAGCGGACCGTCCACCGCACGCAGCCGTGACGTCAGAGCCGCCCGCCAACCCATCCCCTACCCCCACGCCTGCTGGACGCACCGCACACACCGGACGCAGCAGTGTGCGGTGCCCGTGAACACCCCTCCGCTCAGTTTCGCGTTAGTAGTGGTCAGGGAGGGAACACCCCTCCGGGCAGAGTGCAGCCAAGTGCCAAAAAGCATCAAGGCTAATTTGCCTGGAAGACCATCTGGGTTGATCTGGCTGATCAACAAGCTGCTCTTGCCATGATGAACTCTGGGCAAGAAGGTGATGCGGGATGGCGGCTCTGCCGAACTCATATCCCAGTAAACATGCCGACGTCGGCCCGACGTCGGGCCGAGGCTCGGCCCGACGTCGGCCCAGCGTCGGGTCAACCTCGGCCCGACATCGGCTGGACGTCGGATATGCCCGCATGTTCCGACGTCCAGCCGAAGTCCAGCCGACGTCGAACCGACGTCGGGCCGAGATCGTTTGCCGAGGTTGACGAGATCGTTTGTCGTTGGACCGACGGGGCCGACGTCGGCATGTTTATTGGGACAACGCGCCAAAAATATCAACCGGCGGCGGGATTCGAGCCCCCCAGTCGCCGACGTCGGCATGTTTACTGGGACAACACGCCAAAAGCATCAGCCGGCGATGGGATTCGAACCCCGTGTCATTCGAATGCGAGGTTAGTGCGCTAACCACTACACCACGCAGCCAGCTAACGAATTTGGTTTGTTTTGTTGGCTTATGTCCTTTCGGTCTGACAAGACCATTTCAGAGCCGGAAGGATCATAGGATGGAGACATTGGTCTTCTTGGCGAGCACCCTGGGTCCAGTTCATATAGAGTCCCTGGTCGCATTGCTGTTACGTGACACTGATTGGAAAGGGCGACCCCACAATGGATTCATATAGCCACTCTTACACACCTGCACCAACGTTTCCCAAAGTGTCCCTTTGATAAGTGGCACTTTGGCAAAGTGACACTTGCCGACTGGCCTTTCTATATGAACTGGGCCCGGCCCTGGTGAGTTGCCGGGGCTGAGCCTGACCAAAGGATAGGCCGAGCAGCCCCCAAGCACTCACCGCACCCGGCTACGGGCGAGCTCGGCTTACGGGCAATCCCAAATGGGATCAAGTTTCCCGTCCAGTCCGGATCAGGGGGTTGCGGCGTGGAGGAAGATTTGAGTTTCCTGAGGATATTTTGAATACAGAAGCTCTTTATGAAACATGAAACATGTATTTTATATTATTTTAACGGTCAAAACAGCGGCCGATGTCGGTCCGACGTCGCCCCGACGTCGGCCCGACGTCGGCTGGACCTCAGCAATTGGTCTCGGTCCGACGTCGGCCCGACGTCGGCTGGACCTCGGCTGGACGTCGGAACATGCGGGCATATCCGACATCCAGCCGACGTCGTGCCGAGGTTGGACCGACGTCGGGCCGACGTCGGCATGTTTACTGGGATGCAAAGACGTGTATTACCTAATCATTTAATCAATTAGTGCGGCGAAATTACATTTGGTGCATTGTTACGCTTTTTGGTGAAGATATCCACACACAAACGTAAATACCTGGCAACCTTCCAGAATTCAGTAGAAAAGACTAGATTGGTACAGAAATTCCGGTTTTGGTTCAAATAACCTGTAATTTATTTGGTGCAAGACATACCGATATTTGGTGAGACAGCAATCACAGATTTGGTGTAGAAACCCCGGTTTTGGTCTGCCAAAGTATTAGTCCCCGTCTGGAAGTGGGTGCGGAAGTCGGCGGCGGATAGATCAGAGGCCGACTTGAGTCCATTACGCCGTATCTGTTGCACACGTCGCCAGAAGGCTGTCAGATTTTTGTCACGGCGGAGCAGTCGGAGAGTGTGGACCTCGCTCTCGATCCGCGTCACTGCTGCACGTCTGCGGGCGTGACGGTAAGCAGATCTTGCAGCCTGATAGCACTGTGCCACTGCTGAGAGGGTAGGACGGCCACAGTTTACCCATATCTGATGCCAGAAACGAGTGCGATCCCGCGCCTTGCCCGCGCCACTGCCACATCAGGCGACCACCAGGGCTTCGGGGGACGTCGCGACTTGGAGCATCCGGCGATTCGCGCAGCGGTATGTATGCATCGTGTAATTGCTTCGTCAATCTCATCCGGGGTGGCACCGTTGGTGAGCTGACAAGCACCAATAAGCTCGTCCAGAGAAGACAAATATATCTGCAGTTTTTCTGGACAACTCCAATCTAGTACTTCTGAATGGATGGAACCCATATTTAGTGGAGGGCTGGAGACATCGAGACTGGTGCCAGCTGAGGCAGACGGCAGCACCACGCTGCAAAGGACCGGAAGATGTGGGCTCAGGTTATCCACACAGGGGGCTACGATGCGACAATCATGAACTTGAGGCACCAGACATTGCGGTACAGCGATGTGATCGATGTGCGATTGGCCGTCAGCTCGAGCATAGGTGTACGCCACTGGTTGCGAGAACCGGAACTCGGCGACTGTCAGTCCGTGGTCGTCCAATAAGTCTTGCATTAGAAGACTCAGCGGAGAGAAACCCCGAAGACGGTGCCAGCCCGGTGGGCGCAGTTCTGGTGACAGTGGTGGCAGAGCACAGTTAAAATCGCCTGCAAGCACCACTGGAGCTGAGGGTCTTAGCGAAGAGAATAATGCATCAAGCTTCCCCGTCAGGATTGTGTACTCTTCAAAATTTACGGCAGATGAATTCCAGTACGGCATGTAGCAGCCAATTATCGTTATAAGAGGATGGCTCAGCTCCACAATCGTAACTCCACAGATACGAGAATCATTACACTCTACAGCGCGAAATGTGCGCCCCGCTTGACGGCGGCAAACAAAAGCCACGCCACCGTGGGGTCTGCCATCTCCAGTCCCTGGTGGTAGTTCCATGGCGAATTCTTGAAATACCTGAAATTCTTCGGAACTTAGAGAGGAGAGTGCATGCTCCAGATAAGCACCCTGGGCACGGCCTAGCCAGGTTTCGCATAAAAATAAGATATCACATTCAGGTATTAGACAGTCGGCGATATACTGCGCTCCTGCGAGAAATCCTTCGCAGTTATAAGTGCCCAGAGTGAGGCTCATGTTCAGAGTTACTTTTGCGTCCACAGAATTACGGCACTCCGCTCTGTCATGCTTCACAGCGGTGGCAGCAGGACAGGGATGGCCCCCAGGAGTAGCCATCTGGGCGCTATTCCCAGGAGGTGGCCTCTCGTGCGCGCTGATAGGGCCACCCACGGTATCCGGATCCGTCGCATTGCGAAGCAGTCGCCCTCCAGCCGTTGCCACCGTGTGTGGCGCCTCCTCTGACGTGACGGGAGGCAGCTGGAACCCAGGGAGCGCCGGCGTCCTGTTCGCTGCCTCGACTAGGGGCGCCTGGGCGGTGAGAGGCGGCTGTTGCCCAGTGTCCGTCTCCATCACGGCGCTGATAGGTTGACACCCATTCATTGTCATCTTGGTGTCCATGGTATCTAGCTGGCACGAATGGTCCATAACGGCGCGGCCTTTCCTCTTCCCAGCCACCGTCACCATGTGTGGCGTTACTTCCGTCGCCGCCGACAGCGTCGACCGCGCTAGATGTACCGACGCCGTGAGTGCAGTCTCTGTTCGGGGCTCTGGAGCGCTGTGAGGTGACTGCTTCCCGGCGGGTCTCATCTTCGTCCCGGCGTTGGGCGGCCGCCGTCCAGGCAGTGTCACAGTGTTCAATGCCTCTGACCACATCACTGTAACGGCGCGGGGCCGTCGCCTGCCAGTTAGCATTGCCATGTTCAGTTCTTTTTGCAGCACTCCGGGTCGTCTGTGATCTTCCAGATGAGGCCGCAGGACGGCGAAAACGCTGTCCTCGGCGCCCAGTGTTCACAGGGTGAGGTAAAAGGCGCACAACCAGGCCAGTCGGCCAGCTGGACGGGTCCAATATACGATCGGTGTCCTCAGCATCAACCTCAATCTTGAACGCCTTGCTTACAGAGGCAGCAGGACCGCGGCGTGACACCCTTTGGAAATCATGGAGATTGCGAACAACGGTCCAGACCAGACTCCGCACGTCACTGTCAGCAACATCCACACGGAAGCCCTCCAGGATGAACTTCTCCTTCCGAGATTCTTGACGAGGCGGCTCCTGAATCAGAGCCGATGGGGGACCAGAGCCGGTCACCATGCTCTGTCGCCGTGTCGGGCCGCCTGGAGCCGCGGCAGACGTGTCGCTGGTCGGTGCCGCAGTCGGCACTGCTGCTTGACTGTGGTTCGCGGGCTGCGCTGTCCTACGCTCAGACACGGTATGCGTGTTCTGCTGCTCTGGCTCACTGTCTGAATCGCCGACCCGCCAATGCAGGGCACCAGCGATCGCCTCACCCAGGGCACGCAGATCCAAGTTGGCGGCAATCTCGCGGGCGGCGGTGCGGTCAGAGTGAGCCTCTTCAGTTACAGCAGTAGCATCATTAGCAGCGGACCTCGCATCGCTGTCGTGTTGCCCCGGCTGCACCTGTAATCCAGGGGTGACTGGCCGGCGTGGCTGTGGGCCCTCACGGGCTAGTAGCCCCTCTACAAGGACCTTCAACTGATCAATCGTGTCATCTCTAGCAGCACATTCTCTGCGGAGACCAGTTATTTCCAGTTCCAGCTGTTTCAGACGAGTTTTGTAAGCATCCTGGGTAGCTTGACGAGCGTGAAGCTCCCTAATTTCATTCTCCATTCGCAGCTGGGTGGATATGATCGCCTCGAGTGACGAAGTTATCGCGCTGGGGCACGACATAGCAGAGTCCGAGGGCGCGCTCCGGGTGGGACCGGGGGGTGGCAGGGGATTGCGACCCGCTGGCTTCAGAGTGGCAGCATTAGCACGCTGTGTCAGCATGCCTTGAGCCGCCGAGTAGCCCAAGGTCCAGCAGTCATCCGCTAGGCCAGCCAAGTTGCCGGTAACACGGCGGCAGAGAGGACGGCCGGCGACAGCCGGGATGACCGCAGACAGCGCAGCATGCAGCAGTTCTCGGAGCTCTCTCAGGTCGGGTTCGTCCATGGATGCCATGATACAGCACACCGCGGCTGGGTCGTAGCGCCCACTGAAAATGCAATCCGACTCAGCGATTAGACGTTTCTTGTCGGCTGACGTCGCACTAGTGGGGATCAGCTGGTCCAGGGTCGGCGCCCTCGCGCTCGTCATCACCCTGTCGTGGGATGCTTTGTCGTCATTCTCACCGGTATGCGTAGAGTTAGTCGCACTCGTCAGCTGTTCGGGGGTCGCGGTAGGCTGATTGGTGAGAGGAGAGATAGGACAAAAAATGCTCTTCGGTACAGTTTCTTCAGCGTCCGTAATCGTTGATGCCACGATTTTTGCCTTGCTTATCCTGCTCCGTTTGGTCTTTCTCGCCACAACCCATTCTCCCACTGTTTGATCGTAGCCACTAACCGAGGTGTCAGAGTCTGACATTATTGGCTATAAGGATCTCTCTTCAGAATTAGCACGAGACTTACTACTAAAAATCTAGAGCAGAACTAACGCGGTGGTGAGTCTAAAATTTCAAAACTGGGTCAAAATAATCAATTTTTTAAAGCCTATAATTCAATTATTTCACCATTCAACTCAACTGCAAATACCACCAAAATATTCTACGTTAAATTAAGATTCTTTTCATGCTTATCTCAAAGTCATTATGCGGGTCCATTACGCCAAAATAGGCAGTAAACTAGAGCACTGCTAAACACGTCTGCTCTATGTAGACTGATTGGAGGGGTGAAACGTCTCATTATTTTATTCTGCACGGATAATCAGCTCGGCAACAGTACCTATCCGCTCCGTGTGCCCCTCCCGACTCACGGTTCTTGGCGCGGGCGGTGTGCGGCGCCGTGGCGTCTGACGGCGCGCCCGGACCAGCCCGGTTCACCGCCACCACGCGGAACTCGTACACATTGCCCTCGATCAGGTTCGGCACGTGCGCGTGCGGCTTGTCGCCCGGCACGCGCATCACGTCGTCCCATTTCGGGCTGCGGGAGGAGAGAGGTTGATTGAGGTAAAGACGTTTAGGGGGAAGAGACGCGAGAACAGGTGATCAACGACACAAGAAGCTGACTACCACCATTGCAAGACGAGCAGTGCTTTGGATCAATATTCAACTCGTCAGTATTTCCCATTGACATTCCTCGCCACACTCACTTGAGTTTGTCCCTACGCTGGACGATGTACTCTTGGATGGGGGAGCCACCGTCCGATTCTGGCGGCTTCCACTTCAGGTCGACAAAGTCGCGGTCATAATCGGTGATCTCCGGAGTACCAGGCTTGCCCGGCTCGTCTGTGGTGAAACGGACGGCCCAGTCAGCTAAGGGGTGCTCAGTGCTGTTGGTTGTTCTAATATTTCCCTTCACTATGTGTAGATTTTATAGCAGATCGACTTGGAATCAAAGATCATGTAGTCTCATCCTCCGCCATGTCAAAGAAAACTAGCCCTGGGCGCTTTCCAGTTTCCACCCTAACGGACTCACCGAAGGGATTTTTGGCCTCAATGCTGTGCGGTGTGGTGAGCGGGTCGGAGGTGCCCTCCTTGTTGACGGCCTTGACGCGGAACTTGTAGTGTTTGCCGGGCACCAGACCGTCCACCTCCAGTTCGGTCTGCGGGCCGTCCGTCTCGCCGGCGCGCACCCAACGGCCTGAAAACGTGGACAGTTAGACATTGTTGGCCTTTAAAGCTTTAGGAAAAACAAAACTGAATGGGTGATGGTTTAAATAAGCGCTACCTAACCTTACAGTCCAGTAGCGGGGGGGGGGGGGGCACTGACGACTTTTGGTCCCATTCTTTCCATGCAACGCCCATAGGGCTAATGTAAAAATGCCCAAATCAAAGGGGGGCACGGTGCCCCGGTGCCCTCCCCGTTCCGCCGCCTATGCCTTACACAGGCTTGAGTTCCAACCCGTGTTTTTTATTACTCACATCATTTCCAGAATTGGAAAAGATGATTGCCGGAAGTGATAGCCGTTGTGACGAGACCTACCGGTGGCTTCGTCCATCTTTTCGACGATGTATTTCTGGATGGGCAGCCCGCCGTCGTCTGAGGGTGGCCTCCACTTGAGCTTGCAGCCCTCGGCGTGAACGTCAGACACCTGCAGTGGTCCGTTCGGAGGACCCGGCTTGTCTGCAGGCAAACGGACGAAGAACGACATCAGGCGTAAGAGGGGTGATCAACGTGATCGCGCTCGTTCGTTTTTGTCAACCCAGCAGTCTGCGAGCCGCAAGGCTTGTGTCGTTTGTCATGTGGAACTTGGAAGGGACTTGAAAGACGATATTCAGCGGAATTTAACCGTTGAGGGAAGTGTGCTGACAGTAAATATGCAACGTCCACGTAAGTTGGTTGGGCGCAAAGACAAGACATTGCAGTTCATCGTACCGAGTACGATGACCTCGACGTCGGCGGTGTCCTTTCCGTTCTCGTTCTCGGCCGTCAGCGTGTAGGTGCCCGAGTCGCTGCGGTGCGCGTTCCGCACCTGCAGCTTGATGTTGTAGTCGGACGGCGTGATCCTGAGCGGGGAATGGACCGTGAGTCATGGTGGTGAATCATGAAGCATTGGCTTTATGAGTGATTCACGTTTTTCCTCCGTTGTAGTAGGTCTGAAAAAGCTTTCGGTTTGAACGAATGGCCCACAACAATATTGTCTGGAGGCAAATAGTTGTCGGGTCTCTAAACGTGACCTACCTAAGACCTAAGTTGGGTTGCGGCAATGCTGTCGTCAAAGAAGTAAAACAATACCATGACGGGAGAGATGCGGATTCCACCACCTCCCCCGCACTGACCTGATACGGTCGGACGGGGTGACGGTTTTGCGAGCCAGCGTCCACCGCTTCTCTGGCGGCGGCTCACCGGCCACGTTGACGTCGTAGCTGAAGTTCTGTCCGGCGCGCACCTTCACCTGGATCAGGTTGGTGCGGTCGATCTTGGGCGCCAGGTTGCGCGGCTTGGCCGTGATCGGACCCGTGTTGTTGCTCGGCGATCCGGGCCCGGCGGCGTTGATGGCCTTCACGCGGAAGTCGTACTTTTCGCCCTCGGTCAGCCCGGGGACAGTGGCCTTCAGCTGGTCGGCCGGCACCTGCGGAGCGGGGTGAAGATCAGGATCGTCACCTAACATCCAATGCAACTTGCGTATCAGCTTGGGCCGAGACTGAGTACTGTATTGGTCGATTACGAAACTCATAAATTTTCCATTTACCGACGCTATGTACTATCGGTTTGACTCTTTGGCATACATCCCGTGACCTCACCTCGAGCGCCTTCTCCCAGTTGCCGTATTTGTCCTTCTTCTCCACGAGGTAGCCGGTGATGGGCGAGCCACCATCGTTCAGCGGCGGCTCCCACTTCAGGTCCACGTGGTCCTTGTCCCAGTCAGTCGCCTTCAGGTTCTTGGGCGCGTCCGGCTCGTCTGCAAAGGCGCATAATTTTGGAATGAACAATCATTGCGTATCATCTGGCTTATTACGCGCATTATTCGGTTATTCAAGAGAGCACGACACCCTCGCGTTCCTTTTTTAGTAAGAGAACTGAATTTCACCACCCAGCTGATGACACGAGTTCTGGCTGGTGAAGCCCAACACCTGCACATGACTTACCGTAGGGATTTTTGGCGACGACCGTCTCCTCGCCGACGAGCGGCTCCGACTCGCCCTCGGCGTTGACGGCCTTGACGCGGAACTTGTACTCCTTGCCGGGGGTGAGGTTGTTTAGCTCGATCTCGGGCTGGTCGGCGCGCCCGGCCGGCGTCCAGATGCCCGTCAGCGGGTCCTGCTTCTCCACCTCAAAGTACTCCACCGGGGTGCCACCGTCGTCCTTCGGCCGGCGCCACTTGAGCTTGCAGCCGTGCTTGTGCACGTCCGAAGCCTGCAGAATCGAGCACAATGTGAGATATTTGATCAGGCTGGTGCTGGAAATACATCGCAGAAATGCATTTTATTGATTCATTTTAGAACGTTATCACTGTCTGAAAACCTTGAGAGACGAGTCTTAAAGCGACTTTTAATGGAACCATACCTATAAGTAATTAAACATTACGAAGCCTTCGTCTACGTTCAATGGTCATACGCACCTTGAGCGGTCCCTCAGGTTTGCCGGGTTTGTCGGTGACCGTCACGGTGACGGTGACAGTGTCCTTTCCGGAGCTGTTCTGCGCCGTGATGGTGTACTCCCCGGAGTCGCCCCGCTTGGCGTTACGCAGCACGAACTTGGTGTTGTACTCCTTGTCGTCAATGTTCAGCTGCTTGGTCGGCCTGTAGATACACGGTTCCGTAATTGGTCAGCTTGTAGTTAATTGTCTTCGTTATGCTAGCGACACTAAGGAATATCAAACTTAATCCATGTATTTGACACCTGTAAACCCTACCTAGAGTTGCATCTCACTCCCCACGTGAAGTGATTTGAACTTCTGCGATCACATTAACTACGTGTAAACCAAGCGATAATGCGATTTTTAAAGCGTATGTCTTTCGCCGCTTGCCGAGTAAGTCCCCCAGCGCCGATAGGCACTCACTTGAGCTCGAAGCCCTCCTTGAACCACTTGGTGGTGGGCGCGGGCTCTCCGGAGACGTCCACGTCAAACTTGACCATGGAGCCGGCCGAGATGGTGATATCGCGCAGGTTACGACGGTCGATCTTCGGCGCGACTGGAGATAAAAGGATGATGGTCATTGACAAACTACGAAGGGTTAGTGCTGGCCGTTGGTAGGACAGTGAATAAAGATAGGTTTTACGAATATGACAGTGTTTGCTTCTTGGCATCTAATAGGACACAAGTGCATTGCAAGTATTGACTGAATGAGTCGTTAGTTTTGTGACGTATTGCGACTGCTAAGTGCTAACTGCGCCGAGTCTCTACTCACGGAATCTGGCCTTTGCTGTGATGGGTTTGCTGGGCTCTGAGGGCTCCGACTGGCCGGCCTTGTTGACGGCGGTGACGCGGAACTGGTACTGGACTCCCTCGATCAGTCCGTGCACCGAGCCCGTGCACTCGGGGCCGTCCAGCTCACACGCCTTCTCCCACATACAGCTGTGGGGACGGAACGGCAATCCAGGTCAGCAGCAGGATCTCGACACTCGGAACGGTGGCAATGCTAACTGACAACTGCGGCATTATCGTAATTACACGTATCTGAATTGAATATCGGGTTTGTTGAATCTGAAGTTAGTTGCTGCTATCCCCATTCATAACATAGATTCTATGTCGTGACACCGTAACACCGTTCTTCCGCTATAAGCTGATCACCACTCACCCGTATTTGTCCTTCTTTTCGATGATGTATCCGGTGATGGGGGTGCCTCCGTCGTGCGCCGGCGCCTTCCACGTGAGCTCCACATGCGAGGTGGACCAGTCGACCGCCTCCGGCGCGCCCGGCTTCTCCGGCACGGCTGCGGATGAAATGGCGCAGGGTTACAGCCACTGCGTGTGGGCTTTCTTATGCTCCGAATGCAGTTGCGCTTAAAATCTGCTTCATTAATTATTTATGCTCATTTGAACTATTGATAATCTTCGGAAGGATGTTATAATTATATAAATCGGCTTTCTTTTCCTTTTACCTGAATTAAACAACAACAAAAAAAAATCCACATCAATCCAAAGCAAAACTTACTGAAGGGGTCCTTGGCGACGATCGGCGCCAGCGTCTCCAGCGGCTCGGACTCGCCCTCCTTGTTGACCGCCTTCACCCGGAAGTGGTACTCGTGGCCCGGCGTGAGGTCGCTGACCTCCATCTCGGGGCGCACCGAGTTGCCGATCGGGATCCAGATGCCCACGTCGGGGTCGTACTTTTCGACCACGTATCCCTCGATGGGCTCGCCGCCGTCGTCCAGCGGCGGCTTCCACTTGAGCTTGCAGCCGTCCTTGTGGACGTCCGACACCTCCAGAGGACCCTCGGGCGCCGACGGCTTGGCTGCAGAACAGGGAATGAATAAGTCAGTTATTGAGTGGTAACCGCCTCTTCTCATGGTTTCTTTGTATCAATCAGTGCATTTTCACAAGACATTCAGCCTGGATGAATGAAATGTCATCGTCCGACAGCCCAAGCCAGACATTCTAACAGCACCTGCGTTACAGGCGATAGTGATACTTTCCAGACGGTAAGTGTGAACAATCCTGATATAACCTACTCCACTTCCCGGCCACGAGCTTCATCCCACTCACAGACGACGGTGATCTCGATGGTGGCTTCGTCGCGGCCGTGCTGGTTGGTCGCCTGGATCGTGTATACGCCCGAGTCGCCCCGCTTCGGGGTGTCGTTCGTGTACTTGGTCCTGACGGTGGGACATAGGAGTCGTCAGTACGAGGCATGAGGGAAGGCGCACGGAGCTGATAGATGGAGGGAAATAGAGCAATTGTCATTAGAATGCAGTCTGTGCAGCCTGTTGCTGAAGACGACGACTGCGACCATCTTATGACCGCTTAAATCATTTCTACGTGGTCGCATAAGGCTTGGACCCATTATTTTGTTTCATAAATATCTTGTCTGTAATGAGCTCACCTGTACGGCTCGTTTTCGACCCGGTTGTGGGCCGACTGTTTGATGGGCCGGCCGTCCTTGGCCCAGGTCACGTCCGGCGCCGGCTCGCCCTTGACCTTGATGTCGAACATGATCGGCTCTCCCTCGCGTACGGTCAGGTCTCGCACGTTGCGACGGTCGATCTTGGGAGCCACTGGCGATGGAGAAAAATGTGTTATGCCACGATAAGTTTGGATTTTACTAATTCTTACGATCAAAATGGGGCTGGCAATTCATTTGACAATCAAGTTTTGAAGTGCTGTCGAATTCATTGAAAACAATGAACGTTTTATTTTACATAAAAACACGCACAGAACTCTGTAGGCGACACGCCTAACTGTCCTGTCGACTCACGTTTCCTGGGTTTGGCCGTGATGGAGCGGGACGGCTGACTTGGCTCGCCTGGTCCGGCCTCGTTGACGGCCCGCACGCGGAACTCGTACGTCTGACCCTCCTCCAGGTTCGGCACGCGGCCCGTGCAGTCGGGACCTGAGAGAGGCAGAGTCATCATTCGGGACCTGACAGAGGGCAGAGGTCACAAATCTTGACCTGACGGGAGGCAGTCCCTGGAATCTGGAAATTTGGGCTCAGATAGATATCATGTAAACGTGCCGAAGTTGCTGGTGATCGTTACAGAACCCATCTGGAAACCAGTTGGCAAGTAAATTGTTACCCATGATTAAACGGATACGATCTCCGAGACGAAAGACAAGGAGGTACTGACCCTTGGTCTCGGCGGCCTTGATCCATTTGCTGGAGCCCTTCTCCTTTTTCTCGATGACGTAGCCGGTGATGGGCGCGCCGCCGTCTGAGTCGGGTGCCTTCCACTTGAGGTCGCAGAAGTCCTTGTCCCAGTCGGTCGGCTCCGGCCGGCCCGGCTCCCCGGGTGCGTCTGGAGGCGGAGGGTAGTGCATATTTAAGGATAGACCACTCAAATATCATAGATGGCAGTGTTCACTGTTCAGAGATTGTATTTGTGACGTTAAGCGGAAACCGGCGAGCGGGAAAACCGCATATTCGTCGATACTTTGCGAAACTTAAAAAGCACTTTCCATAAAGTTTCTTTGCTCACAGAAGATGAGTCATTCTAAAATAGGTTCTTAGGTCTGTTGCGATTCTTGACATCAGCCAGAGATCTCTGGCTGATGTGTGTTGTTGCGACTCACCGAAGGGGTTCTTGGCGATGATGGAGTGGTCGCCTTCGAGCGGCTCCGACTCGCCCTCGGGGTTGACGGCCTTGACCCGGAACTTGTACTCATGGCCAGGGATCAGGTTGTCCACCTGCATGGTGGGCTTGGAGCAGCGGCCGGCGGGCATCCAGCGACCTGTGCCAGAGAGTAGATGTCAGTTTGGCAGGGTGCAGTTCTGCTCTACTTAGGCGGCATGTTGATGAATTTAGAAGAGCTATTTTGTTTATATAGACAATAAAGAAGCTTTCGGCAACGCTGGTTAACTTATTAGTTTGATCATTGTCCAGAAAAATACGAGCCAACATTCGTTGTTTGCTTACAACAGCGTCGTCCGGAACGTACCAGTATCAGTGTCGAATTTCTCGACGACGTAGCCCTCGATCGGTAGGCCGCCGTCATCCAGCGGCTCGTTCCACTTGAGCGTGCAGCCCTCCTTGTGGACGTCCGAGATCTTCAACGGACCTTCGGGTTTGCTGGGCTTGTCTGCAAACAAGAAATCGGCGTTGAATCGTATTCATCCTAAGCCTTATCAGTTCGAAATTGAATAACTTTTAACATTTTCTAGCTATTATTGACCTGCTAAAGGTAAAGTAAGAAGAGCGTTAGATCTTCGAACATCCAGCGCTCGCATTTTTAAATCTTTTTTCGCAATAATAGACGCGTTGCGGTTTCCATTGCCCTCCAAAATCCTCCCCTTACCCAGCACGGTGACCTGGACCTCGGCCTCGTCCTTGCCCGAGTCGTTCTCCGCCTTGATGACGTAGCTGCCCGTGTCCTTGCGGGTGGCCATGAACACGGACAGCTTGGTGCGGTAGTCCTCCACGTCGATGGTGAGGTTGTCCCGGCTGTCCAGCCGCGCCTTGTTCATGAACCAAGTCTTGGTTGGCGGCGGCTCGCCCGTGATCTTGACGTCGAACTTGAACGGCGCTCCGGCGTGGATCGTGATGTCGCGCAGGTTGGTGCGGTCGATGTATGGGGCAGCTGTAGCGAACGGGAACGGGAGGTGATGTTAGGGGGACAAACGGGGGTTTTTGAGGGATACTTTTTGATACCTCGTATTCTAAGTCATCCGCTCATCCGTCATCAAATTTTATCGACACGCCCTACATTTTTACGTCTCTGCGACCTGCAGTGTCTGAGGAAAATGTGAGCTATATGATCATCTCAGCCTGTTCCATCCTCCCCTAGAAGCTTCCGACGACCTTCTTACCGTATCTGGCCTTCACCAGGATGCTCTTGGACTCGTCGCTCGGCTCCGACGGACCCGCCTTGTTGACGGCACGCACGCGGAACTTGTACTTGAGACCCTCTGTGAGGTCGGGCACGCGACCCTCGCACTTCGTGCCGGGGATGTCCACCGCCTTCTGCCATTTGGTGCTGCGAAGTGGAGCAAGAGGGTGAGAAAGGGTACTCGAAAAAGGAAAATGTTACACGGTAGAAGGGTCATATTTATCAGTAGCGTATAGCTAACACGTCGCTTTCATATTGCGGATGTGTATTAGATTGCCACATGGTGATTTGTTCCTTACCTGTACTGATCCTTCTTTTCGATGATGTATCCGGTGATAGGTGCACCACCGTCGCGTTTCGGTGCCTTCCACTTGAGGTCCACGCGGTGTTTGTCCCAGTCGACAATATCCGGCGCTCCAGGCGCGTCGGGAACGTCTGCATGAATGACAAAAAAAAAAACAGGAAGTTTATTAGCTATCAATAACATCTTTAGTAAAGAAGCTGGAGATTACCATTGTTCAATAGATAAGGGCAGTGAAGTGCCTTGCAAGCTGCTGTGGTTTTTGGATACATCCCCGGCTTTTACTCACCGTACGGGTTTTTGGCCACGGTTCCCAGCACGGTCTCGAGCGGCTCCGACTCGCCCTCCGGGTTGACGGCCTTGACGCGGAACTGGTACTCCTTGCCCTCGTTGAGTCCGTCCACCTCGGCCTCGGGCAGCTTGCTGGTGCAGACGGGCACCCAGCGGCCCGTGTCCATGTCCATCCGCTCCACCACGTAGTGGTCGATCGGCTCGCCGCCGTCGTCCTCCGGCTTATCCCACTTGAGGTTGCAGCCCTTGGCGGTGACGTCAGAAACCTCCAGGGGACCCTTCGGCTTGCCCGGCTTTCCTGTTGGATAGAAGACATTTGGCTTGAATCACTTATACCTTATATTTTGCTGCCTATCTAATATCTATGATAGCAAGTTCACCCTCAACCGAACAAAAAAAAAAAAAAAAAACGTTGAAGGCCTTCACGTCTAGTTCAAAAACTTAGAAAATCAAATGGGAACGTATTTGAGAGTGCATCATCATCGCTTAGAATCAAAGGGACAGTTTGGTATCCGGCAGTAGGATGTCTCTCCTCATGACGCAGGAGACCTGATGTTCCACGCCCACTTACCGACGACGGTGAGGTCGAGCTCGGCGGTGTCGGTGCCCGAGTCGTTGCTGGCCGTGATGGTGAACTTGCCCGTGTCGCTGCGCTGCGCGCGCAGCAGCACGAACGTCGAGTGGTAGTCCTCGTTCTCGATGGTGAGCCGTTCACGGGGCCTCAGCGGCTGCCCGTCCAGCTCCCAGGTCACCTTGGGCGCCGGCTCACCCTCGATGTCGATCTCGACGCGCAGCATCTGACCGCTGCGGATCACCTTCTTGTCCAGGTTACGGTGGTCGATGCGCGGCTTCACTGTGGTGAAGGACATCAAGCGTCATTTGTATGTGAAAGTTAGGCAGAAGTAACGCTGTGTGGTGTTATTGGGGAGAAGAACCTTTTGAATTATTTTTATGACGGGATGACTATGAAAAGGAATGATCTTTATGACTATGGCTAGTTGATGGCCCCTGTGGTAGTCCCTGTCGCTCTTCTGACATGTCCTAGCCAGAGGCGCGGGAACTACTTTCCGACTGGGGGGGGGGGGGGGGGGGCACACCATAATAGAGATCAACCTAGGGTACCCCCAAATCTAGTTTTCTCACCGGTTTTAGGCCACTTATTTTTCACCCCTCGGCTTTTTCAACAAAAAAAGAAAACATTTGCAAAAAAGTGGTATTCCGTCTCAAAGCTGTGGGGGCAGAGTTGGGGGGGGGGGGGGGCAAGCTGCCCCCACTGCCCCCCCCCCCGGCTCCCGCGCCTATGGTCCTAGCATTCACCATCTCAACTTGGTATTTTATCAACCTGGCCAGTCAGCTTCTTGAGTTCGTTCGACATTTTTCTACTCACGGAATCTGGGCTTGCAGACGACCGACTTTGAGGCGTCGGACGGCTCCGAGGGACCGGCCTTGTTCACGGCGATCACGCGGAACTCGTACTCGTGTCCCGGCACGACGTCCGTGACACGACCCTCCAGGTGGTTTCCCTGAGAAAGATCGACACTCGTCATTTCTTTATTCTTTCGGAGGATATTGTAAGGTCGCATTTGCCGTAAAGTACCATAGTATTCTGCAGTTTGCATTGGGACGGGTTTTCCAAGAAAACAAACGTTTATAATGGCGTGGATCTTTAGGAAGCCCTAGAAAATAGCTGAAAATAACGATTCGCCTTAGTGTACGTATTTTGTGAAGCTGCGTAGATAACTTACGGGTGTGGAGAGGCATTTTTGCCATCCGGAGGCGCGGTCGTCCCTATCCCGGGCCTCGATGATGTAGCTGGTGATGGGCGCGCCACCGTCCTTGGGCTTCTTCCACTTGAGGTCCACGAAGTCCTTGTCCCAGTTGACCAGCTCAGGCCGCTCGGGCTTCTCTGGCGGATCTGTTGAAAGACGATTTCGTCATTCACGAGTTATTTAACCATCTTATGGATTTTGTGCCAGTTGCTTACGTTCAGAAACAGGTGATTGCTTGCAATACAGCAAATGGAACTCACCATACGGGTTCTTGGCGAGGATGAGCTCCTCGTTCTCGAGCGGCTCTGACTCGCCCTCTTTGTTGACAGCCTTGACCCGGAACTTGTACTTCTTGCCCTCCTGGAGGCCGGTGACCTCCGCCTCTGGCGTGCTGGACTTGCCGCACGGCACCCATTGGCCTGGAATGGGAATAACGCGGTAAAACGGATCTGCTCCATTTACGGTTCCAATGCGACCAGTGGCGGCAGGGCCTAATCGTGACATTTAATCGTGACACACATCTGATATATTGACCTTTTTTAGGAGTTTTTCTTCCCACTCGTTGGTTTTCAGTCTGGAGTCGTTTTTCCAGTTATGGATGAAAGGGTGAACGTCACGCAAGTAATGATCAGCCATATAAACTTTTCAACAAACGCCATGAACGTGAATCTCGTACCGGTGAACGGATCGAGTTTCTCGATCTCGTAGTACTCGATCGGCGCTCCGCCGTCGTCCTCCGGCTTCTTCCACTTCAGCTTACAGCCGTTGGCCGTGACCTCAGACACCTGGAAAACGATAAACAGGTTAGGTGACGTTCTGTAGCGTTCTGTACTAGCGTCATCTTCAAACCCTCTTCCTGAAAATTGAACATAAGAACGAGCGTATACATATTATGCACAATAAGGGATTGTTGCACCTAACCACGCAATCCAGCGAGAACCGTGCCATCAATCCTGAACGACTCCACTCTCGTCACACTCCATCTCGGCTCACCTCCAGGGGTCCCTCGGGCCGCGACGGTTTGCCGAGCACGGTGATCTCTACGTCGGCCGTATCCTCGCCCTGCGAGTTCTTCGCCGTCACCGTGTACTTGCCAGTGTGGCCGCGCTTGGCGCGGAACAGCGCGAACTTGGTGTTGTAGTCCACGTTGGTGATGGTCAGCTCGCGGCCAGTCTCCACGTCCTGTGATCAGTCAACAGAGGAAAATCGTTGGGGCTGTGTTTGTAATGGGGCTAGGCGGTCAACTGCGCCATGGCTTTGATTGACTGATGCTCTGGTAGGTACCTTTTATCTTTCACAGCGACTCCGTGGTATATGTGATGAAGCATTACTTCGTAATATACTTAATCGATGTAAAAGTGCTAAGAAATCCAAATGACGTTCACTCTTCTTAAAAAAAGGCAGAAGACCGTCTCTGACCTTGCCCTTGAAGGTCCATGTGACGGTTGGCGGCGGCTCTCCGATGATGTCCACGTCGAGCAGCACCTGCTGGTTCACCTTCACCACCACCGGCTGAAGGTTGTCGCGCACGATTCGCGGCTTCACTGCAAAGCAAATCGGGATACCATTACTGGTGCACCAAAAGCTAGTACAAGAAGACGTTTTATTCATCGAAGGTTGACTATTGTAGAGCGAAAATGAGGCTACGTAAATTCTACGCTATTCTGAAACCAACTGTTGCTGAAGCGTTTTCTTAAATCGTTATGTTACTCACGGAATCGCGCCTTGGCGAGGTGCGGCGTGGTCGCCTCGCTCGGCTCTCCGACGCCGGCCTTGTTGACGGCCCGCACGCGGAACTCGTACTTCTGGCCTGGCGTCAGGCCGGTGATCTTGCCCTTGCAGCCGGGGCCGACCTCGTTGGCCTTGACGAAGTCGTGCGAGCCCTCGGGCCGCATCTCCAGCACGTAGCCGGTGATGGGCGCGCCGTTGTCACGCAGCGGCGGCTCCCACTTGAGCTCCACCATGTTCTCGTCCCAGTCGACGATGTCGGGGATGGACGGAGCACCCGGTGGGTCTGCAAGAGACAGATGATAACGGTTTTTAACGCTGGTAAAGGGTAGGAGTGACAACAATAATGAGCTATTGCCGAAGTTGTTGATCGATGTCTGAGTTCTATGAATTTTATTGTCTCTGACTCTTGTTTCCAAGGAGTTCACCCATTTAATGAAAACATTGATGAATAAGCTCTTTACTTATACAGCCCTGTTAAAGGGACTATCCCACCTTCTAAAATGTTGTTAAAACCAGTTAAATTGTGCCCGACTTTATAGATTGGATGACCAGGAACACGGTTCTGGCATTTATTTTTCATTAAACATCTTAGGCTTCCCATATTCCAAACACAAACTTTCAAATATGTGACGTCACAGCCCAAAATTACCTCCTTCCCCAGGCCACATTACTGTCATAAAGCTGATTCTTTTTACTCTGTAGGCACCACAACAAAGTTCAGATCAAGTTTTAAAGGTAGTGTGCCAGCTTTCTTGGACCGTATGGAGTTAATGGCCCAGATAAGGAGAACCGGATTTTTAGAACTTATCCATACCTTCAAAACTCATGGAAACGTCTTAAATTCTTCAAATTTTGAGTACCCCAGTGCGAAATTCGCCCCGACGGGTTGTCGGTCGTACCCCAACCACATTTCACACCACTATGAACAATAAATGCACACACTGAAATCGCTATTACCGATATGCTCATCCAATCAAGTTTCGATAAACCCGTTCATCATCATCTCCTGCGGTTTCGAACACGCCTGTTAGGTGGCTTCTGATGCTCGTCGAGGTCGGAATTTCCAAATACGCGTGGTGCGTCGGGCCGCGCGCTCTGACTTCGGCCAAGAAAAATGCGTCAGCTGATCATTGTCATTTCTGCCACTTGCGTGTGGTGAAATGGGGTCATAACTTATAAGACGGCTTTTTCATATCAATTATTTTACATAAAATCATATTTCAAACCATAAATAATGTTCGACAGCCAAATAAAAGAAACAATACAATACGGGCTTACAGTTTAAGGCTCGACATTGTGTTGTCTACGATTAGACAGCTGATAACTCATTCCCGTACGTCGTATGGTCGTAACACTATAATGACCTTTGCTTATTGTCACAAGTGCGCCGCATTCGCGATTGTTGCCCGACGCCTGTTTGCAGGTGAGCCCACTACAGTTGTTATACATATCTAAAAACCGAAAAACTTTTAGGCGAAAAAGGCACTATTCCAGGCCCATTTTTGATTTTTTTTGCGATATTAGGTAAAAACAGAAGCTTCTTATCCTAGGAAAAATAAAATGGGAAATCTTTCAAAGGTGGCACACTACCTTTAAGCGATTTTTCAACGAACAAACCCATTTAAATCAGAATGACTAAACGAGGTGACGTCACACTAACGGTCGCTCCATGTTGAAGATAGGGCCTTGCACAAGGCCCATTTTCAAATGAAGGGAACGAATTTCTTCAACACCAAGAGGCCGCGGGGGTTGCAACCTAGATAGATAGTGGTTTCTGAACCTCGCCGCAAACTTGGCTATCTCAACTCAAACCCCATGTTAAAGGTGGGATAGTCCCTTTAAGTCGTAGCTTTTATTACTTTGAACATGACACACCCGACGGACACTCCGACGTTTTGACGTACCGTACGGGTCCTTGGCGAGGATGCTCTGGTCGCCGTCCAGCGGCTCCGACTCCCCCTCGTCGTTGACGGCCTTGACGCGGAACTCGTACCGCTTGCCGGGCTCGAGGCCTTTGACCTCGGTGTCGGTGGTGTCGCCGTCAGTGCGCGCCGCCGGCTGCCAGCGGCCCGTCGACGTGTCCATCTTCTCGATGATGTAGCCGGTGATGGGCAGACCGCCGTCGTCCTTGGGCTTCTTCCACTTTAGCTTGCAGTGGCTCTTGTGGACGTCCGTGATCTCCAGTGGACCTTCCGGCCGACCCGGCTTGTCTGACGAGATAAATGAGGAAGTCAGTAAATGTAAAGGGACGTTTTGCTAGAAATGTGACTGTTATGGTGACGTTTTGGCAACGATTTGACAAACATTTTGCATCCATTTATACATCATGTTGGAAGGAAGCTTAAAAATAACATTAACCATTCCTATAAAGATCCGATAGATTATCTTCCTAACTTTGTAGGAACTCCGCTACGTGAATTGTGTAGAACAGATGAGGAAGAAGTAAAGAAGATTGTTCATGATATGCGAAATGTGGGAGGTGGTCATGATAAAATAAATACCAAAATATTTAAATCAACATTCAGTGCTATAATGGTACAAATTGTACATTTTTTAAATCTGTGTCTTGAGAATAGTGTCTTTCCAACATTATTAAAACAAGCAGTTATAAAACCAATTTATAAAGCCGGCGACAAACATATTTTTAGTAACTATAGACCAATATCGTTACTTCCAGTTATTTCTAAGCTATTAGAAAAGATAATATATGCTCGTTTAAGCCAACACTTATTCTTGAACCAAATTATCAGTGACAAACAGTTTGGCTTTAGATCTGGCATGAGTACATACATGCCTATAGTGTTATTACAAGACAAAATCATAAGTGCGTTTGAAAGTGATTCGAACATGTGCGGCATTTATCTCGATTTACGTAAAGCATTTGATACTGTTGACAAGGAAATTCTTCTTAGAAAATTACTTCAGTACGGTATTTCTGAAGACGCCCATATGATGTTTCACTCATATCTCAGTGACCGTACCCAGTGTGTGGAAATAAATGGCATGCGTTCATCCTTCCTTCCAATTGATATTGGAGTCCCTCAGGGATCAATTTTGGGACCACTTCTGTTTATACTTTATATAAATGATCTCCCTTTGATATGTGGTGAACACATAAGTACACTCTTATATGCTGATGACACTGCTATTTTAATAGAAGGGGAAAGTGAGCATATTTTACAAACAAGATTAAATACCTTGATGCCAAAGGTAGCTGAATGGTTTACTTCTAACCAACTGTCTCTCAATGCTGATAAAACATATTATCAGATATACACGAACAAGAAACGACAACTTGAATTGCGAATCGAACTGAATGGTGTGATATTACAACGTACTAATACTGTTAAATATCTTGGTATTTTCATAGATGAGGATATGAAGTGGAGAACTCATATCTCCAAACTCCAGAAAGTACTGTCGAGAAATGTAGGTATTATGTTTAAATTGAAATTTTTCCTGGACAGTAAACATTTGTTATTACTCTACAACTCACTCTTTCTGTCTCACGTTAATTATTGCTGCTTTATCTACAGTAATACGTACATAACAAACCTAGGTGAATTAGACAAAATACAGAAGCGTGTCGTTAGATTAATAGACGGCCAATGTAGATTAGCGCACACTGCACCAATCTTCAAAAAATTTAAACTTCTTCGTATCCAGGACATCGGGCGACAACAGATGTTGTTACTACTACATAAAAAGATTCAAGGAATCTTACCACTTTCGATTGATGAATTATTTGAGAGAGTAGAACAAAATAGAAACAGTCGTTATAACAAACACTTCAAAGAAATATTTTCGTACAAATTATATAAAACACACACAATCTCATGGGCTGGTCCAAGGCTGTGGAATCAGATAATGGTCCCCGTTTACCCTGCTGTGCCTCTGGTGCCTCATTCAAAACACACAATAAAAAGACTAACAAAAAACTACTTTTTGAGCCAGTATTGATTATGTAATACAATACTCTCACATTAAGTATATTGTGGAGGTTCGTAACATTACGAAAACTATAAATCACATGGTGCACTATCATGATATCTTTACTCTTACCCCATGGTTTATTTTTCTTCACCATTGTTTTTATCTATTATTATTTTTATTATTATTTTTATTATTTTTTACTCTTATTCATTATTATTATTATTATTATTATTATTATTATTATTATTATTATTATTATTATTATTATTATTATTATTATTTTTTTTATTGTTATTATTATTATTATTACTAGTATATTTTTTTTTGTTTTCATTTCATTTCATTTCATTTCCCTCGCATACTCTACATAACCACTCATTCTCATGAAACTGATCTCCGTTGGTTGCCCAGCAACAAGCCTCGCTTAGCTGGGCAAAACAACGGAGATTCAGTAAATGACCCAGCTTGAACACTGACCAGCAGATTTGTATATAATACCCCTGAATGCATGATTCCCTTCATCTGAATCCTTCTAACACTGCTCCTGTGTGGATGTATGAACGAATGTGTACTCCTGGGAATTAGAAACTAGTCACTAACTGTTTTCAGTTATGACTACTATGCCTTCTCTTACACCTTTATACTAACAGCATGATAATGTGTCTCGTTTTTTGCTTCCTTGAGTTTGTTTCATTTCCTAGCTGGGAGTGCCGCGACAATTGTCTTCATTATTTTCCTGGTGGTGTTAACGTAAGGTTCTGTGTGTCGTTGGGATAGAGGGAGGGGGCACTCCTGGTCACCTGATAATGGGTGGCGGTGTAGAAAAAAAAAAAAAAAAAAAAAAAAATCATATCACATGTCAGCCAAGTCGAAGCTCTCACCGAGGATGGTGATGTCAATCTCGGCCTCGTCCGAGCCGGAGTCGTTGACGGCCCGGATGACGTACTTCCCGGACTGCTTGCGCGACGTGTCTGTGATCTGCAGGCGCGTGTTGTAGTCCTCGTTCTCTATCCGATGGTGGGCGTCCGTGCCCAGCTCCTGGCCGGCCACCGTCCAGGTGATCTTCGGCGGCGGCTCGCCCCGCACGTCAATGTCCAGTCGGACGATCTGGCCGGCGCGCACCGTCACCGGCTTGCACTTCTCGCGGTTGATCCACGGCTTCACTGCAACGATGGAGACGGGGACGATTATTAAGACTTACTACTGCCAGCCCTCTGAGATGCATATTTATTTGACCACATAGCTGTAATCCTTTCAATGAAATGTTAACGTCAGTGACTTAAAAAACTAGATATATGGGAAGTCATAGTCATATTCACGGCATATAACACAATATTCCCGCACTATTCGGTCGCCTCTGGTACCGCTGAAGCATTCACTCACGGTATCTGGCCTTGCAGAGGTGCTGGCCGGTGGAGTCGCTCGGCTCCGAGGGACCGGCCTTGTTCACCGCCTTGACGCGGAACTGATAGATTTTGCCCTCCGTCAAGTCCGGCACCTTAGCCTCCGTGCTGGGGCCCTGAAAACACGTTACTTTGTTAGCAAGGAAGGACACGTTATTTCGTTAGCAAGCAAGCTTCTGCCTAGATCTTAACGATATTTTTTGAAACTTTTTAGACAACTCCCTCATTGAAGTTCGTCATTGCCCACCTTGGTCTCGAGGCAGGGCTCCCAGGAGCTGCCGAAGCGCTCCTTCTTCTCGATGATGTAGCCGGTGATGGGCGCGCCGTTGTCGCTCTTGGGACGCTCCCACTTGAGGCTAACGCTCGTCTCGTCCCAGTCTACGATCTCCGGCGTGCCGGGCTTGGTCGGAACGTCTGACCGGGGTGAACAGAGAGACGTGAGGTAATTGTCACGGAAATGCCAACCAAGTTGAGACGTCTTTAGGTATTTAAAAGAGACACACCTTTGGTTCTGTTGAGGCTGGATAAAATCAATTCTTCAAAATTATTTAATCTGTTTCAATATTTTTACAGAATAATACGAGACGCGATGGAAGCATGAATCTCAAAGTAAGAAGCACGGAAGGCGTATTCCGCTTACCGTAGGGGTTTTTGGCTAGTGTTGCGTGATCCGTCTCGAGCGGCTCGGACTCTCCCTCGTCGTTGATGGCCTTGACCCGGAACTGGTACTCCTTGCCCTCGACCAGTCCGCCGATGTTGGCCTCTGTGTCGTTCGGACCCACTTTCTCCACCGGCACCCAGCGACCTGTCCAAGGAAATCGGCGTGTCATGACCGAGGAAACTCAACGGGAAAGTATCGCAATGTATAACCAATTGTGATTTTCCCGAAAAAAAATGAGATGGTCCACAACCACCACGCGCCATGCTACTAGTTAACCCTATTAGTGGCAGGGGGGGGGGGTTGTTTTTATCCACCCCTCAGGTTTTTCGGGAATATCTCCGAAACCGCTGAAGCTACGATGCTGAAATTTTCTGACTTTTCCTAAAACTAAATTGGGCACATTCCCTGAAAATTTCAAGTTCATAACTTTACCAGGGGCGGCTCCAGGGCACTGGGAATTGGGGGGTCCTATTCGTGAAGCGAGTCATTTGGGCGAAGATCACGATGCTGATGTATTATAACTGTATGCACCAGTTTTACGAACAGTGAATATGTGATAACATATACAAAGTTATTGTGCATCCTCTTTTGACACGTTTTTGCTATAATAGGCGGATCCAGGCGTCCAAAAAGGAGGGTTATGTTTTACCTCCCAACATAGGTGCCCTGACACCGCCTATGCATGACCAATACAATTGTAGTCGTTCTCTCATAAGAAAATTGTAACATAACAAGACCATTACCACCCTTTTTAGAAACAGTACCAACAAAAACCTTATTTACTATACTTTTTGTGTACCCCCAATCTCAATGATCTGTATCCGCCTATGATTTTTGAAAATGCATATTTTTAGGATTCATGTGAACTCCTGGTTCATTCTCTATCGATCGGCAAAAGTTGGGTTAAGATTGGTTCAGAAACCTGGCCGTGATAAACAGTCTAAAATGTATCTGCAATTTGCCTTTTTGCCCCCCTCTACCCCCCTATTGACATTTTCTTAATTTTTATTTTTTAGAAATGTAGATCACGTTGAGCGAAATCGAATGCCGTTTAAATTTTGAAAATCGGCCCGTTAGATCTCGAGATATCAAGGGGGGGTCGTAAACAGCCCCCCCCCCTGCCACTAATAGGGGTAGCCAGGAGCCTGCCACTAATAGGGTTAAAGTTGTTGCCGGTCATCATACTCATGTGACTGAAAACGTCAGTGCACTTACCGGTCGAGGTGTCCAGTTTCTCGATGGCGTATCCCTGGATGGGGGTGCCGCCATCGTCCTCGGGCTTCTTCCACTTGAGCTTGCAGCCCTTGGCAGTGACGTCCGACACCTCCAGGGGACCCTTGGGCCGCGACGGAGCCGCTGCGAAGACCAGGGAGTCAGACGAAGGTCGAAATTCGCGAGATTTATGGTTGCAGCGTGGCTGAATAAGCTTAACCCTTAGGTTTTAAAGAGGTTTAACCGTTACTAATCAAAGATAAATGGATTCATATTTCCATGAAAACCATTCTGAGCTGGACACTTACCAAGAACGACAATCTCGACCTCGGCCTCGTCTTTGCCGTGCATGTTCTCCGCCACGATCTTGTAGATGCCGGTGTTCTTCCGCAGGCTGTCCTTGAGGGTGAACTTGGTGTTGTAGTCCACGTTCACGATCGTTATGTTCGGCTCGGCAACCTGAGAAGAAAGGAAATTCAGTTTTGTGAGCGTTTTAAGAATCCCTGATTGTTAACAGTGTCTTCGAACCAATCATTTTCTGCCAGCAGTCAGCATTATTTCAGTGTTTTTTTTTTGTGGCTAGAAAGGCTTACCTCTTCGTCCTTGAAGTACCACTTGACTTTGGGTGCCGGCTCGCCCTTTATGTCGACGTCGAACGCCACCTGCTTCGTTGCCCGGGTCTTGGTCATCTTCAGGTTGGTACGGTCGATGCGAGGTCCCACTGCGAAGATAAAAGCGCTGTTAGTTGATGGGAGCTCTTATAATCATATATGATGCTAAACATTCATTCACGGGGACAACCGAATGATTGGTTGGGATCCAGGGAACGATAGCATTAAGGAAACGAAGGTGGTCCGCAGGGCTTCATTTAGGTTAAGTACTATCAAAGACTCGCCAAGAGTTACTTTAGTGACTAAGGTAGCACTGTAGTGTGAGAAAGCGATGCGCTATTGTATCCCACGTACGTTTCCTGTGTTTGGCCATGTGCCAGTCGGTGGCCTCGGACGGCTCGCTGGGTCCGGCCTTGTTGACGGCCTTGACGCGGAACTGGTACTCCTGGCGCTCCACCAGGTCCTCCACCTTCATCGTCAGCTCGTCGCCCGGAGTCTGGAGGCACGCAGGAGACATGGCGTCAAAGACAGCGTCAAAACAAGTGGCCTTACAGGAACAGTGACAGTGATATAACGATAGCGCCTGATATTGCTTGACATGGCTTGCGAACAAATGAATCTTGTTTCAACTCTTTTCTGTTAAGTCATACAGCGAATATAACGAAACCGGTAGAGGGTAACTGCTCAAGCTGCGGTGTTGACCACTTACCTCTCCGACCTTCTCCCAGTCTCCGGTCTTCTTGTTCCGCTTCTCGACAATGTACTTTTCGATCTTAGCGCCGTTGTCGCTCTTGGGAGCCCGCCACTTGAGGTCGACCGACTTGTTATCGTAGTCGGTGATCTCCGGCTTGCCAGGCGGGTCCGGGATATCTGCGGAGGATGAGATGAGGTTACCATGGGATGACTCAATCCACTAGCAGTTTTTCTAATTCTGACACGAATTGATGCCTTGCGATGTCGTATAAGGGTGTTTAACCCTTGGACAATAGATGTAAACGAATGTAATTAAGTTGTCTGGGAGATATTAGCAATGCACAGCATCGCTGATTTATTTTAACGAAGAATTTCAGTTCTGGAAAGTGAGGGACACCTGCCAGGAACGCACAGTTCTCAGTTCTCACCGTAGGGATTCTTGGCCTTGATGGCGCCCTCGGTCTCTAGGGGCTCCGAGTCTCCCTCGTCGTTGACGGCCACCACGCGGAACTTGTAGTCCTGGCCGGGGGTCAGGTCGCTGACGTGGAACTGCGGGTGCTCCTTGTCGCCCGGGCACCGGCCGGCCCGCACCCAGCGACCTGCGGGCACGGAGAGAGGCTGTCAGCGTCTGGGATAACTGTATTCGGTGCCACAAATGTGAGCTGAAAATGGTGATGATCCAGTCATAGGATGTCTTTTTAGAGGTCCGCTTTTTCTCAGGCTCAACATTTATTTGTTAAACGAATTTACTGATATCAATGAGACGAAGTGGCAAGATGCTCTCAAGATGTATTACTGACCTGTGTCCATGTCCATCTTTTCGATGACGTACTCCTTGATGGGCATGCCGCCGTCGTCGTCGGGTTTCTTCCACTTGAGGATCGCGCCCTTGTCGTACACGTCCTCCACCACCAGCGGACCGTTCGGACGGGTCGGCTTTCCTGCGGGGAACAGAACAAAGGATTAGCTCTGTGGCTGTGTTACGGTCTTCTGACGTGTTGATGGTTTCTGTCGCAAACACTCCTTTACTGAGGCGCTCATACGCGATGTCGTTAACGGTAATCTCTGGGACACTGCTAGTTTTATGATACCGTTCATGCCGTCTGTTGATGACCTTGCATGATATCACATTCCAAATGATATGAAAGCAGCTCTGATGCATCCGACATATTGTCGTTGCTACGTACCGAGTACGACCAGCTCGCACTGGGCCTCGTCTTTTCCGTTCCTGTTCTCGGCCTTCAGCGTGTAGATGCCCGAGTCCTTCCTGGTGGCCTTCTCGATGCTAAAGTCCGTGTGGTAGTCCACGTTCTCGATCTGAAGGTGACGATAGCGGGTGAAGTCACAATGCGTGAGAGGGTAGAATGACGAACAGTGGAAGATAGCAGTGCAAATATTTTTTTTCTCGAAAGTTCTTGAAGTTAAAAACAGCTTAATTTTTACATCAGACTTTATCAATCGAGCAGTATCATCTCTCCATGTAAAGCTCGAGCCCAGCACCCAATGTCTGTGTATCAGTCTGTCTTGCTGTACCCGGCGCCTCACCTTGATGTTCTCGGTGTTCTGGAGGGGCACGTTGTCGCGCCAGGACCAGGTGAGCTCTGGCGGCGGCTCGCCTCGCACGTCCACCGAGTACTTGTGCGAGCGGCCCACCTTGATGGTGATCATTACCATGTTGGTCCGGTCGATACGCGGCTTCACTGCGATGGAAAGAAACGGGAAATGGATAAAGTGACAGTGGACGGTGAACAGTCCACTTCCTTAACCCCACGCTGATTTCAGAAATGCGATTGTGGAATATTGATCGGTGACGAACTAACGATTGCCGGCAGTGTGTGTGTGCGTGTGTGAGTGTGCGTGTTTATATTTTACTTTGACCTCAGCCGTCATTGGGTTTTGTCTGTTGCTGACAATGCCTAATAAACAATAAACAATACAAGAATTACATGGGGATTTCACTAAAAAATTGTCATAGGTACAACATCGATTACAATTTAATTGATCATGTAACATCTGTTTGAGTTTGAATTACGCCCGAGTAGCTGTAACACTCGGCTGCTAATGTAAGACATGTTGGGTTTTCTACCGGATGTAGTAGCTACTCACGATTTCTGTGTTTACAGATGTGGTTGTCGGTGGGCTCGGAGGCCAGCGAGGGGCCGGCCTTGTTGACCGCGCGCACTCGGAACTGATACGTCATGTTCTCCTTCAGGTTCTCCACCTCCGTCTCGCAGTTATCGTCAGGAGTCTTCTTCACCTGAGTGGCGAGAGATGGGACGAACGTCAGGTGGAGCTCCACCAGTGAGTAACGAGGTAGTATGCCAGTGCTTCAAGCTTCACTTCAGCGCAATAATGTATCATATCGCATCACGACCAATAAATACACATTCATGCAATTTTACCATTTGCCGTCGTTTTATACTTCAGTTTTATACCGCAAACTATTATATCATTAGTAGAAAAGTATGTATAAATAACCTTATGCTCATTCTGTTGCACTTTTTTGTTGAAATTGAAAGAGACACCCAGAGACACCCAAAGACACCCATCATGTACAATCACATCATCGTCATTCAAAATCTCCATTGAAAGAGTGTGTAAAGACGTCGCTGATTTAAAAATATCCGAATCAGTGGAAATAAGGAACCAAAAACCATGTTTGAACACCCAAACTTCATCCTGGCCACTTCTGCAGCGTCCATCGTACACCCCCACATAACTATATTGTACATATCCACAAATTGATTGTGACAACTACTGTCTGATTGTGCCGTTGATTTAGGCTGCGCCAAACAATGTGATGATTCATGCAGATTCTATGTTGTTATTTTGTATATTGTATATTGATCTTGTGTGTTGTATATTGTACATGTATCGTAGATATCATGGACGGCGCATCGTTATTTCGAGAGCCATGTATATATGAAATTATTCTCTCATCAAGGAGCTGATTGAAGCGCTGCACGATTTATTGATTGATGGAATCGAATTTTGTTTGTTTGTGTCGACAATTGTTTCTGTACATTCTGAAGATGGCGCAAGCCGAAATATATCAATGATTTTGTTTAATTATTCAATTTCAACAAAAAAGTGCAAAGAATGAGCATAAGGTTATTTATACATACTTTTCTACTTATGATGATGCTCAAAGATGCCATTGCTCGCCTACAACAACTTGAACAAGATATTATATCATTGCACACTTTTAGTTTTGGCGTGCATGCAAACAGCCACATCAGCCGCCTCTCATCGCCTCCCGCCACCGCCTTCACTGTCTCACCTCGCTCCAGTCGGAGAACTTGTCCTTCATCTCGATGACATAGTGGGTGATGGGCCGGCCGCCGTCACTCTCCGGTTTCGTCCACTTGAGCTTCACCATCGTGTTGTCGTAGTCGTCAATCACCGGCTTCCCGGGCTTCCCGGGCTCGCCTGAGAAAGTCAGTATTTTTGTTACGGTTCAAATGCACTATGCCCCAGTCACATTACGCTCTTCGTGCTCATACTGAAATTTTAACGAACTCTGTGTATTTCATTAGATCGCTGCTATTCCAAACTGGTCTCTGTTCAGTCAAGTCCAGCTCTTTTGCAAACATAGAGTTCGATTGCATTTCTAAACGTCAAAGTAACGTTGATTATTTGAAGTGACGATATGTTAAAAAAAATCGTGGATTGCTGATGCCATCTTATTGAACAAAATATGTGTCGCGCCTTTTCACGACGTGTACGCAATGTCAAAACATTCAGACAGAATATAAAACAGTTCAAAGGTGCCTACCTCCTTCGGTGGTGTCGGGCTCGTCTGCAAAAATTGAGCACGGATTTTGGGTGAGTAATTTAGGAGGAAATCAATGAAGGCACGGTGATACCAGTCGAACAGAAAATAAAAGGGCAAAAGAAATTAACACAAATAAGGGCAACGAAAAATGTAGGAAGAAAAACGAGTACGTACAACAACAAAAATATCATAAAGTCAGTGAGGGTTAGTCACAAAAGTACAATGATCAGGAGAAACATGTGATGAACGTGCACTACAAAATAATGTGGGCTATGCAATATTGTATGGAAACTGAAAACGATCATATTTACAAGTAGGAAAAATGTAGCGGATACCTATGTAAAACTTCAAGAGTAAGTTGATCAGCACAGAGACACATGGAAACAAAAGAAAGAAAAAATGTTGGAAAACTTTAAAATGGGACCATGTGTTAGCGTTTTCACACCAGCATTCCATCACCACCTCGGCGGTGGTCCGCTTACCGTAGGGGTTCTTGGCCTCGATGGCCTCGTCAGTCTCGAGCGGCTCCGACTCGCCCTCCTTGTTGACGGCCCGCACGCGGAACTTGTACTTCTTCTTAGGCGTCAGACCCTCGATGGTGGCCTCGGTCTTGTCCGGGTCCACCTGCAGGGGAAACGTGTCAAATAAATCATCAATTTATTGGATTTATTTTCGTGATGCTTGCTTGGTGTGGCGAGGTGACGTTCAAGAGTCGCCATTTGTTTATGAGTATGTGTACTGACAGTGAGCTTTACCTCGCCTGCCGGGACCCAGCGGCCCGAGTCCATGTCCATCTTCTCGAGGACGTATCCCTTGAGGTCCTGGCCGCCGTTGTCCTTGGGCTTCTTCCATTTGACGGTGGCCTTGGTCTCCCTGACCTCAGTGACCTCCAGCGGACCTTCGGGACGCGACGGCTTGCCTGCGAAACGGGAGGGAGAGGTCAGCCACCACAGTTGAATCAATGATTCCCACTGTCCGTTGTGGGCGTGGAATATCTTTACTGTGTAGGACAGACTGTGGATATTTGAAGGCAAATGCGAACAACACGGAACAGAAAATGTCAAAGACAATTCTCCAGTGGACATAATGACATGCCCAGTCAAAGTGTTAGTACTCAACACGGTTTCTCCAGTAACTGCGTCTGTCCGCCCCCCCCCCCCCCCCCTCCTCCGAACTTACCGAGCACGACGACGTCGGCCTCTCCCTCGCAGGATCCGGAGGTATTGGTAAGCACCAGCCGGTACTTGGCCGTGTCGGGCCGCTCGCAGCGCCGAACGGTGATCACCGTGTTCTTCTCGTACTTGTCGATCGTGATCCTGCCGTCAGACGGGGTGATGTCAGGAGGTGGTGGGTAGGTTGAGGTTGGGGTACCCTGCATACCTACTTCCGTGGCTGTCCCAATGTGATTGTTGTTTGACATGTGTCGTATATTACACACCTGTTTTTTTTTTTGTCACGCGACAATCCATGTATCGGTTTATTTTGATAGAAAAGCCTTACCTGTCGCCATCTGGGACGATCTCCTCCCCGTTCTTCAGCCACTTGACCTCGGGCTCGGGCTCGCCGCCGTACCGAATGTCCAGCGTGATCGTCTGGTTCTTCTTGATGACGATGTTCTTGAACTCGTCCTTGTTGATGATGTACGGCTTAACTGAAACGTCGGAGGTTATATCAACTGTAAAACGGCATAGTAATGTTGTTTCGAGACGTAGACATTTGTAGGCAAAACATGGCTTAACTTCCGTTTTCGGCTGTTCAGCAGATCATTTAGTGCTCTATTGGATAAATGTCCGACGCATCCAAGGAGTGCGTACTTGATCAATAGCGCACTCATACAAAACGAGCTATGAAACATTACAACTGAATCCATAGTCTCTCGAACTCCCACAGCCTTATCTGGAGCTGAAGCCATCTCCCTCCTCACCGAAGCGGCTCTTGGCGATGATGGGTTTGGTGGGGTCGGACGGCTCGCCCTTGCCGCCCTTGTTGACTGCCCGCACGCGGAACTCGTACGACTTGCCCTCGGTGAGGCCGTCGATGGTGCCCGACTCCACATCGCCCGAGATGAACTTGCCCTCCACCCAGTCGGAGCCGAACTTCTCCTGAAACGGGCCAGGAAGACGAGCGTCACTATCTGCGTGACACCAATTTGGTACATGGTTAGGGACCGGTTAGTAGGGTGCCGTGCAACAGTCAGTTGGGACCCATTTTGCACGTGAGCACGTGCAGGGTGCCGCTTCCAGATCTCGAGAACGGCTGGGCCGATTGTGCTCAAATTTGGCACATCGCTGGAGACCGGTTAGTAGGGTGCCGTGCACAAGTCAGCTGGAGGTACCCCCTCGTTAATATTGTGACGCGTATCAATGCAATTCACCAAACTTGTACTCGGTGACGAAAACACTGACTGCCCCCTGATGACGTCATCGCCACTGACCTTGTACTCGATGACGTATCCGGTGATGGGCGCGCCGCCGTCGTTCTCCGGTTTGGTCCACTTGAGGTCGGCGTGGTCCTTGTCCCAGTCGGTGAGCTCCACGTTACCCGGCTTGCCGGGCTCGTCTGTGCCACATACCGGTGTCAGAACGCGTACCCAGCCCGCCTGTGCCACATACCGGTGTCAGAACATGTACCCAGACCGTCTGTGCCACATTAGCTGTGTCCGAACATGCACTCGGTGAGAACGAGCCGAAAACATGTTCTTGGCTATCTTTCATGCAAACTTTACGATTAAAATCGGTCACACAATTATTAACTTGATTATAAACCATACACTGTCCAAATGCAGCACTGAAAGCTATCTGTTCCATTCCGCACTGTTTTCGTTCATAATTGTAATGCAAGTGTTATACAATGCATGTATGTTACGGTCTATCCGATGCAAAAGGGACATGCAATATTTGTTGCTCGTACCTTTGGATGTGCCATCTGTAGATGTCTCTGCGTCTGTGAATATGTCACATGCGTTTTGAAGAGAAAGACATGCTATAAGCACTTCGTGTCGGTTGATAGACGAAACAGAAATAAAATAGCACGTACAGAAACAAACGGAACGTAAAAGAAATCGAACAATCACAGCATTGGAAGTGCTTGGTTAGGAAAGCAAAGTAATGAACTTATGTAAAGAAAATGAAACAGAATAAATGAAAGATTGCTGCAGCTTTCTAGAAAAATAATTAAAAGCATGTCATGAAAACTGTAAGCGAAGGCTCTTAACTAGCATGCACATTCCATGCAATGGTTTGAACGGTGACAACTGAATGTTTGGCCAATCGTTATAATGCTGTGCTGTTTCGCCTCGACTAATTTTTTGTCTCTACAACCGTCACTCGACTTTTGCTACGCCAACCTCGGTACTTGATTATCAGCCCACATAGCATTAGGCTCTGGGCTAAAAACATACTTGACACATTAAAAGCTATTGGGTGCGGAGCGCCACACCAAGAATTGCTATGTTTGAGGTATTTACAATAAAAGGGTGTCTTTCATCTACGCAATTATTGGAAATATGGCTGCCAAATAACCTCAGTATGCTGTTTAATATTTCTATGGTGTTAGGTCGATTGTAATAATAGGTAACTACCAGGACCTCTTGTTAGCCGAGCGCATGCAAAAGCAATGAATGAGCATCATGCAGTCACGCGAGGGATCCGGCCCACTCTGAACTAGTCCACCGTGCCGCCACGGTCTGTCGATGGGGGGCAGTCGCCGACTCACCCCAGGGGTCCTTGGCCAGGATCTCGCCCCTGGCGATGCCCGGCTCCGACTCGCCCTGCCGGTTGATGGCCTTGACGCGGAACTTGTACCGCTTCTTGAGCACCAGGTCCTCGCACTTGAAGGTGAGCTCGTCTGCCGACGTCTCGCCCACCGTGTCCCAGCCGCCTGGAGACAGAATGGAGGCAGAATGGAGGTAACGAAGATGAACATGATGAACTGTAGAGTTCAAGCTTCAATATTGAAGATTCAGTTTATGAACTTCGTTACATGACTGTAGAGTCATCCTCTGAGCCAGCGTCTGTCAGTAACGACTCCTGAACACCTTTCCATGGCTGTATTTTTTACAAAGAGTTAAAACAAGCTAACCCTTTTTGCTGAGGTCCTGTCGCTCGATGACGTATTTTATTATCTCGTCCCCTCCGTCACTCTGCGGCTTCTTCCAGGAGACGACGCAGGACTTGGCGAAGATGTCGGTCACCTCGACATCCTCCGGCTCCTTCGGCACGCCTAAAACATCCCACAAACCCAGCCACCATTAGTTGCTGAGCATGGCTCGTTTATTTTCATGAAGTTGCGTTTTAGTGGATATGCGAGGCTTGCATCTGGTTTCCGTTTTTTACGTTTTATAGTGTCCGTTTTTTTAAGAAGAAGAAGAAGATGAAAGGAGAGTTAAATATCATATTCCTAGGGGAAAATTGTGTTTCCACTGATCATTTTTCTTTATTTATTGCTGCTTCAAAATTAGTTCGTCGTCGTCTTCTGTCCCCTGAAAAGAACTAGAACATTTGTAAGGCATGGTGTTCATGCTCATTGCTTCAGCACCGCTCAAAATGAACAGCTGAAGAGTCAGGTAATGATACTATTGATCAGTTAAGCCAAGATAAAAAATGCCTTATTCTCACATAAGATAACTAAACGTAGGTATGCTGGCTACTCAGTTGCAAAAACGCAAGGGAGTCGGACTCGGGGAACACATTCAGAAGTCAGAATAGCCGTTTTTCTTATTTCAAAGGCTTAATTATAGTTCGTTGTTTTATGACCAATCACCTTGCATGTTGATCTGAACGGTCAACGAGTCCTCTCCGCGGTTATTGGAGAGTTTGATCTCGTACTCCCCGCTCTGGTCACTGTTGGGGTGGCGGATCTTGTAGATGACCACCTTCTCTTTGACGGTGATCTCCACATCCTTCTGGGTCAGCGCCTGACCCTGGTAGAACAGTTTGCCGACTACGTCCGACTGACGTTTGCCAGAGACTGCAAACGGCGCGTGTTAGATGGGCACTGGCTACAGTCTACAGAGGAGCGAACACATAGAGACTGATGTCGGCTACACATTGAACATGCAGCGACTATTGTCTGTGAAACTTAAGACAATGTAGATGAGAGAAACTACGGACGGAGTGGCTGATCTTCGATGTTTGACCTTTGCAAGAATGGAAACTTAACGGGATTGATTTGTGTCATGAATGCTGTAAAATATGATTTTATCCGAGTAACTTTGTAATTATCAACATTAAATAATTGTAAATAAAAGTAAAAGGGATAATGAATGAGAGAGGCAAATACTTACCCTTGTACGGAACTTCGAATGTCAGTGGCTTGAAGACCGGGCCTTGAAAAGGAGAATGCGTTTGTAAACTATACGTTCATATTCCTATAATTAATTGCATGATGCTGAGAACGTGCCCACTGCCCACTGTCCGGGCAACAACCATTTTGTTGTTATTGTTACACATTAAAACATAGTTAATGGTAAGTAATCGTGAACAGTCAGCCAAGTTGACGTCACCAGAACTGTGTCTTCTCTCTACCGAATGCCTGAAGTACACCGTTCAGGAAGTCTAAACACATAGTTAGATACACAGATATTGTCATCGATCTATACGCATAACATCGATGTCCTCTGTTTTACACACCGTGTGCCTACACATGTGTCGCCGATTTCTACTGTAAGAGATACACACATCACACACAGATGTACAAATATAACAGCTAATACATCTACGGAGGATACACGAGTACCCCTCACATATGTACGGATATACGATACCCATCTGATCTGCGGCTGAGGTGCCGGCCGGTGACCCATCTCACCTGTGACGGGCCCCTCGAACTTGATCTTGGGCTTGGACTCGCCCTTGTGAACGGTGAGGTGGCCCTGCGTCTCGACCTTGTCAGACTTGCAGATGTAGTCGCCCTCGTCGCTCAGCTGGGCGTTTTTGATGATGAGCTGATGTTTGCCGCCGCCCAGGTTCTTTATTTCGTATCTGGAGTATAAATCGCGCGTATCAATACCACATTCTACTCTTTGAACTATTGATGAGCAAACCCAATGCGTCTAGGAAATGAATCGCTACAATCAATCTTGGTGTTTCCAATTCTAACGGTAACGCCAATTCTGCGTTCTTCAATTCAATGCCCCAAAACCTAATTCGCTCGCACACAAAATCCCAGAAGACCTCAGTGCAGGGGCCAGCTTTTACTGCGCCTATTTGCTGACCTGTCCGAGGGCTCGAGCAGCTTGTCACCGAAGAACCACTCGCACGGCGCCGTGTGGTCGACCAGCTCGATCTCCAGCACAATGTCCTCGCGCTCGGTGCCCTCCTCGTCACCCAGCTTCTTCAGGAACTTGTTCAGCACTGCAAGCGCACGGGCAGGTCAGCACCCAGGTCATACATCACATATCTCAGCAGTTCGTGAAGTGATGTTGAAGCTTTTGGGGAAGACAAAATATTTTTAGTATTCATGGCCATATTTGTCGACAATTTTCGTTACGATGTGGTTTGATAACCTTTGTTCTTCACAACATTCTCATCCTTGAGAAAAGTTACAGCGAAAGTTTCGAGGAAATTTGCATGGAGACCTTGTATAAGGCTGACATTAATGATGGATAGCCTCATAGCTTGCATTTTGCAATCGCCATAAGAGAGTGTAAGAGCTACCCACCTTCGACGTGCATGTTGCCGGTGGTGGTATCGGCGTTCGTTTTGGCCGTGTAGTCGCCGGCCATCGACATCTTCACCGGCTTGATGATCAGCTGGTGCTTCTTCCCGTCACTGACGATCTTGATGCTGTGGAAAGCATGGTGGTATCAGTCTGCACCGTAAGTATGATGAATTATGCCATGGTTATCAATTATATCTTGTCTTGCAAAGTTTTGTAGTTAAAACTATTTCACCACGGACATTCTGAAATGATTTCCGTTCGTGCGGTGCTAACACCATCACATTTCCAAGACACCAATCGGCCACGTCACGAGGCCGACGACGTACTGTTTTCCGTCGGGCACGATCTCCTCGTCGCCGCGGAACCACTTGATCTCGGAGCACGGGTAATCGGTGTGCACCTCCATCACCATCTTGCCCTTCTCCACGGCCTCCATCGACTTCAGCTTGCGCGTGAACCGGATCGGACGGTCTGGGGACAACCGAGTGTCAGAAAGATTGCTATTTCACATGCTAGCAGGTTGCAAGCGAAAATGGGTTTGCAATCATTAGTTTTCTTAGCCGTTTTAATTTGGCTAAAAAGTGTTATTAAAGGAGTAAGTTGACGTTTGAACATGCTATTGCAGTCGCTCTCCGACTCCACGTGTAACCCGTTTTCATTGCACCTACCGATGAGGGTGACCTTGGTGTGCGTCTTGTCCTTCTGCTTGAACAGCCGGCAGCTCCAGTCGCCGGCGTCCTCCTTGGCGCCCTCCTTGATGGTCAGCCGGCAGTTGCCCATCATGTCCTTGCTGATGCTGTACTTCTCGTTGTCCTGCAGAGCAGACAAAGACGGCTTTAATGTTACAGGGTCGTGACTGAGAGCTTCGCCTGATGCAGTGACATAACTTTGATCTTCTCAGTCACATGCTTTTAGTTGTTACTTCACGCTGCTCTTTTTCTTATTCCAATACACTTGAATGTGAAACTGATTAACATTTATTGACATGAGCTAACGGATTTCGTTAATGAAAGGTCAAAGCACGATAACCGCTTTGTTATTTTATTTACGGAGTCAAAGCAGAAGCGAGCGGCCTTGGTGTCCTTACCTCGATCTGCTCCTCGCCCTTGTACCAGTGCACGATGGCCTTGTGGGAGTTGACCTGGCACTCGAGTACCACTTCCTCGGTGAAGAAGCCGTCCGTGTGCTTCGGCAGGTTCTTCACGAACTTGAAGTTGGGGTCCGGCTCTGCAAACAACCCGAAAACGGAACAGTTCGTCATCAGTGCTTGCATAGTGTAAGGATTATCTCTTGATAAGAACAGTCTTTGTGGAAATTTACACGATTTTTGTAACACCGAGGGATGCTTTACCCTGAACCCTCATAATTCTGCTCAGCTCCATGTTGGCAATGCCTACAGCTCCCGCGGCGCCTGTCCCCGGTTCACCCGACTCACGTTCGACGAGGAGGAAGGCGGTGGACTGCACGCCGCCCAGGTCGATGGTGTATTTTCCCGAGTCGTCCACCTTGGGCTTGTCGATGATCAGAGAGTACGTGTTGCCTTCTGTCTTGAACTGGAACTTGTTGCCCGGGAAAATCTCCTGGAATGGAGAGAAATGGAGGACAATAAAAAGGGTCGGCAGTGGCCTATTCAAATGGATGTTAATTCCGCAACTATCAACGAAAGCTAAAAGCGATCAAATCGTTATCGTTCAAAATACAATTTATTTCGAAAAGAAATTCTAGTAATTAAGAATAATTCTGCTCGAGGTTGTCGCACATCTTACGTCTCTCTTGAAGAGCCACTTGGGCTTCATCTTGCTTTTGGAGAAGACGCACTCGAAGGTGGCCACCTTGTCCTTGCCTTCCTTGACAGTGAGATCCACCAACGGCTTCATGAAGGACTCGGACTTCTGCACACACGAGTTCCAATAAATCATGTCAGACGCGGTCCGGGCTGCAGCGGCCCACTCACCGTGAAAAGGCGACGCCAGGGAGCGCCCAGAGGAGCGTTGAGAAGAATCAGAAGAGCTGAAAACGAGAGGGCGACAAAAGACGTCCGCCGGCCAGCCAGGATGACCTGGGTCTGCCGGAGGCGGTGACCAAAGACGGCACAGTCGCGTGTGCCGACAGACAGACAGAGAAGGGACAGTCGAACGAAGGCAGAATGGACAGTCGACGGAAGGCAGAAGGGACAGCCGACAGAAGCTAAAAGGGACAGTCGACAGAAGAGGTGAGAACAAACAGGCGACACAGATATGAAAGACAAGGATAGAGACGAGAAGACAAAATTGTTTTGTGTATGCAACTACGTATGTATCTTTCTAAGTATCTAAAATCAAGAGCTAGTTTTAGGTCAGAGTACGTTACATTAATTCACTTTAATTTGCACTGTTAAGTTACTGTAAAGCTAAAACAAATTTGTTTCCTGAGTTGCATAAACATTAAAAACGTTAATGTTTTTTGTAAATATATCAATCACTCATAAAATGGCTTGCTCATTTAGAGAGCAGAAAAGTGTTGCCACAGGGCAGATTAAGCAATATTTTTGTATTATTCTTTTAGGTGTTGATTCGACATTATATGCCGCGGGGTGAAATTTGTCCTCCGAGGAGATGTCTGTACACGTAACATTCAATATAATCACCTGTCTGTGTTATGAACATTTTTGCTTTGATCAAAGTGTACCTGATAATCACAATGTGTTTACATGCACATTTCCTGTTAGTCACAACACCAAGATTAGGATGTATGCAGCATGTCGATAAGAGATAAGCATTTATGCCATCATCGTTGAGCATGCGAAGTTGGCAATCTGAAGTAGACAGAAGAAATGCTTCAGTTATAAATGGTTTTTAAGTATTTACGTGTGGCATTGGGTTGAATATTATCGATATTTTATGGATTAGTGGATCGGTTATGTTTTATGTATTCTTTGGCCTACCTTTAAACAGATCCTGAAAGTGACCACGCGTAAGAGACTTTTTCGTTGAAGAATGTCTATCATTTAATGAATTGCATGGATGCCGTATTGCTTTGCAAGGAGTTTCTTTTGAGTATTCAGTGCTCATATTAAATATTTTTTTTTTTTTCAGGATAACGTTTGCATTGTGCTTATACTGTGACACCATTGCCGCATTTGTTAGGCAAATGAGTAAGCAAATGGATTTCATCTATGTATAAACCGTCAAACGTTACTCATGTAAGTGTATCAATTATTTTGGAACATAAAAACAGTTAATAAAACTATTGACATGCATTGATTCTGGATCCATGGAAATTAAAACTTAAACAAAAGCTCAAAAAGGTGTGACGATTAATCATGGTGTGATATTTCATTTTAGGCTTGCACACGAAATGTCAAAATCCAAGTGCTGATGCTTGATAAAAATATTGTCGGATAGGTGAAATTAAAATGAAATGTCATAAGTGTTACAGTTCAAATATCCAGCAAAATAACAAGCTTTCAGAAGCGATGAACAAAAAAAGTGCTAAGTGAACAAAACATAAGTACACTCGCCCTGTTATGTGTTTTGAAGCCTTAGTGAGCGAATGAGTGCGCAATCCTTATTGACTCGATCTTAATCGCCATGGCGCCTGCGATAGCAAGCAATATTGTCACAGATCTCATTCCGATTACTGATCATGTCAGACAGAGAAGGAAGTGCCTCATGGGAAAGAAATGTGTGGCGACAGGCATGCACAGAAGCTCGCGCTCGCGGCTGCGGCTGCTGAGGGACGCGACCTGCGGCTTGGGGGTGGGGCTGACGGGTCGGCTGAGCACCACGTGCTGCAGCACGGGCCAGTCGGGAATGAGCTCTGCCAGAGACTGCTTCCTGGAGGGGGTCGAGCTGCGCCGCTCGCTGCCCCCGGGCTACAACAGGACACGGCGCCCAGTCAGGTCAGCTCAGGTCACGGGGCGTGCCGGCGCCGGGCGCGCCTGACCAGGTGTTCGTGTGTGTGTGTGTGTGTGTATGTTTTTAGTGTCGTTAGGAGATTGATTAGAGTCCGTTAGACAAAACGGCGCTCCGTGGGGGAAAACGTTAGGCTCTGTTGGTGTGTGTGGGCAGGTGTGAGTTCGACTACGGGTGGTGCTGCGCCCCCCTCTGGGGTTGCGGCCGGGTCACCTCCTCCACGGCGGTCAGGGTGGGCCAGTCAGGGATCAGCTCTGCCAGCGACGGCTTCCGACGGCCATCCACCTGATGGTGGCGGAATACAGCGCGTCCACACGAGCTCGCCGATGGGACTCGGCAAAAACTAACACCTAATTCGGCTGGAAAATTTCGATACTAGCAATGCTTCTGATTTTATATGAAAGGCATTGTTGTTTGATGAAGTCTATGTTTGATTATTGAAGGCTTAAAAGATCATTGAAATGGTATCAGAACATCATATGACAGTACCTACCTTATTTGAATTATATCACATTTTTGACCCATTTATGTTTCAGCAAATCGCAAAAAAATTATATTATTTTCTAAAGTAAAATTATACTAAAATTATTTTTGACAGCACTTTATCGATTTTCCCCTTTTTTGCCATCTGGACACCTATGAATTTGTCCATTTCTCTGTCTGTTATCGCCGAGAGCTGATAGGAGAGGACGGTGGTGGGTCGGTGTGGAGGGGCGGCTGCGTCCGACCTTGGTATCGCGCGGCACCAGCTGCAGCACCGGCCAGTCGGGCACGCAGTTGGCCAGCGACAGACGCCGGCGCAGACGCGGCAGGGCCTGGGTCACACCGGGTCACGTCAGGTCACCGGGTCACCGGCGGGTCACTGGCCGCGGCCCGCGGCGGGCCGCCTCGGCTGGACCGGGGGAGAAGCGTGGGTCGGAGCGTGCCGGGACGGCTGTGTGCGGGTGGCAGGGTGTGGGAACACGCCACGGCAAACGGCTATATTGCAGGGGACTAGAGACACGGCAAGGGTGAAATAACGCGCATATTTACACAGGATAGAGCACAGAAGAATGGTGACACGGGTTGAGCCATGGTATGGCACACGAATATAAAGATATACACAATACACATGGTAGTTAGGGTACAGACGTCAACAGATGGTGTGAAGGGCGATTCCCTACACCAGACGCATTACGAAGGCATGGCGTAGTCACTGAGAGTACGACGACGTAAACATATATCTATAATACATACTACATCGGTGCCCTGAAAACGGAGCATGTTCGCAGTACACTTGGATATGTACAAAACGAATTTAATATAATACAAATGTTATCCAAATATAAATATCGAGCTTGCCTGAGTAAAACATACTTGTAAAATTACTTTTTAAGTTGGCTTGTATTTCATTGCATACTGCAACTACGTTTAGATCAGACTCAATGTGCTCAGTCGAATCTCTTAAAAGTATAACGTTAAAGTTGTGTTGTTTCATCATTTTGCAATGGAACGTTTTAAGAGGTATTATCAGAAAAACACTCAAACACCCTTTCCTGAAAAACCTAGGTTATCTTAGTTCAGCTATTTCAGCAGTACCAAATCAGCACATGTCTGATCTCTTTACCCAAATAGTCAACTCAGATTAATAACTTCGTTGGGTAACGCCATGGTAAGCGTAGCTACCGTGATCACAGAAACGCAGAGACGGATTCTTACCTTTTCCACCTTCTTGAGCTGCGGGATCTGGGGTTTGTCGACCTCCTTGAGGTCGCCCCAGTCCGGGTCGCCCTGGTCGTTGTCCCACTTGGCGTACCGCCTCTTCTTCAGCATGGCTCGGAAGTCCATGCCGGAGGCGTCTGCAGAGATACGTCATCGGAGTTAGTCAGGGTCGGCGCTGTAGCTCCAGCCATTTCAGTCATTATTACCTGCTAAAAACGTTCGGCTGCTGTGAGACTCTGTTGGCAGAACCCCGTCGTCCATTATGTATTTCCTGTTCATGACGACTCTTTTTTTGCATCGTCGCTTTAAGTAACCGTCCACGATCGTCGACGAAAAGATTATTCCGAGCACTCTAAACCCAGGCATCGTCATCTGGGATCAGCTGTTACTGTCACCATCCCACGTAAAGCGGTCTAGCTGTAAGCCGTTCGTTGTACCGCTCCGTCACTCACCGGAGACGAAGAGCTGGAACTCTGCCGAGTCCTCGCCGTGCTCGTTGGCGATGACCACCTTGTAGTAGCCCTCGTCCTGCGGCTTGGCCTTCCGGATGCAGAGCATGATGGTGTTGGTCTCGCCGGTGGTGATGAACTTGTACCGGCCGCCCTCCACCAGCTCTTGGATGCCCTGCACAGAATCAGGGCGTGGTCAATGGTCATGTATTTATTGGTGGGTGGACCGATAGAGGTAAGGTGTGTAGTTACGGGAACGCGTCATTGTTTCATCTAACTGGTATTTGTTAAAGAGCAATGACCTTTCTGTATCGTGAATATAGCATACGCTTACCTTGAAGAACTTGAAGGTCGGAGCTGGGTTGCCTTCTACCGAGAGGATGCAGAAGGCATTGGCGTCTGCAACACAGAGAGCACACGTTAGTGAACAGCACTGTGTTCCCCGCATGGCAACAGACGTGTCGTTGCGTCCATTGCAGTACTGTGACTAGCTCGAATATTTGTTTACTATCGGTCTGTGCACTCACCCTCGACCACGGTGTAGATGTCTTGGTGAACTCACCCTCGACCACGGTGTAACTGTCTTGGTGAACTCACCCTCGACCACGGTGTAGCTGTCTGTGAACTCACCCTCGACCACGGTGTATCTGTCTTGGTGAACTCACCCTCGACCACGGTGTATCTGTCTTGGTGAACTCACCCTCGACCACGGTATATCTGTCTGTTACTCACCCTCGACCACGCTGTATCTGTCTTGGTGAACTCACCCTCGACCACGGTGTAGCTGTCTTGGTGAACTCACCCTCGACCACGGTGTAACTGTCTTGGTGAACTCACCCTCGACCACGGTGTAGCTGTCTTGGTGAACTAACCCTCGACGACAATGTATCTGTCTTGGTGAACTCACCCTCGACCACGGTGTAGCTGTCTTGGTGAACTCACCCTCGACCACGGTGTATCTATCAGTGAACTCACCCTCGACCACGGTGTAGCTGTCTTGGTGAACTAACCCTCGACGACAATGTATCTGTCTTGGTGAACTAACCCTCGACGACAATGTATCTGTCTTGGTGAACTCACCCTCGACCACGGTGTAGCTGTCTTGGTGAACTCACCCTCGACCACGGTGTAGCTGTCTTGGGTAACTCACCCTCGACCACGGTGTATCTATCAGTGAACTCACCCTCGACCACGGTGTAGCTGTCTTGGTGAACTCACCCTCGACCACGGTGTAGCTGTCCTGGATGTCGACGATGGTGGGCGGGCCGGGCTCGCCGATGGCGCGCAGGGGCGTCGAAGGCTTGTTGATGAGGTCCTCCATCTCGGAGACGGACGGACGGCGGACGTCGGACGAGGGGCGACGACGCTGTGACACCCCCGGGCGGTGTCAGCGGGCGGGGGGGGGGGGGGCGGCAACGGCGGCAGCGGCAGCAATGACGACGACTTGAAAGGACGGAGTGTGTGTGTGGATCAAGGATTGAAGGATAGTTATGGAAGAGGGGCTCTTGCAGAAAGGGTGACTAGGGTCTATCCCTAGAAGGGAACTCGCGATGAGGAACACAAAGGGAGTTGTATCGCATTCAGGTGTAACTTAACATTTATACTAGTTCTCATGGGTTTATCTATTACAAGGTTGTAAAATACCGTCTTTGATCCATGTGCACATGTAGTACAAGCTATTGCTCAACTTCAAATGTATCAAAAAAATGTGAAAATGTCTACATGATTGTGAAAATGAAATGTTCTATTATTTGGAAACATGGGAGATGAACATCTGTATCGCAAAAACAAAATAGGTACTCTAACATGTTACTAAGCACATAAGTGTCACTAATGATTCGCCGTTATCGAATCACCAGCGGCGAGTGCATGCTGTAACGATGCGTCACGGATACAAAATGCTCCCAGCACGTGACGGGCGTTCCGTCCGCGGCATGCCTGCTACGCTACGACTCCACGGACCAGTACCGATCAGTCACGGAACGTGACCGGGCACACGGGCTGACACGGGGTTATCTCGGACACTCGGACATCGAACGACTGGGGGCAGCGCGGACGGGGATGTCGGACAGCCAAAACTACCGGGACCGCCGCCGCCAAACAGGAGAGCTTTCTGCTATAACTACTGCGTCTTTACGGTGGATTTAGTGGATTCTGGACAGTTACCTCATGCCTTTATTATTGAACTGATTGGAGAAAGGCAAGTATCAACTTTCTTCGCAATAGATGGATTTTTTAAATTTCATCACTTCTTTCAGGTCTTATCGGTTTCCACATCAGCTTAAACTCTCCCGTTTGGCTGCCGGCGAGCTAGTACTACTTTTCTACTGAATTATGTCGACACATTCCATTGTGTGGGTTCTTTAAGGTAAGTAGTCACGAATGAGCCACTGGATTCGGGAGGTCACCGGACATTTTGACACCAAACGGCGTACACCTCACGTGACACATTATCACGGGACTGCGGACAATAAACACACTGTAAATGTGTGATTTAGGCACCTGAAGGCGTGTGTGATGTGTATATCTGGTGTATTTGAGATGTTTCGGAATTTTGAGCATTTTAAAGGAGATATGAATGTATATCTTGTATGTAAATTGTACTTGTGCATTGTATATGTATGTACATTTAACACATATTTTAGCTACAGACTTCACTTTTGAGCGACAGACATCGATGCAGTTTACCTGGGAAGACAATTTGTAAAACCAAACATGAAAGCTTCTAACAACTACTTTATCTGTGGACAACGAACAGGAATGCAGCCAAATATGGCACGATGAACACGGAGTCGACTATAAGCTAGATACGTTGGTAGTCAAGCGCCGCTGGACCGCCGTGTGTGTGGCCTGTGCTGACCTTTTCCTCAGTCGTCTGCTCTCCTGGCCTGCCACCCTACGAACACGTCACCAGAACCCCCGCATCAGACCACCGGTCAGCTCTCACATCACCCGTCACACGGTCACACACGTCAGCCGGCGGTCACACGCAGAGCCTAGGTACAATTAGCGGAGCGGGAGAGCAGCCAAGCTGGTAGCCGGGGGGGAGGTCAGTGTCAGTGGGGCACAGCTCTCCGTGATTACCTCGGCACCCATCTCTCCCGGACGCAGTTTGGCTCCCTATAGCAAGCAGAGACGGTGCGGTCAGAGGGTGCGGGTGTGAGGTCAGTAAAGGTCGCGCTACACCGCGGCCTCACGGGCTCGCCGCTGCAGCAGTCCCAGCCGCGGGGGGTTAGCCCCCGACCGGCAGGCGGCACTCGCTCGGTGCGGGGCATGGTCAGTTCAGATGGCCACACCGCCGCGCACGCGGCACGTGCTCAGAGGTGTCACGGTGCTGGAATGGCACTCGCGAGTGTCACTCGGTGGTCAGAGGTCCGAGTGGGGCACTCGGCAGCAAGCGGCTCGCAGCAGTGTCAAGTTAGAGAACCAGTGCTGTCAACCCCATCGGGCAGCACACGGCAAGAGTGCAACTGAAAACCGCTCAGGCTCGCCAATATCATCAGTAAAATGTGCACAGTATAAAAGTCACCCTAATGTGAAGCAATGTAGCAATCCTGTTATCCCTTTGTGTATCATCAAATCATTGTTAGGTATTTCCCCACGAGTCCCAAAAATCAGTACCGTTTCACAAAATCACCGGCGGCTTGTGAGCAGCCTGAAGCACGCGTTAATAGCAAATATCACCCGATCCAGTTAGATAACTGAAATAAACTGAAATAAAATAAAGTGTAAGCGGCTCTGGCTGCTGCTCAGAGGCGCCGGTCGGCGGTGAGAGGGTGCGCGGGTGGGCCACCTTACCAGCTTTCCTTCAAATATCTCTCCGGGCCGGGCCTTTCTGTGCTCCTGAGGAGAGAAGCGGCTGGGCTGAGGGAGCGGACGACACCGGGGGCGGGCGACCGGGACGGACACTACGACAGATGCTGGGTGGGATACGAAAAACAGCGACGGACGGATAGAGGGCTTCTCGGGGGAGGGGAGGGGCTCACTAAGGAAGGTGGTCGGAGACGGGAAACTGGTATACAGACGAAGAGCTTCTCTGGTCGGGACACAGGGTAGACAGACAGAAGGCGCGAGGGTCGGCTTGGGTCACAACTACAGACGAAGTGCTTCTGCGATTGAATACGTTGAAATATATGTGAAAGTCTACTCGAGTATACGATCTAAAATACAGAAAAGGAGGGCTACTCGGGTCTGGTCGGATCACGACGACACATATAGATACAGAGGGCCTCTCGGTTTCTACTGGGCTGAACCAATGTCACACAGACCTGTCTTAGGTTGAACCACACATACGGGGAGATGGTGACGACAGAGGCTGGGCCGAATGGGCGTCGATGCCGCCGAACGCGGTGCGCTTTGTGCTGTGTGCTGTGTGCTGTATTGTGCGCTGTGCTGTCTGTAACGGCGTGCTAAGCGGCTACTAAGGATCTGCTAACTATCTGCTGCGATAGTGCAGTGCGTGGCGTTTTTACCTGTTTTACTTCCAGGCTCTCTCCGGGTCGGAGGCTGCGCTTTTTGCCGGTGCCTGCGTCAATGGTGACGCCCTTCTGTAGGTTGGTAGGAGGCACAGGTTAGCAGTCAGTGGGTAGGGAGTATTTGCTCAGGCCTCAAGGGCTTAAAACGGTTATCTAAAAACGGTGATGCAGTGGTAGTCACGGACTTAAAAAAGATAAATATTAACAAAAATCCATTAGTTGTCTGTTATTGGAATACAAATATCGGTTGTCGCAAGCAGTTTTAACTGGCATTACTGTAATTCAAGACGCAATAAAAAATTGCTAAAATAAAAATCGACAACAAAAATCTTACCAAAGTCAAAACATAACATTCATTATAAAAAACGAGGATAATAATAATGAAGCAGGATTTCCTTACGCATTTTAGCATGCCGATGCCACTACTCGCTACTATGCCGATGACATGCAATGCGTGCCTATATGTGGTCTAGCAGCAGTCTGCGTGCATTGGACTGGGTGCGCCAAGCAAGGAATTGGTCAGGAAGTAGACCTGTTTCAAAGGCAAATGTGTACTGCTTGTGTTTATGCTGAGAGTTAGAATAGGGGGTCGTGTTACAATAACGACAAAGTGGTATTGGCCTAGTTACCCAGGTGCGCCATGGCATGTGTGCATTCCCAATGACATTAGGGAACATATGCGATTGCGTTTTGCGGGCAGCATTGTGAGTAACAAGTGTGATGATTGCTTCCCGTCGGACGATTGCTGCGAGTGCTGGCTGTTGTCAAACGAATTTTACACGGAGGGGACGTAATACATGGGAGGGTCGACAGGAGCGACACATTACCTGCCAAATGCAGATGATCGCCGAGCCATAACACTTCCTTCAATGCTAAGACATACATTCTGAAAAATGTGACCCTGTCTTCTTGACCCTTACCTGTTCCAGTGCGAGTTCTGTCCTTGCAGCGTGAACCATAGGGAAGGGTCGTAGTTAGGAGTGAAACTTTTCAGACTTAAAATGGGTATGATACGTGACTGAGAAGCGTTGTTTCTAAATTGATCTGAAACTGAACTTTTCTCTCAAAAAGATAAACTTATTTAATGGAAATTTTGTACCTGAAACGCTTGTAACTAAATTCCCGCAGTGTTCGGTACATCAACCCGTTTTCCATGTGCCTCCGGCCCCGCTCATCCCATCCATAGTCCTCATCTTGTGGCCCCATCCCTACCCTATCTCCCTGCTCCACCTGCACCCCTCATCCCCCCTGCCGTACTCACGTCGTCGGGCAGGAGGATGGAGGCGCGGCGCGGCTGCTCCTCGGGCGGGATCAGCGAGCCGCGCCGGCTGCCCGTGCCGCCCGGCGCCAGGCTGCCCTTCCGGGAGCCCGCCGGCGACGCGTCCTTCTTGATCTCAATGGTCGGGGTCTGCGGGACGGCGCCGGAGGAACGGAACAGGCCGTGAGACGGGCGCAGAGGCGGTGACGGCGGGCCCAAGCTCGGGGTGCGTACACGAGGCAGTGACTGACTACATGGCGCAGAACGTTCTCTAGATATACGTGGGTGAAGCGATGGCACGATATAGGTGCACGATTGAAGCAGTGAAGCCAACATGAAAACATTGTGATACGAAGCTCGTAGCTATAGGAATATAATTCTTGAAGCCTTGCTTAAGCACACACTGATCATAAGGACCTTTTACGAATTAATCATGAATTATCTAAGCCATCACTACGTTAAGCCTACTTTACGATGAGATGGCATACACCTTTTACCAGTCCGCTGGTTGTGTTGAACTTCAGCCGATCCTCGTAGTCCGTTGTTTTCCGCCGTCCCCAGATCCCCCAAGATAGCGAGCGAGACACACATTTCACATATCTACATAGTTCATGCTGCACATCTGCCCTCCCGGCTCTCATACAAATTCAACTCGCCACCGACGCCATTGCCTCATGCTGAGCGCTGCTTTCATACATTTTCTGTAGTATATCTTTGTTTGATTTTCCACAGCCTCCAGGTAAGGCACCTCGCCAACTGGCCGTTTGGCCGATGTAGTCACTTCGCATGCAGTGAAAAGTCATGCAGCTTACCAGGTAGGACAGGCAGGCGGTGGGGTGCTCTGGCGGTGACCCAGCAGTCTCTCCCCTCTGTGACCTCTGACCTCGAGCGGTGACCTCTCTTACCTCGAACATCTCCTGGAGCTCGTCCAGGGTCAGGGCGAACCCGTTGAGCCGCAGCCGGCGGGACCCGCGGAGCAGCAGCTGCGGAGCGCGGTCCAGCACGATACGGAGGGTGCGGGCCGTGGGAAACAGCAGCGACAGCTCCTACACCGGCACCGGCACCGCAATCAGCAACGTCAACTTCAGAGTCATCGGCATCTCCATTAATTACGACCGTTTGGGGCCGGCACAGGTGTGGTCAAGGACACCAAGGCAAGGGCATGGCAAGCAGTCGCAGGATTAGTAGGAGGTAGATCATGGATGTTGGCGCTGTTTGTTAACTGAGAGACGAGAGTTTCAATTAAACTGAATTGTGAATCATTTTGATGAACAAAACTGCTATTTATTTTCATTTTCCATAGTCAATTTTATGAATGGCAAGCTCTGGGATGCCGGTGGCTCATATTTTGTTAAATATTTTCACCGACTTATTGCGCAACACAATGATCCTACTGCTATTCGATTTTTAACTGAACACATTGTATCGAATATTCCATTTTGCGCACATACGTTGCTTGTTTGTGCACTGTGCGCAGACACGGTGCATTGAAAAGGTGAATGCATGTAGGAAAGGCGATCAGTTACATGCCAGCAAATCAAGTGACACTTGACTTAGGAATTTTTTCTTTCTTTTCTGACCAATAATTGAAGTGCAACAGATGGTCGTGCGAATGGGGTGATAACAGGAAATTCAAGATTTGTGTGTGCATTTAGAGGTGCCAGAAAAGGAAAGATATAGATAAGTCACTAGAAAAGGAAACGTTCAAGGACAACAGAGCAGGACAGAATGCCGTTTTGGTGCGCTCGTGCCGGTGTTCCTTGCCGTGGTGCTCGAGGACGAATCAGTCATCTGTACCTTCAGCGAGACGCCGTAGCTGGCCTTGGCCTCGAGCATCTCGGAGACGGTGATTCGATAGTAGCGCCGGCCGGGCGGCTTCAGCCGGTAGAACTTCCTCAGACTGTCGGCGATCACGGACAGCCGCTCGGCGGACTCGGGACCGTCGTCGGGGGTACCGAGTCGGTGCTGCGCCACCGAGCCGCAGCTGGAGAGCGAGTCGCAACTGCCGGCCACGCTGGACGAGTCGGAGCCCGGAGACTCGGCCCGACTCAGGCGGCCGAGAGAGTCCGGACCCGGCGACCCGGCCCGGTGCCGCCGACCCAGAGCCGCGGCGGAGTCCGGGGCGTCGCCGGGGGACGGGGACGCCGAGCGGCGGCCCCACTCCTCCACTCGGATCTGAGGCACCGGGCTGCGGGCCTGGCGGGGTGGAGGGCCGCTGCCCGGGCCACTCCAGGGGCCGGAAGGTGCCGGGGTGGCGGCCGGCAGACTCCACCTGGCTCCCATGACGTCCAGTCTCGCCGTGTCCTCCGGGCTCCTGCGGCCCTCAGGTGTCCGCGGCCCGGACACTGCGCTCAGCTCGACCATCTCCCTGCTGTTGGATATTACCGGAGCGGCCGACCGGACGCCGCCCAGCGCCGCCCGAGCCAGCGGCACGCGCGCGCGGCGCTCCAGCTGGGAGATCAGGAACCCGGTGCGACTGTGGTTGACCGGCGCGGCACCCGTCTACAAACGACCCGGCCCGGTCAGCGGGGTGGCAGGGTCGGTCGGAGCCTCCGTACTGCACAGCACACGGCACACCATGCCACACTCGGTACTCACGGGACACCACTGGAACTCTGCTGGTAGGCTGTGTGACTATCGCGGCAGTGCCACCAGTACTGACACATTTCACTGATAGAGCTGTGACAAGTTATATACGTACACTTGATAATTTCAACCATAAGAGGTTTATGGTCTTCTTGTACGAAGCTTTTGGAAGAGATGTGTCGTACCGGTGGCACCGCCTGGATCTGGGCTCCATACGACACAGTCTAGCTACTTTAACACGTAATTAAACGAATTTACAGGCGTCAGCTTATGCAAGCTGACCACAACAAAACATATGCAAAACATTGATCTACATATGATTATTCGACAGATGCTCCGTCTTACCTCCTCCTTCGGTTCTTTGGGCTTTTTCTTCTAAAATGCGGAAAGAAAAAGGCATGTTAGGGATTGAAGGCACAAGACTCAGGCGATACGGTATGGAATCGAAATAATATTCGTGCTCATGAAAAATCAGAAAGATCGACACAAAAATTATTACGGTGAAGTTTCAGATGCAATAGAAGACTAAATTTGATAATTCGTTTCAAAACTGAAATGTGTTAGTGAGTTATCTAATTAGCAGCCAGGTGCTGTTTTATCACACACATTCATTGCGAGTTCATAGTGATAAATTGTTTCTTTCTACCTACTTTAAATCATCTTACCAGTTCTTATTTATCACAGGTCATCTTTTAGTTAATTTCAAGATCACTCAGAGCTGGTCATTAGTTCATATAAGATAATGTATTTAAGGAAATTAAACGCATTGATAGAAAATCATGATAGTTTAATTGATACTTTCGCATAACTCGTCATATTTAACACCAATAACATGCGCAAAAATATCAAAGCAGTAGTAAGTGATCTGCCAGAGCATCGCGAGAACAAAAATAAAACCGCTGAAATACATTCGTCAGAAATACAAGTAAATACATCGAAAGCATTGTTACACATATCGCATGGACGCGTAATATAAACGCAGCCAGTTGAGTTGAGAGAATATGTCGCAGGCATTTAGCAGCGTATGGGCGAGCACGCTGCATGTTCTTGCTCCGTCTGTTTATCGTCCGAATCATTTCGTTCCTTGTTTATGCGGCTGAGACGGCAGCACGGCCGGCAGCGTTACCTGCAGATCCTCCACCAGCGGCGGGAAGTCGGGCGGCTTGGAGACGGAGCGGCGGCCCCGCTCGGGCGCGCGCCGCGGGTCCTGCGGCGCCAGCAGCTGGTTGGGGTCGGCCGGCGGCTCCAGGATGCCGGAGCGCCGCCGGCGGCGGGCCGGCCGCGGCTGCCTCTCGCCCTCCGAGTCGGAGGCGGCGGTCCTCTCCGAGTCGGAGGCCCGCTCCGACTGCGGCGTCTCCGGCGGCTCGATGGTCACCGGTGTGTCCCCGGAGGCGGAGCGGCTCCGCCCCTCGCTGTCACCCTCGGAGGAGGTCCGCCGCGCGGCGCGTCTCGCCTGCCGTGGTCGGGAAGACGGCCAGCCGGCGTCGTCGTCAGAGGTGTGGCTGTCGCGCCCCGGCGTGTCCCCGCCGGGTTTCGCTTCACGGCTGTACGGCTTGGTTTTCTTGGCCTCTGCTTCGCTTCGGGTCTTGGGCTCAATGTGTGCGGTACTAGCCTCACTGCTTTCCGTGTCAGATGCTATGCGGCTTGGCTCTCTCCAGCCCTTCCCGGGCTCTGGGCCCCTAACATCCCGAGTAGGCTTGCTGCTGGCGTCGTCATACACTGCAGAATCTTTCTTGTCACCGCTGTCTTTGAAATGTGTGCTGGGTTCAGTGCTCCCGTCACTGGAGTCTGCGTTTAACACTGCAGGCCTCTCGGGCCGGTCAATGGCTTTATCAGGTCCAAGAGGTTTGCGAGAAGTAGGGCTAAGTCCAATGCCATCGGTGTCAGTAAGGGTCGTTGTGGGCTTGTCTTCTTGATCTTGCTCAGTTTTTACGCGCGTGCGTATTTTGGGTCTCGCTTCACCCTCGTCAGTGTCTGACATTGCTGGCTCCTGCGGAATGCCTTTTCTACCCCCAGTATCCCTAACAACACTTTGTTTTGGGGCACTTCTATCGCCTTTGTCATTGTCTGATGCTGGAGTATCAGACTTACTCGAAGCTTTGTGCACCTCGCCACCTGTCCTGGACTTACGGCGAGTGACACTTCCTTCGCTTGTCTCTGTATCAGATGAGTCAAGGATGAGTTGAGGTTTTCTCTTTCCAGCTTTGAAACGTTCTGTAGGCTTCGCCGCCGTCTCACGTTCTTCTCTATCAGACGCAGTGATTGAACCTGTAGCTGATTCTTGTTCCCAGTCAGCGCTGGCGTGTCTTTTGTCCGTGACACTTGGTTCGCTGTCTTCAGTGTCAGAAACTGTTGGTGTTGTTTTCGAAGTTAGTTGTGAAGGCAATCGAGCCCTAGCTTTCTTGCTAACTGTCGTCACGGGCGCATCTGCAACCTCTTTTGTTTCTTCATTACCGAGCTCGCCTTCTGGTGCGGAAAAGCTGGGTTTGCGCTTATCTTGTGTGGTCTTCGTGTTCAGGCCCATTCTTTGAGGTTCGCCTGATTCGCGCTCTTCAGTGTCTGGTATTGAGGAGGATTTTCTTCGCTTCTTTTTACTGGCCTTGTCTTTTGTTGGTTCGATTGAATTGTCTCCCGGCTGACTGTCCCTTGCATCAGTTCTGGGCTTAGACGTGGTCGGCTGCTGCTTATCTTCAGCATTCTTAGGCAGTTTTACTGTATGCCCCTTTTCATCTATGTCTGATTGAGGTGAAGCTTCTCGGTGTTTTGTTCTCCTTTCGTCGAGTTCGATCACCTTGTACGGTTGCTGCATTTCTACATCACTTTCTTGCACATCAGTGTCACCTCTGCCTCCTTCCGTTTTGACATCATCTCCCATCTGTCTGTAGACTGTGATGCTGTCGACACCTGTACCTGAGCCGTGGGTATCGGGGGTCAGTTCACCAGTATCCGTTTGCTTATATTTGAGTTGACCGTGCGGTTCTTCCCTAGCTTCTTTTCCTGTGGCGTCCATGACAGGAACACGATGGGCCTTTTCTCTGCTTACCCGATCAGTTCCTCCAACATCTACGTCCTCACTTTCTTCCGTATCAGATGTGACATAGGCTGGCTTCGTTCGACGATTCGTATCATACTTTTTCTCGGGGCTCCTTAATTCAGGATTTGACTCATTTTCATCCGAATCGTGCATAAGAACGTCAGATTCGCTATCTTTTCCTACACGGGTGACACTGCCTGCAGGCTTCTTAGGTTCAGAGATCACTGAACTGCTCTTTGCGTCAGCTGCAGTTGAAACACGCTCGCTGAATGGTTCTCTTTCATCACCCTTTGTATGGCGATCCTCGGTGCTTGTGTCAGCTTCACTGTCAGCCTCATCTTCAGCTTTTTGGGGCTCTACATGATCGGATTTTACGGCTTTTCCACGAGGTTTGCCATGTTTGTCTCGTTTGTGAGGATGGGTACTGGCCTCGCCACTTCCACTATCATCACGACTTTCTTCGGGTGGCTTGATCCGCCCTTTGACTGTGGGCTCAGTTCTGTTTTCTGTGACGCCCTTATCGCTAGACTTGCCGTCTGATGGTTTAGGCACCGTCTTCCTATCGTATTTTTCACCATCTCTATCGTGCTTGGGTGACTCGCTACTGGTGGTACTTTCTTCGGTGTCGGACTGGGGATGAGGTTGTCTTTTGACACTCCTCTTCTTCTGAGGACCAGTTGGCTCAGCCGATACAACTTCGCTGTCTTGTGGTTCAAAGGCCCTCTTAGAAGCATCAGGTCGTTCATCGTCATCTCTGTTCCCCTCCGGCTTGTGCCGTCCTCTTTTATCACCACTTTTCTTCCGGGATACTTTCCGTTGACGTGTTTTATCATGTTCCGATATATCGGATGTCACTTCCGTCATCGTCTCCTCACTCTCGCCGTCTGAAGTTGATGGCCTGGCCGTCTTCCTTCTATCGTGTTTATCGTCATCTGTATCGGTGCTCGGTGTCTGCGGAGATGGTTTCGCCGCCGGCCCGGTTTGTGACGTTCCTCTGTCGCCGGACGGAGCCCGGGCTGCGGTGTCGGAGGGTACGGAGCTCTCCTCGGTAGTGTCGCCCGGAGTCGGTCGCTCCCGGCTGTCCCGATGCCGCTGGACGGGGTCCTCCGTGGGTAGTGGGGTGGGGGTGACCTGGATAGGGGTGGGACGCATATGGTTGTTCAGTCACCTATTGGCCTCTAATAAGCTCAGGTACCCTAAATTACTTTTGGGTGCTTAAGTGATAAAGAGTACCTAGTTTTTATTGGATTTATAAAGAAGACGTGTTGTTGATGGTTACGAAACCAGAACCCGCCAGTGAGTCCTGACATTTGGCAAAAAATGCTTGCCCTCCACTTTGCTACGTCACACACAAACTTACTATAAAAATTTAAAACTACCTGATTTGACAACGCAATTGTTAGTCAAAAAGTGTTAAATTTTCGATCAAAGTGTGCAAAGGAGGTTTTGTGGAAAATATTAGGAAGGTTAATTGACGGTTACCGGTTAGTTTGACGGTAAATAGTACATACCTATGGAACTTAATGTTATTTTGAGCTTTATAGGTCAACCGTTATATTATTTATAAAAAAGTTATTATGCCAAACCATCTCAACATATTGTTTTAAGCAAAATTAAATACAAAATGTTACAGTCCCGACGCCATTCAGATCAGTTTATCCACGTTGGGTTGTGTACTTTATTAAAGCACCGTGCTGTCCGCTACTACATAAAATCAGTCTGCACCAGGCATGAGTTGTGGGTAAAAGTGACAGGAAAAGGCTAGATGCTCGTATGACTTGTTGAATGTAGTTCAGGAGATGTTGATGCAGTTTGACTTGCAATATTTATAGCATGCTTCTTGTTTGTTTAGAAACATCCTTTTCATTGTTGTCGATGCTGTAAAGTGTTCACATTTTAATCATTGTGTCGTATGATATTTAGCCACGGACGACATGTTACCTGTGGTTTGCTGTCACCCTCACTCTCACTTTCAGTGCTTATGATACTGGCACTGTCGCTGAACTCGGGCAGCCATTGCTGAAACGTGAACTGGTCAGAACCGATCTCTTAACGCTTCCTCATATATCCTACATCGCTGGGAAAGCAGCACTTTTGCCACTCACTGCATTATAAATGGTAAGTCATTGTAACGTACCAGTCTCATGGCAAAAAAGAAGTCGCTTTCATTCATCAAACCCCACCCGCACGAGCTGCGCCTATATACACAAAGCCACACAGCAGCAGTCGCCAGGCGTTCTACAAAGCGGGAGACGGTTGTATCGTGTAATATCGCACGGCACGCTGTGTACACGTCTCCGAGAGGCAGCCGCCGGGCGTATCCACAGCCTTCTCAGCCTCCTCTCGGCGCCAGTGGCGCGCTCGTGCGGCGCCGTACCAGGGTGAACTGCTCGCCCTCCTCCAGGTAGCTGACGGAGGACTTGCGTCGCGCCAGGTTCGGCTTCGGCTCCACCGGCTTCAGCGTCACGCTGGGGAACTTCTCCTCCTCCTCGACAACCACAGCGCGCTTGGGACGCTGCGTCGGCTGCAGCTGCACCTTGCGGAAGTCGGTCTCCTCGACCTGGATCCGGTGCCTGGTGGCCTTCGACGGGCGCGAGTCGCCGGTGTTAGAGCGGTTAGTCACGGTGGTCGGACGCTCCTCCGGGGGGACTCGCCACGTCCGTGCATTACGTACGGAGGGTTTATGAAGCACCCAGGCGGGTCGGGTCCGATGCACTGCTTTCAGACAGGTCGAGAACTAAGCACAACTTTGAAGATAAAAGGGAAATATTTTCTTCTAAATTTTTTCGTAAGGAAAGCCACGTTCTTTGAAGGCCTTTTTTAATCTGAACAAACATCTGTCTCAAAGCTGACCTGCGTAGATGCTTCACTTGTGATTACAGGATTGTTTTGGGCAGCGTGAATAACATAATATGCGGCTAGGCTAAAATAAACGCGATTAAAACACACTGCCAACAGGAACAGACATCGGACATGTGTTATATTGGTACTATAAACTACGAACGAACATGAGTCAGCATTGGGGTGAGCTTGTTGACTTAATGTAATGGGCTATGCTGGACAGTGGACATTAGAGCTGTAACATGTGCTTGGGACAAAGCATCGGGGTAGCTAAATGGACATCACAACTACTATTAGCTTTCCGTGGAGCCTACGTACCTTTTTCTTTGGCTCTTCCTTCGGGGGAATGACCTGAAACCCGAGGCATGTGTTAGGGTTCGGAGCCATACTCCATTCACCTGTCGAAATGCCGCCAGCTTTCATCAGTCTGGCAGTGCCGTAACTACCTTGCAGCAAATAGTTGTGCGTAATTCGCTGCTAATTGAACATTTCATGCTTACAAAAATCTTTTAAAAAGAGATTATTTACTAAGGAACTTTACCAACACGTAAATGGTGTCTTTGGACTTACGTTTCTACTGCATTTGATTGCTTTTATTATATTTTTACTCTTAGATATCTTTTCCAACTGAAATATTGTCATAAAAAGCCTCCATGCTATTTACACATGTTAAAAGAGAAAATGAAAGCCACAATTTGAGTTGTTCAAAGTACAAAGATGACGATCCATTGTTCGGCTTTTGCCAGTCTATTTACATTTTTCAAGACATCTATAAGAGGAAATCATCAGAATATCAAAAATTGATGCTCATTTTCAGGTTATGTTCCCTCGTGATTGATTATGCACAATGAGAATGATAAACTAAAAAATCCTACACCCACCTCATCTTCATTCGAGCCCGTATTTAGTGCTACCGTAAAGTGGGGCTATTTGAGACAGTGGGGCTATTTGAGACAGTATTTAAAATCGCTATAAAATGAAGATCGTTTGATTTTTGTGTGATATTTTTGCTCAGGGAGGTGTGGAATCGAGCAGTGAATCGCCTGAGCAAAAAAGTAAGCATTAATTTTAAGTGTTTTTTATTTTATAGCAATTTTAAATACTGTCTCAAATAGCCCCACTGTCCCAAATAGCCCCACCTTACGGTATTCATAAATATACATTCATGCCAGGCATTCAGATATGACATGCAATGAAATCGGCGAGAAAAATCGACCAAAGAAAGAAACGGAAAGCTTTTTCCTGGCTTGCTAAAAGTATAGCGGAGGCTATTTAGAATTAAGATCGAAATATTACATGGAGTTCGAAAGTGCGGTTTAAATTTCTTACACGATCTTGAGCATTGGCTCAAACAAAATCCCGACGAACAAAAACGCGTTCGAGCTTGGTAAATCTACAAAATCAGTGGGTTTACAGATGTAGAAGCAGAGAGCGTTGCTTGCTGATAGAGAAAGAGAGCGAGTGGCAACTGTTTACCAATGTGCTGGACTCTGCCAGCAATAGCAAGGGTCGCTCTTGGACCTCGACTACTTTGGGCTCGTCAATGGCTTGCAGCTTAGGCGGGTTCCAGCGAACCCTCTGTCGTCTCTGGCGCTGGTCACAGACACGGCAGGTGTCAGGGGCGTGTCGCTGACACGGGGACACCGGCGACACGCACAGACACGACACACCAGGCGGCGTGACACGCGGGTTAGTGGAGACACGTGACACCGAGAACGGCGGCGCACTGCGGCGGCGGTTCACGGCAGAGTGCGAACGGCACGGTGTCGATCCAGGCGCCTGACACTGAATCAGAACGTCAAAAAGATTCGCCACGACTTTACTGCAGTGCCATCTACCTAATGCTTCAGCTATATGGCATTCATCGAGCTATTTTTATGAAGTCAAGAAGCTAGTTGACAGAAGGCAGGGTTGCAGTAAAGTCGTGTAGGCGGCCACACAATTGACCAGTGTACTGCAAACATCTCACGCATGGCATTTGTTATCAGTATATGTTTTTGACACAATGTCCGTTCAAAAATTATTTATCGATGCAAAAAAACTTCATATCATTTTGTGTAAAGAACAGATCAGAAGGGTGACGTGTCTTGAAGAAAGTGATAGGTGACAGGAAGAAACAAGATGACATTTGATGAACATTGCCATCATTCTTTCTTAGACGCTCACCTCCTCATGGACTTGTTTAATCTGTTGCGCAGCCTCCTCCGTCTGTTGTTCGGCCTTGGCTTTCTGTTAACGGGGTGCTCAATCAGACTTCTTGCATGGCATACAGGGGCAGTTTCTAGCACACATACAGGTGCTACGCTATGAACCGCGAACGGGAGCGGAGCAGCGGCCTCTGGTCTGGTAAAACGCAATGTGAATTATAAAAAATGATGGTTTCGTGTTAACCTCAATTTTCTTATTGAAATGTTAAATAGGAGAATCTGTATTTTTCATGAGTTCGATGCATTCCGAACTCTGTACGAGACGGTACAATAATACCTATCGATGGCCGACGCTGGTGTTTTCGCTCCACTCCTGTTTGCGGCTAAGCAGATAACTATACTGACTGGTCCAGGCTGGTCTGTCTATGGAAACAGCATCATTCCCAAGTGCTAAGGATACATCTGCTTGCGCTTTCGTCGTTACTAATACCATGTCTATGGTCATGATTTTCCATAGTCATTCACTTCGTCGCCCATGTGACAATGGTCATTAATGAACGATAAATACCTTCCGAAGCTGCAATCAGAGTCGCCTAGTTCACACTTCACTGGGTTGACATAGAGTTAGTGGCAATGTTATAGTCATTTTTACTCTTAATGAAATGCTATATTTCATGTTTTCAAATATCTGGATATGACTGATCGTAATATTTATTTTGGAGGCATTCGTTTCGTTGCATCGCCTCAGAACAGTTAGTACTATGTGTTCGGACACGACAGAGCGCACTTTTAAAGTCTTTTTGTTTTGTAATGATTTTGAAAAGAAATTACCATTTTTAGATTCAGATTTTGATCCCAGTTGGACGTAGAAAAATATTGTCGGCTACGTAAAGAATGCTGACCGAACATTCGTTTTCAGCCCCGATGTTAACTGTTCGGTCTGCCCGGGGTCCCAGCGCGCACTGCCGTGTCCCCGTCTGTACACGCCGGCCCCTCAGGAGCCGGCCGGGCTGTTAGTGGGTGTTGTCCGTCTGTACCTTTTGTTTGCGGTGTAACAGCGCGGCGCGCTGCTCGGCGAGAATCTGCTGCGGCGTCTTATTCTCTATGGGCACGGACTAGAAGGGAGGCAGGCAGTCAGAGCTAGGCAGGCACGCAGGCGGCCCGGACGGTTCACGATGTGTGGGACGGACAACGACTAGACGACTCAATGTCACAGATAGGTCACAGAAGTTGGCATGTAGTGTGTGCGTGTGTATTATCGTTTGTTGTATGTAACAGACAGTGTAACACGCATCGACCGACATACAGGAAAAGTCACACTCAGGCAATGTGTAGGACGACACTCATGCTCTTGTTGGCATTCAGCTCTATGGTATATACGAACCACAGTGAAATGTGTCTAGCACAGGAGATCTACTGTGTACGAAAATCCAAAAGCAAGGCAGGTTATTCATGTGTGTTTGGTTCATTGATTCTCCACACCTGTCTGTAAAACAAGTAACCACCTTTCTCTCAAGAACAACCTCATTACCTCAACCCCATTGGTACCGGGCGTGTGAGTGTTTATATCATTACCTGTCTCTTTGGCTTTGTTTTGGGCTTTCGCTCCTCGTCTTTGGGCTCGTCGGCGATGCTACTGGGCGCCGCCGAGCCGCGGCGACTCGAGTCAGCCTCGGAGGGCGAGGACTCGTCCGGCTGCACACACGGGTCGAGGTCAGCGCCAGCCAGCAGGGGTGCACACTGCACACACGGTCACTACACTACGGCTACACGGGACTGGGCTCTACCGTAACACTGACAGCACAGGTCGAACAGGCAGAGACCGCTACACGGCAGGCACTGGCACTACGGTGACGGCAAATGGATGGATGCCAGTCAAGTACGAAAAAATCTGGAGGTTCGTAGCGTGATTCAGGAACAATATTGATAGTACCTATCATTTCAGTCCTAAGTCGATTCTTGGTTCCATTTAGAAAGATAATGTTGAATCTGCCCATTCGTATGATTTCTAAAGGTTAACAGCTCACACAATATCATAAAATGGTAATGTCATATTCAACGCTCCTAGTTCGTAATTACGTGTCTGTCGGTTTTTACGTGATCATTGAACTAGAATATAATGAAATATTATATAGCTATATGCTTTCTATCAGTGAGTAATTACCTTCTTGAGGCACCAAACATACTTTCACCTCCGTCGAAGTCGCCCTTGCTGGTAGCCAACCGCAGTGACTTACACGGTTCTTGTTATTTTAAGTTAATATTTGGTTAAATGTGTCCGAGTTTAATTAGCATGCAAATCATCGTTTATCAAATTTCACAATCACAGCATGCATTTATATGTCGTAGACATGTTTTTTTATAGTCATTTATTTTGGTTCAAAGACAGCATTCCGTGTGATTATTTTTACCAGGAATTGGAGGGAATTGGTGAGCTTAACGGTCAAAAGTGAGGCTAAATGTTTTTTTTTTTTGTCATACGATATCCAATAGACAATTAACATTTTTTTGTTCCTTGACTTGAACGTGAGGTTTATATCTCATTTAATTATTAGTTCTAGCCTCTAAGAATTGCTGCCAAGAACTGAAAAACTTACCATTAAATTGAAAAACGTTATCCAGAGTATAAACAGATGGCCGAGTACCAGATAGAAAGGCAAGAGTTTCACTCCAGTCTAGAGATGTCAATCGGATACCAACTTTTTGGTATACCGATACCAAACCGATACCAACTTGGTATTTGGTGTTTCAATCCTAATGTGTTTGGTATTTTGTTGGTATTATGAACCCTTACTAATGTATAAGAGGCTAAGAAATTGGCAAAAAGTTGGTATTTCCCTCATCTTTCAAAGTTGGTTCGGTTTCGGTATTTCCTCACGGTTTTGGTCGGTATTTGGTTTGGTATCGGTATTCCGATTTTCTGTAATTGACATCACTACTCCAGTCGTATTGTTCCAGATAATGCATAAGTAGAAATGCTAGAGAGCAGATGCAGAGCTGGTGGCGTATCGCCGAAGAGAGGCTGCGACGGACGTTATAATGCAGAACGGCTCATTGACCAATCGCCAGTCTCTGGTCAATCTTGAGAAGCAGCGGCGTCGGAGGGTTACGGCCGCCCAGCGCCGATTGCTGGGCGGCAGCTGCGGTTAGAGAGGCACCTCCAGTATACCTGGGTGTCGTCCACATCGGAGGTGGTCGGCCGAGTGCGCGGCTTCTTCTTCTTCTTCTTTGGCGCCTCCTCTGCCGCCGACTTCTCTTCCTCGGCGTCCGAAGTCCTCGGGGTGGCTTTCTTTTCGCGTTTCTTCTTCTTGATTGATCTCTGCCATGGCAGAAGACCGTCTTCTTCCTCGCCCGGCGACTCGACAACTACTGCTGGAACCTCGCTGACTTCAGCAAACTTTGGCACCTTCAGCTCCGTGATCTGCGGGCGCTTGGCCCAGGGCACAGACATCTCAGCTTCCTCTTCCTTCTTTGGTTTCTCTTTTGGTTTTGCTTTTCTTAAGAGGGATTTAGTTCTGGCAAAGCTCTCTCCGGCATGCTCAGGCTCAACATCTTCCAGCAATCTGCTAGGTCTCCTCTCAGTGTTCGGCTCGTCTTTGGTTTTAGCCGGCTGATCTTGAGTATCGTGAGACTTTTTGTCTTTGGATTTCTTACTGGACTTTGGCTGGCGTTTGTCCAATGGTTCACTTTTATCGGAAGGCTGCGACAATTCCGGTGCATCCACTTCCATTGGACTGCTCTCGTCGCTGGCTGTCGGTGCTTTGTCTTCCCTTGGTTTCTTTGCGCTTGTCATGTCTGGCATTTCTGACTCTGGCGCATCTGCGACCCTACCCTTGTCACGTTCATCATCTTTCGGAACAGCTTTCTTTTCTCGTCTCTTTTTAATTGACCTTTGCCAAGGAAGGAGTCCATCATCTTCTTCTGGCAACTCCTGCGGTTTCGCCTGTGTAGGCTCCTTTTGCTTGTCTTCATCCGGTAGACTGTCCTTCGGCTTCTTTTCACCCGGTTTTTCGTCCTTGCCGTCGTGATCAGTTGGCTTCTCCTTATCGTCAGACGTATTGGGAGTATGCTTCTCTTCGCGTTTCTTTTTCAGCGCTCTCTGCCATGGAAGGAGGCCGTCGTCTTCTTCAGGTGGCTGGTCTTCTGCCACTGGCTTAGCTTCTTTATTCTCCGGCTTATCGCTTTCCTTGGCTTCGGGCTTCTCTTCCGTTGATTTGCCATCCTCCTGCTCGTCAGATCTGGGAATCGTTGTTTTCTCCCGTTTCTTTTTTCGGGATCTCTGCCAAGGAAGAAGTCCATCGTCTTCAACGGGTTTGTCTTCGTCAGCAGATGCTTTTCCTTCTGGCATTTTATCATGTTTCTGATCATCCTTTTCAGGTTTCTCCTTCTCATCTTGAGCTTGTATTGGCTCATCTGAATCGAGTTTAGTAGGCTTTATCCGTGTTTTTTCATCGGGTTTCCCTGATGGTGACCTTTTGTCCTTTTCTGCATTCGGCGCATCATCAAGTGAAGACGGTTTTTCTTTTGTTAAGTCTTCATCATGTTCTTTGGGTTTTAATTCGGTCAGTTTATCACCGGGACGGCCTTCGTCTCTTGCTTCTTCCGTGCCACTCGAAGGTTTAGCTGTGGACTTTTCCTCACGCTTCTTTTTTAATGCTCTCTGCCACGGCAAAAGTCCGTCGTCTTCTATGGGTGTTTCCTTTTCCTCTGAGGGCTCATCTGTCTGTTGTTTTTCTTGTTCGCTGATTTGTTCATTCTCTTTCTTCTTGTCCAACTTTGTCTCATCTGTATCTGGTTTTTCTGCTTTAGTGGTAGGCTTCTTGTCGCGCTTCTTTTTCGACCTTTGCCATGGAACACCTTCATCTTGAGGCTCTTCAGCTGTCGTGTGTTGATCTGCATTCGGCTGGGCTTTGTCTGTCCTATCTTCACCAAGTTTATCTTCCTGAGTTTTTTCGTCAGGCTGGCTTTCATTAGGTTTTTCTGTTTTGACATCGATCGCTGACTGTGGTGTTTCCTCATCTCGTTTCTTTTTCATTGGTCTCTGTCTCGGAAGGAACTCGCCTTCATCATCCAAATATTCTTGTTCTGCCGATGGCATTTTCCCCGATGGCTTTGTTTCTGGCTCATCATCACATGGCGCGATTTTTTCAGGCTTCCTTGCTGACCTGACTTCATCTGGCCTGTCTGTTATCGGCTTGGTAGCTTCAGGTGTTTTAGTGTCGTCAGGTTTCTTTCTCGATGGCCTTTTTGTAGTTGTGTCCTCATCCTTCCTCGGTTTTTGAGCTTCGATGTGCTCGTCATCCTCTATTTTATCTGTTTTTGGTTTGTCTGTGCGCTTATCAGGGTGAGGAGATATTTTGTTTACGTCCTCTGGGGCTGTTTCGTCTTCTTCAGGCATTTGTTTGGGGGTCTTGTCCCTTGTCGTTGGTGTTTCTGGCTGCGTTATTTTAGTTCCCTTGTCACTTTCCTTTCTCTTCCGAGGTCTTTGATCAGCCTCCTCATCGGTCTGGTCATCGCGGTCTAGTTTCTTTGGCTTGTCCTTACCTTCATCAGTCTTAGCACCTTCAGGCGCTGTCTTTTTGCCAGGCTTTCTTGCCTTCTTTCTCCTCCACGGCATATCATTTGCTTCTTCGGTCGGTTCACTAACTTCTTGCATATCAATGTCCATCTCTTCTATTTCATCGTCTTTGGCTGCCTTTGGTTCACGTACTTTTGATGTAGGTGCATGGGTTTGATCTGAAGGTTCCGAAGGCGAAACATCCTTACTTGAAGGCGTCAACTCTGCATCGGACTTAGGACGTCTCGGTCTTTCTTTCTGCTGGTCATCAGGTTCTTTGGAATCCTCTGATGTATCCGTCAGCTGTCTGCTTTCTTTATCTTCGATGTCCTGTTTCCCTATTTTTCGTTTGTCTTTCACCTCCCGCACGGAGCCAACCGTACTGGCACTGGATTCTTCCGTGTCCTCTGCTGATGATAGCTTTTCATCTACTGTATCGGATCGCTTTTTATCTTGCGGCTGCTCTTGAGGCTTTTTGCTTTCAACATCTTTTGGTTTTGGCTTTTTCCTTCGCGGCATTTTTTCGTCTTGGTCTTTTTCACCAGCTGTTTCTTGATCTCGTTTCCTAGAAGGTATTTTCTCGGGCGCATCTTGGTCTGATTCGGATGAGGTTGGTTTTTGCTCACTTGGAACATGTTTTCCTGGGCTTTTTCTCTGTTGCGATTTGGATTTTAGTGGTTGCGCTTCACTGGGTCCCTTCTTTTGTTGCAATGACTTCTCTTTGTCTTTGTCTTCTGGTTTATAATCCTCAGGTGAGCTATCATCTTCATCTCGTGGCTCTTCAGGCTTTCCTTTGCGAGGTTTGACTTTGTTTCCCCATGGGGTAGATATTTCATCTGGGGTAGAATCGCTTTCATCTCTTACCAAGGGTTTTTTATCTTCAGGTTCTTCTTCGTCTTCGTCACCTTTCTTCAATTTCCTAGCGGTGCTTTCTTTCCTCTTTGTTTTTACATCTCCTTCCTGTATGGTTTGCGAATCTTCCGGCTCTTTCTCATCGTCTGGTTTTCGATGTCGATCTGTGACCTTCCTTTTTGTTTTTGTTTTGGGATGTTCCGGCGTTGTTTCACCATCAGTTCTAGGGGAAACCAGTTTTTCCTCCTCGACACTTTTGTCAGGTTTATCTCGGGTAGCTTTTTCCCGTGGAAAATGTTCATCCTCATCCATGGATTCCTCATCGACACCCGTCTTTGATGTCCTCATCTTATCTTTAACTTCTGGTTCGTCATCTTTTGGCTGCTTCGGATGAAGCTTACGTTCTTCCGGCATTTCTTCGTCAGGCACATGTTTGTCGTCAGGACGCGTGTCTGCTGGCTTTCGTGGCTTTATCTTCTTACCCCAGCGAGTATCACTCGTCTCATCGACCTCTTCTCGGTTTTCCTGAGAGTCGATTGGCCTTTCTCCTTTTGGTTTCTTCTTTTCTTCTGGTTCCCTGTCTTTCATAGTTGGTTCTGTTGAGTCTTGAACTTCTTTATTCTCCCTTTGACGTTTATCAGGCTTCTTCTTTCGGGACCACGGTTGTCTTTGATCATCAGCGTCTGGCTTCTGATCGGTCTCTGGTTCTGCCTGATGAACTTCTGGCCTTCTCTGGACATCCTTTTCGGAGGCATCATCTCTCCATTCCGGGCGAAGAGCTTTGGTCGACGTTTCCTGCTCTTCCGGCTCTTCTTTTCGCTTTCTTGTTCGCGTCTTTCTCATGACCTCTTCGGTTGTTTGCTCTGTGATCGTTTCCTCTTCTTCGGATTCATGTTCTTCCCATACACCTTGTCGCACTTTCTCCGGTTCTAGCTCATCCTCTTTTCCAGTGCGAGCCGTGCGCCACCGCTTGTTAGTAGTGACTTCTCGAGAGCCACGCCGTTTTGCTACAAAGCTCTCTTCGCGCTCTTCGGTGACAGCGTGCGCCTTTTGGGGAAGCTGAAGGTCCTGCATTCCCTCGATGAGCTCTTGGACCGTTGTGTCGTCTGGTTTGGCCACCTCACGCTCGAACTGACGCGACAAATGAGGAAAACCGTCAATGTATAGAAATGATTTAGGAAAATACTCTCGTATTTACTAGCACAGGGAGAAAACGAAGGGGCATTGTGTTTGATGTGGAAACACGTATGTGCGGCTCGTTTGTCATCTGGAACGAGTCACGGTAACACGCCATGCGAGGTATGCAAGGGGCTCACTCGGCACAGTGATGGATTCAACTCATACGACACAAATGTGCGGACATTGGGCGACAAGGGGGCGTACTTTGACCTGTGGCTATGTTTATCCTAGGTTATTGTGTCTATTCTAAGGTGTTCGTGTACTTGGAGTTACATTTTAATCATTGCATTTTGTAAAATGTTCATGTACTTTTCGAAGCGGCCACATTTAACGTAGCTATTTATAATGAACTTTGTATATACCTGGCCAATGGACATGGATATTTCGGACACCTCGTCCTCGGTGTCAACATCTTCCGTCTCTTGAACCCTGCGGTGTGCTGGGGACTTCTATGGGAACAAACAAGACAGACGTGCGTTAGCCCAACGCTTTGGTGATCGAGCGTCCATTGGAGGGTGAAGTGCACTACTACGTCGTTCCAAAAAAGTACATCACAATGCTCCGTAAAAATACATTTTCATGCAAAACCTTGTAATTGACGGGTTGAAAATTTGACTCTCAAAATGGGTATAAAATGGATTCCAGGCATCAACGATGAACATTTCTCAAATATGCTTTCCGACCTTGCTGGCGCCGGTAGGTATCCCTGTTGCTGTGGCAGCGTGACACCTACCTTTTCTGGGAGGGGCTGGTCGACGCTATCGGCCTGCACGGAGCTCTTGCGGGACGAGGTTTTCATCTCTACTCTCTGTACCGACTGGGTGCACGAGCAAAACGGACAAACCTCGGTCACGTCAGGGGGCACAAAACGGCGTGGCGCTGGGCGTGGGGAAAAGGGTACACTGCACAACAATGCTATAGGCACGCACACAACTGCTCATCGAAGCGTAAAAGTAAGCTAAAAATGTAAAATGCTCCCATTCACCGATCGTGATTGCTCGAAGCATTTTTTTTTTTAACAGCTCTGCGCATCTGAACAATGCCTTTCAACGTGTTATCATACTGAACGCGGTATCGCCAGCTTGTAATGTTGATTGCTTTACGTCGCTTTCTGTTGCACTCATGACTTAGCGAATGTATTTTTTTTTGCAGTAGTGTTAATACGTTAATTTGAAAAAATACACGGCATGTTATTTTACACATGATTTAAATGCATTTATGGAGAAGGTCAAAACAGCGGCCATTAGTGTTTTGATCCGTCCTGGTTTAAAATATGTAAGCTGTTTTGGCCTTCCCAAGGCATGCATTTTATGAACCATTTGCCTTGTCTGCAAATCCGTGAAGGATTTGCATTCTTGCATGAGTATAGTCATGCAACTTTTAAAAACAAACGTTATTTTGCGTAAAAACAACTTAATCAAGTGACGATATTCGTGTTAATTAAAGGTATACATAGGAAATAAACTCTTTTTTTTGTTAGTTACGAGTATTTAAATGGTATGTATATAGCTTTTAATGGCTTAAACAGTTATGGCCTTCTCACATAATAGTGAAAATTGCACAGTAACAAGTAAAATGTAGCCAAGTATGATACACAGCGAGAAGAAAGCTCAGTTATGGATGAAGAAATCGACACACCGTACAAGACAGAGTAACCCGTAGAAGAAAACAGATGAACAAAGTTCTTGAAAATAAAAAATGATAGACACGGAAGAAGTTGAGCGGACAGCCAGCATTGTGAAGTTTCGTCGCCGGTTCCGGACGAGTCGTTGATTAGTCAATTGAGTGTGCGCCTCTGTGGCGGCGCAGTGTTACGACATTGACCGTTTGCCTCACCGATCGGCGCCGCGTGGTCGTAGTGGTAACGGAGATCTCCTCCTCCTCCTCCGTCTCGTCCAGACTCTCCTCGTCGGGCCGGCCCACGCGCGGCACGCGCCGCCGGGCCACCTGCCGGTCCCTCCTCTTCTCGGTGCTGGCCAGAGCCCGCTCCTCGCTCGGCTGTCCCTCAAACTCGGCCGGCTCGGCCATCTCAGCGTCCGGAGACTCGGGAATGGCGTCCCTGGCGCGACGGGTTTTCCGCGGCTTCTTGTCCGCGTCTTTCGGCTGTTTCTCTTTTGTTTTTTCGTCTTTAGGAGCAGCAGTATCGTCCTTTGGGGATTTTTCTGGCTCTGGACTTTCTTCTTTGCCCCATCTTGATTTTTTACTTTTCGGCTTTTTGGCACTTGGTTCTGCAGGCTTTTCGCTATCGTCCTCCGGAGCAATCTCCTGCGCTGGTTTCGGTTTCTTTTCTTTGGGCTTTTTCGTGGTGGGCTCGTCTTTACCCGGCTTCTCTTCATCTGGAGCTGTTTCGCGCTCCGTTTTTGATATGTCTTTTGGTTTCTTGACGTGCGATTCATCGGTCTCGACGCTTTCTGGTTCTGGACTTTTCTCCTTCCCCGGTCTCGTTTTCTTGTCCTTTGGCTTTTTAGCGATTGGCTCATCCTGTTCAGGCTTATCTTGTTCAGAACTCTTTGGTTTTTCCGGCTTTGATTTTTTATGCCTCGTTACCTTAGTTTGAGATTCGTCTGTCTCAGTAATTTCTGATTCAGGACTTTCTTCCTCCTTTTCTTCTTTTTCGGGTCTCAATTTTGTTTCTGTAGGTTGTTTGGGCTTTGCTTCATCAGTTTTTGGCTTATCGTCATCTTTACCCGGTCGTGTCTTCCTTTCTTTTGGTTTCTTTGGGGTCGTTTCGTCACTTTTGGGCTCGTCAATATCACGAAGGTCCTCTTTATCGGATCGTGCCTTTTTATCCTTTGGTTTCGGAGCTTTTTGTTCATCCTGTATGTCACTCTCGGGTTCTGGACTTTCCTCTTTTTCTGGTCTCGATTTCTCATCTTTTGATTTCTTCGGACGATGCTCATCTTTTGGACTTTCTGGCTCAGGGCTTTTGTCTTTTCCTGGCCTTACCTTCCTGTCCTTTGTTTTCTTACCAGTTGGTTCATCCTTTTTGGGGCTCTCAGGTTCAGGGCTTTCTTCCCTTTCCACCTTCGGCTTCTTTTCTTTCGGTTTCTTTAACATAGACTCCTGCTCTTCCGGCTCTGGGGACTGGTCTGTGTCTTCCTTGGTCCTTTTATCCTTCGGTCGCTTTGTTTTTGGTTTGTCCTTCTCTTCTGGCTCAGGACTATCTTCCTTGAGCGTTTTTGATTCCTTTTTCTTTGTCTTATCGACGGCCTTTTCTGGCTTTTTCGTATCAATTTTGGTGTCTTTGGGCTTCTTGTCCGAGACCTTTACCTTAGTGTCTGTGTCCTCCATTTCTTCATCCTCTGAGATTTCCATATCTTCTTCCATCTTTTCGTCATCTTTTGGCTTTGTTTCGTCTTGCTTCGGTTTCTTGGTTTTCTTCGGGAGCAAAGGTGGTTTTTAAGTGACAAGTGCATTTACCAGACACGTAGCTGTGTTGTATACTACCTACAATGACCCCTCCTGTTACATTGCTCACGTGTAATCTAAACACACTTCTATTTTACATGATTCCATTTCGTGAAATGGATCTTTTATGGCAAGAAAGAACAATTTTTTACTTGAAAACTGCAACAGATATGCGAGTTGAACTAAATCAGATATTTGGAGTTACGCTGATAATGCTTAGTTTCATATCGGTAAATATTATTATTTGTATTTGTGCTGTCTTGAATTTGAGCACACTGCTCGGTAATATACCCAATAAGACCATCAGCATATTGCTTACCTCTTGCGGGGTGTCTTTTTCCTTCTTTTTCTTTCTCGGTTTCTTGTCCTCTTCATCGAGTTCCTACAGAAAAAATAGATCTTTTATTTAAGGATATCTATCATTCTATTATTAAAAGATGCCATTCTATCTAAATTGACATAATTTCCTTTATTTTATACTTTATAAGACTGCATGGAAAATACGCTCCCCATCCATTCACGCTTCTTGCTAGCTACATTTTCGAATGCATGGGACATTCTATCTCGAACATGCTGACACTGGTGACTACACTTGCTATCGCACTCAAGCCTAATCGAGCATTTGTCTACGTGGATAGGTGATAGCCCCTCGGCCACGGGGCCGACTAAGCTAATATCAATGTGCAAGGTTTGCTTACCAGCTTCTCGATGACCACTTTTTCTGAAAGCAGACGAATGGAAATTCGTCAAATTCACACAATGGTCTGTCACGGATGTTCAACTTCAAGTTGGCTTCTGCGTCGTTCGCTTAAACGCTTGATACGTATTTTTAACAATTCAAATGTGTTTTGAAGAGACAATCTTGAGTTCCGCCTTTAGGAAACTTATATTGATCTTCGCGCTACGCGCGCTACTAAATGCTTCAAGTTACTCCGAGCACATTCATCCCTGATCTGTTATGACCGCCTAATGTACCTACCTCTTGACTGTAACTTATTATGGTAATGTTAATGTTCGGGCTTACCGTTGACGGTCAGCTGCGCGGAACACTCTGACGAGCCGAACTGATTCTTGGCCACCACCTTGTAGGTGCCAGACGCGTCCAGCTTGATCCGAGAGATGGACAGCATGATGTTCTGGCCGTCGAAACTCATAAAGACGTCCCTGGTCTCGTCGAGCTCCACGCCGTCTCTGGAGGAGAAGAGGGGAAGTGAGGGAGAATATGCACCAATCGGCCAGCAGGGCCGCCAGTTGGAGTTTGCAAATACCATTAAATTGGTTACCGTTGTTGATTGGTGCCGGTTGTGTTACCGGCTGAGGTTCCTATTTCGATGGCAAAAACGTCACTTTTATTACTTTGACCGCAAGTCGCGAAAAACGATGTGCTCTGCTTGAATGAAACGATTTACGCTGTGTATTACGTGCTTATTAACTAAGACCATGTCAAGAGCTTTGTTTTTTCACATAAATATTTCACGTCAGCATTGCTTAAAACTTACTTGTACCATGTGATTTCCACCTTCATGTCGTCCTTTGTGAGCTTGCAGTTGAAATCTGCGCCCTTTCCCTCCTCTACAGAGGCGGATTCCAGGAACGTTGCGAACTCAGGTTTGTCTCCCTTGGGCTTCGGCTTCGTTGTCTTTGAGACCTTTTTCTTGGTGACCTTGGGCTTGTCAGGCTTGTCGGTCTTATCTTTGGCTGGTTTCTCGGATACTTCGGATACGTCCGAAGTTTCTACCACCTCCTCAGCCTTGTCATTAGCAACAACCGTCTTCGTCTCTTCTACCTGCTCTATGGCCTTCTTTGGCTTGTCCTTGGAGTCAGGAACTTCGACCTGCTCCGACTTCTTTCTCTTTACCTTGGTCACCTTTTTCTCGGAAATTTCGGAGACCTCGGAGACTTCTGACGCCTCCTCTTCCACCACCTGCTGATCCATCTTCGCCTCCATCTTTTGCACCCTGCTCATCCGTCGCTCGGCGACCTCCGACACTTCAGACACCTCCTCCTCAACCTCGACACTCTCCTCGACCTGTTCAACAGCCTTTTCTTCTTTCTTCTCCTTCTTAGGCTTTTTGACCTTCTTCGACACCTCAGACACCTCGGAGACTTCCTCTTCCGCCTCTTCTTCCTCTTCCTCGAAGAGCTGCGTGACCTTCACCGTCTTGGACTTGACCTCGCCCTTGGCGTTTTTGGCGATCAGCTGATACTCTCCCTTGTCACTGTCGGCGGCGTTCTCGATCTCCAGTTTTACCGCATATTCGCCCTGGGGAAACACGGTATCCATGTTAAAAATAAACAAGTAGAGGGAATACATTGAGAGCGCTGTGAAATGATGCTGATATGTATCCGTTATTTGTTTTAGGTACCTTGCATCTTAGAAAGCTATGCAATCTAGATTCTACAAACAGAATCTAGAAAGCATGTCAAGACACGTGGATGGTATATCGGTTGAAGTGGCAGGGTACATGAATTATTTCGGCTGAGGATGGTCATGGTGTCTTTGCCGCTCGTCACTGACCTGGGCGACGTTCTCGACCTTGACCGATCGGCGGGAGTCGCGCACCACCGAGTGTTTCTCGTGGATCCAGTTGATGTCGGGCTGGTTGACGCAGGCGATGCGGGCCTCGATGATGACGGTGCGGCGTCGGTGGACGATCTGCACGCGCGGCTGCTGGCGCACCTCCGGCACCACTGTACCGAGAGGAGCACGATGTCAGACGGGAGGCTACAAAGTGATCTCGGCCTCTCGGGGGATCGCACGAGTCAGACGGTTGGTCAAAGAGGTTAGCACGGATAGGAGGAAAAAACGGCCACAACTTGGAGGATGGCAGAGGGGCTAGACGGTAGGCCACGGGGACGACCACCAGCCGAGTGTCAGAGAACTTAAAACCACCGCGCTATAGTCCAGTGAAGACAAGAAAGATAGGTATTGGCGCTACGACAGGCTAGCTGCGTAGTCTGTAACTAATATGATACTGTCTCACCTTCGATGTTGAGAGTTAGGTTGGCGTTGATTTCGCCGAACTCGTTTTTGATATTGCACTTGTACATTCCAGCATCTTCTGGCTGGGGGTCCTGCGAGAGAACAGGTGTAAATCATTGAAACTCGAAGAGCGCCAGTGAATTGGGAGACGAAATGACCGATGAACGGGTTTGCGATATTGTCTTACAATTTGTGTACTTCTAAATATTATTTTATTCATATAAGTTGGCAGAGTAAAAATCAATTAATGATCATAATCATTACACTTCTCATCACGAAAGAATAAACATTTTATATTTAGATGAGGTGAACTGCAAAGGAAACAGAGAGCCAGAAAGAGAGAAAAATAAAATGTCAAAATATGAAATATCAAAAATGAAACGCAAAAATAGCTTCGAACTCGCATCACACAAACGTTGGGTCATGGGGAAAACAATGTTTAACTACAGCTATAAAGAAAACAAACGAACAAAAAAAAAAAAAAAAATGCACGCCACCACAGCTGCTGCTGCTGGTATCAGGAAATCAGGTCTTCTCATCACACCACCGAAGAAGAAAGTTCCTTTGGCGGCCGGTGTTGTGGTGCGCCGGCCGGTCGCCGCCTACCCGTATCCTCAGGTGGAGTGTGTGGATGTGCTTCTGCTCCTTCTGCGTCAGCTGGTGGCGGGCCGTCTCGCGCACCGCGCGGCCCGCCTGCGTCCAGCTGACGGTGATGGCCGTCTCGGAGCGGACGCGCACCTCCATCAGGATGACGCGCTCGGACTCGGAGCGTATGGCCGGCGGGCCGACAAACGAGGGCGGCTGGCCGGCCGGCGGCTCCGGCTCCGGCTCCGGCTCGATGTTCAGCGACAGGTTGGCGTTGGTTTCGCCGAACTCGTTCTTTGCGTGGCAGCGGTACTTGCCGCTGTCGGCGGCCGCCGGCTCCTGTGGCGGGTCGCGCCGGGCGCCGGACGGTCAGCGGACCGGGCCGCGGGGGAGAGGGCACCGGGCGGGTTGCGGCGGACTACACACCACACGGAGCTAGTGACACGCGCTAGGACAGTGTGATACACGCTAAGACGGCAAGTGTGAGACTGACGGTGGTCGTGCAAGCGGACACGGAGATGGTGTTTCAGCTGATCGCTTATTTCCAGTGAGCTTTGTTCAGGCAATGATGATTTATGAAGCGATTTTGGTATATGTACAGGCTGGACGCAGTACCCTCATCTTTATGATGTCATAGTTTGTTTTTCTACGATTAAACACTGGAAATAAGCGAGCAGATTTAATTAAAACTATTGTAAATGTCGATGCGAGATGCTCTTGAGCATAGTAACTTGTCGGTAAGGGACAGCGCTGTCTATTTATGATGTACAAATGTACTAGTTTACGCCCTGCAGACAACTAAATCACCGAACTAGTTCTTTACTTCACGCCCCGCAGCACTGTACTACGCGTCTAGACAATGCACTACGGCGTAGTGTATCTGCCGCGGTCTACACGCCACTCGCTGCTTTACCCTACGCCGGAGCCCGTCCTTCCGTGCAGTGTGCACCCACCTTCAGCAGGAGGAGGACCTCGTACTCGTTCTCGGAGACCTTGTTGATGGTAGTGGAGAGACGCGATGAGCTCTGCACCAGCTCCGTCTCCTTGTACCACGTGATCTCCGGCGGCGGGGTCGACTTGACGCGGCACTTCATGGTGATGAGCGTGCCGTCCTCGTTCGGCAGGATCTTGGGTTTCTCGGTGAACTGCGGCCCCCGACCGCGCGGCTTCTCCTCGCCAGCTGAGGACGGGGGAGGTTAGGTCAGGTCAGGTCACCGTCTGCTGCCCGACCGCGCGGCCTCTCCTCACCAGCTGAGGTAAAGGCCAGGGTAGGTCAGCGGTCAGGTCAGTGTCTGCGTCTCATCGTGAGAATGATGCTGCTCATAGGCGCAGTCGCGATTTTCGAGATGGGAGAACTGAAAACGTTAAAAGAGCTTTTGAAAAATTTGAGAGCTCTGGGATTACCCTTCAGCATTGCTGTGATCAGCATCGGGCTGTCCAAGATCCCTGTGGGCTATACTCATTCGGATTGGATATTTTGTCATTAGTTCAAACCTTTATTTAGAACGCTTGCCGTTGAACAAAAAATTGTTGTGGACCTTTCTAGGGTTTAACCTTACCTTACACCCTGGAACAATTATCTAAGCAATGCATGATCGACTATAGAAAATAATCTCTTGTTTACAATTCAGTACTTTTGCATCCCACACTTTCCTCTCTCAGTTCTCATCCTCCCGTCCTGTTGTGCCAACCAATTGTCGCCTGGTCCGGCCCTGTTGTCGCTGTCTAACACTGCTCGTTTGTAACGGCTGCCCGGCACCGGGCCAGAGGCATCTCGGCGACCGGCCGCTCCGTTCAGACCTGACGGGCTGCGAGGACAGCGCTGACCTCGGGCTATCGATATGCTCTGACCGCCAGACCGCCCCACCACCGGGCTTTCCCCACGGGCCGTCCTCCCACCAGGGCCGTCCCACCAGCAGCGGCCGGGGGCGTCCTCCCACCCGTCCGTCGGTCACTGGTCGCCTTCATAGGCTCATTGTGACGCCATTGACTGGCCTCTTCCTCGAATGGCCATCGTCCACTGATCAGTCTCCTTCGTCCTTAGATCGGACTTTGAGAGCTTCCACGCCGCCCTGCACCGTTGCTACCGCTGCCACCCACCGCACGCTGGGCCGGCGGACCGGAAAAGCGCTAGAAATACCCCCAAGAGTGACTTTCCACAATATGAACAAAATATGTATCATTCGATCCCAAATTGATCAAAGCATACGATTCTGATGCCATTTTTGCCCTAAGGTCGAAATCGAGGTGGTCAGTTGTCACCAAACACAAGACTATTTAGACCCGCTAGTGGCCACCACATTTGCCGATTTTAATGCCAATCTTTAGTTGATATTTATTAGTTGACCAATTGTCGTTTTGAACGCAATTTTCTGTCAGACTAGTTCAGGGCACTGTTGTTCACTGTACCAACAACATTCTTACATATTGCATCGCTTTTCTGCAAGATAAGCTAGCTTTTTGCAAGCAGCTGCAAGACCTAAATAAAAATCATATCTTAATTTTTAAATAGACTTTTATAAAAACGTTATTTCGAGCGGCTAAAAATGAACATCTTATACTAGCCTCTGATTACTCATCTTTCGTTTCATATAGGTGCTTTGCTGCTTTTCCCTGCTACTTTTCGAGATATGCGTCAGTCAACCACATGCTGTAGGGACAATTGTCACCTCGCCGCTCTACTGACGGCCCGGCGCTCTTTAAAGCGCTGAAATTGATGAAAAACGAATGTTTATAATCTGAATAAAATATATGTCCCTGAGCTCAGAATTGATCAACGCACACAATGCTGTCAAAATTTTTGGGCCAAAGTCAATAATTAAGTCATTATGAACCCCCAAACACAGGTCAGTGATAATCAACAACAAGTTGCTCTTTAGTTAGACTTTTTGAGAAATGTTATTTCGAGCCGCTAAAGATGAGCATGTCATGCAAACAACTAGTCAATTGTCTGCCATGCCCTATTGACGATTATTGCCTACTACAGCTACTTTTCGAGATATCGTCTGCTTAGTCACCTGAAATAGCTGCTATGCCACCCTATACCGCGGTAGGGTGGCACAGCAGCTATATCAGGTGACTAAGCAGACGATATCTCGAAAAGTAGCAGTAATAGGCAATAATCGTCAATAGGGCATGGCAGACAATTGACTAGTTGTTTGCATGACATGCTCATCTTTAGCGGCTCGAAATAACATTTCTCAAAAAGTCTAACTAAAGAGCAACTTGTTGTTGATTATCACTGACCTGTGTTTGGGGGTTCATAATGACTTAATTATTGACTTTGGCCCAAAAATTTTGACAGCATTGTGTGCGGTGATCAATTCTGAGCTCAGGGATATATATTTTATTCAGATTATAAACATTCGTTTTTCATAAATTTCAGCGCTTTAAAGAGCGCCGGGCCGTCAGTAGAGCGGCGAGGTGACAATTGTCCCTACAGCATGTGGTTGACTGGCGCATATCTCGAAAAGTAGCAGGGAAAAGCAGCAAAGCACCTATATGAAACGAAAGATGAGTAATCACAGGCTAGTATCAGATGTTCATTCTTAGCCGCTCGAAATAACGTTTTTATAAAAGTCTATTTAAAAATTTAGATATGATTTTTATTTAGGTCTTGCAGCTGCTCGCAAAAAGCTAGCTTATCTTGCAGAAAAGCGATGCAATATGTAAGAATGTTGTTGGTACAGTGAACAACAGTGCCCTGAACTAGTCTGACAGAAAATTGCGTTCAAAACGACAACTGGTCAACTAATAAATATCAACTAAAGATTGGCATTAAAATCGGCGAATGTGGTGGCCACTAGCGGGTCTAAATAGTCTTGTGTTTGGTGACAACTGACCACCTCAATTTCGACCTTAGGGCAAAAATAGCATCAGAATCGTATGCTTTGATCAATTTGGGATCGAATGATACATATTTTGTATAAAGTGTGGAAAGTCACTCTTGCGGGTATTTCTAGCGCTTTTCCGGTCCGCCGGCCCAGCGTGCACCGCCCTGCAATAACCCGCCCACCGCCCGCTCTGCTACCGCCCACCGCCGGCCGCCGCCCACCGCCGCGCCGGCCAGGCTCGTACATAGATCGGGCCGACACCGCTGGCACGGCAGTACGAGTTCCTCTGGCTCCGTGCCACGGCCAGCCGGCCGTCCGCGTGCCACCGGCGCGGCGGCCGACGGGCGGCGGCTGAGCCGAGGGCGCTGGGCGGCTCGGCTGACCGGGCTGCCGAGGGGCGGCGGCTGAGCCGAGGGCGGTGGGCGGCTCGGCCGGCCGGGCTACTCGGCGGCTGAGATCAGGTGAACGGGCGGAGGGCGGCCGCAGCAGCCCGGTGCGGTAATGAACAGCTCTTGTACTTCGTCATTGGAATTCCTTGTCAATTGAATGAGTTTTTGAGGAAATAGCTGCTGTTTTTTATCCGTTATACCGATGCCTGTAGTTCGGTCGCAGCATGCAACAATAAATTGGTGTGAAACAAGGAACTAATGGTCGTTTACCAGCAACGATTTATCATCATTTGATAGTTTTTACAACCAGCCCAACGTCGCTTTATTTTCTGACCTTGGAAGTTAAGTGCGATGTTGGCGTTGCTCTCTCCGAACTGGTTACAGGCGTTGCACCTGTAGTTACCACCGTCCTCTTTGGTGGGGTTCGAGATCGTCAGCGTCAGCAGGTACGTGTCCTTGCCCGTCTCCTGCGGAAGGAAGCGGCTCAAGGTCAGATATAGCTCTGCTTTACGCCATATCCTCAGTTCAATAGAGCCACACCAGCTGTGAGTATCTACTATCTATGCACGAACTTGGCTTCAATCGAGTCTGTGTCTCCCCATAAGACCCTGTCCTCCCCTCCTGCGACCCACCTGGCTGGAGATGCTGACGCGCTGCGACTGGGTGATGATGCTGTTGCCGTGGTACCACGTGATGTCGGGCATCGGGTGCGCCTCCAGCACGCAGGTCATCAGCAGGTTGTCGCCCTCCTGGCGGATGGATGGCTTCTTCGGGAAGCGCGGCGCCTTCCCGTCGGGAATTCTGGGAGGGGAGGGGCGGTTAGCGGCCGGCGTAGGAACCATGGGAGGCTGGACACGGGGGATTTTGAATACGGTCGATTGCGAGAGACTGAATACGGCACATTGGATTTGGAAGGGAAGTCTGCCTTGAGAGAATGCGCAGCTAAATGTTTTCAAATTAATGGATGGTGACCATTTACAAAGTATGACACGTGTCGACAGGTCAAGTTATGTTTTGATTGTTGGGGAAGCAATCATTCTTGAGGATGAAATGGAATCGTTTGTAGCGCCTACATTTTCATTTTATTTCTGAGCATTGAGCATTATGGTAACATCTTTACTTACTTCGGTTTTCCACCTCCCTCAAAATTGAGGTTGATGGTCGCTTTGCCCTCTCCAATCTTGTTCTTCGCTATCGCTGTGTACTCGCCTCCGTCGCTTGATTCCACTTTGTTAATTACAAGTTTCACTAGATAATACAGTTTGGTGTCCTGGACAATGGACATGTTGTACCTACTACTCTCCTTTATATGAGATTTCCCGTGATACCTGAAAAAGAGAAGCTGATCAGTGGTGCTGCACATATCGTTCAGACAGTAGGTAAATGGGCGGAATAAAAGCAGTTTACTTGTGATGCCACTGCTCAGCTGAGATTGCTAAAAGCGTTCGTCAGTTGACTCATCTACTGGTTACGTAAGACTCTGGAGAAACACCACCCGGGTTTACATAACTAGGACGGCATTAGCCTAACGACGATATAGCTTAAAATCAGGAATGAGAATCTTTGAACGAACACCATGTTGGTCTCATAAATCGAAACCATGTGACGGTGGTTTCGGGGTCGCCGGCGGTAGCGTTACACCCACCATTTATATAATTGTGGATTTGGGGTAGGTAGCTCACCATTCGACGGTGGGTTCAGGTTCCCCATTCATCAAACTTTGGGCGTGGGGTCGCCATTCACCAGTTGCCGTTGGGTTTGGGGTCAGGGAACTCACCATTTGACTTTGGGCATGGGATCGCCGACCATGCGGCACTCGAAGGTGATGGTGGAGCCGTCGTCCGACTGTCGGATGATGGGCCGCTCGGTGAACGTGGGCCGCACCCCGTCCTCGGGTACCGGCGCGTCATCACCTGCGGCGCGGCGGGGCCGCAGCGTCAGCAGGGCGTCAGCGGGCGGAGACACACAGCGACGCTGGACACCCACACGACGTCAGCAGCCCGTGGGCCGCCGAAACGTATTGGTGGCGCAGTATTCATGTCATATCATATTTATTCAGTGCGATTTATATGCATGCCAACGTAACTACCGAGCGTTACGCTGTGTATGAAGAAGTCTAATTTGACTTGAACTTTTCAATAGGTATTCATTTCCAAAAGCATGAGTTGCTGAATTATCGTTGTTTCAGAGCCTAGCTTGTGTGATCTTTGGCGCACTCGCTAGATGGAATCGATTTATAAATTATCCGTCTTACGTGCGTCGAGTGTCATTAATCAGTGTCAACATTTCAATTTTATGATAATTGTGAAAAAAGTTTGCATCACCATGTTTAGATCAAATCTTATTGTCTCATCCCGCCGGATGGCTCCCCTCTGGACTTACTGTCGAAGTTGAGACTGATGGTGGCGTTGCTCTCTCCGAGCTCGTTTTTGGCGGTGACGCGGTATTTCCCAGCGTCCTCAACCGTCACCTGCAGAATCTCCAACATCGCAAAGTAGGCGTTCCCGTCTTTCTCAACCACCATCTGCAAAAAAAAACGGTAGTAAGACAAGGTGATTACGCTGTTCGGAATGCGATGACACGAGCGCTTATTTTCATATGATGCGATAGCAGTAGTGTAAAATCATGAATATCACTGGATACTGATAGCCATTGGATCTGATTTCAAACGAATGTGTATTGTACAATCTCAGAGAAGAATTCACTCAGTGATTTTCACTTTGCGTCGCTGTAAAATGAGTAAGATCCTGTGAATTCCGTTCAAAATAGCCCGCCTGCTCTAGCACTCAGCACTGTCACTGTCCTTGGCGGCCCCAGAAGACGAGCGAACGGGCCTCCAAAGGCCGCAAACAAACACATATCGCTCCAAAGGTGCACGCTCTATTTTCACGACCGAATTCCTCCGGCTCATTTTTTGCCGGCTCCTGATGACAGTGCTCTGATGAGCCTCATGACGGATCACCGGCCCCGGGGGGGGGGGGGCGGGCGCGCCATAGCTCTGAGCTGGCCGCTTGACTCAGACACTGGGGAAAACAGACAGCTTCATGTGCCTGGCAAGCAATTAGGAAAAATACAAACATCACTTGGCTGCAATCATGGTTTTGTTGACATTATCTTATTCTGTTTCCATTAGTTATCAAGTTTTCTTTAAAGTTTGCTGTGGCCGATTGAGTTGCTTTTTGTGCGTATTTCATAGTGTTCATCATTCTATTGTCCACGTGGAAGTGTCCGCCATTTATATATTTGGCAGAATGTCGCGATGAGAGCGTCAAATGAATGTCCGTCCTTAATCACACATGATGTCACCTCCGAATTTGGTGCCAGCTGGCCCTCTGCCAGGTCTCGAGCCGAAAGGGCGGTGACACACTTGTCAGCTTCGTGGAGATTCTGTGGTCAGCAATGCTCTCTAGTGAGCATGTCCTAGAATATGTGCTTTAGTAAAGCATGTTCGTTGATTCTCAAATTCACGGAACATCTGTTGCACATTGGGCGTAAATTAGCTTTATCATTCCTATCGGTAGGCTTGTAGGCGGGAGACACGGCTTGAAGAAGATTGAATTGATTTTTAGGTTCCCTCATAGGCTTCCTCATGGATACCGTCGCATTCCAAACAAACAGCTTTGAGTTTGACGGGTTGGATCGCATCGCATTGGAGCGCCGATTGTCTGAAACACTGCGGGACCTGCGCCTTGATAAGTGCCTCTACGGGAGGCTCCTGGGTCTAACTCTGGGCGGTGAGCAGTGTCTGCCGGAGCCGGATAGTTGAGCCCTGAGCAGTGTCCCCGGGACACGTGAACTGTTCGCGGAAATCCCACATGTAAGCAAAGCGGTGCCGCCGGCCACGGCACGGGACCCGGCGGTATCATAACACAGCGGGCTAAATTTACACGTCCTCCACCCATCATCCTGGTTCATTCGTGTCTCTCCTGGTAGCAGCGACTGCACTTAATCATAATTAAACAGAGGCAGATGAATGGGACGCTGGGAATAACCCAACAGCCGTCCAACCACTGTTGCTTTTGTGAGGAAACAAAAACGTAGGGTTTTATCGTGACTTGGAAGTGTATGAAACTGCTTCTGCTAGATATGAAACAAAACTAAATGAAACGTTTATGTAACTAAATGGTTCATAATTATCCTAAGGCGGTCGCTGTGTCACTCACCTTGTGCCGGGGGGGGGGGGGTCTGCACCTGTACTCGTCCCGGTACCCCCCTACCCTCCCCTCCCCCTGCGGTCGCTGTGTCACTCACCTTGTGCCGGGGGGAGTTCTGCACCTGTACTCCGTCCCGGTACCAGGTGATGGAGGGTCGCGGGTCAGCCAGTACCCGGCACTCGAACAGCAGGCGCTTGCCATCGTCCTCCTGTTTGATGCCGGGCTTCTTGGCGAAGGTGGGCGCGATGCCGTCGATTTGGCTGTGGCGCGGAACGTCAGGGCACGTAAAGTCACCAGACGGTACCGGCAGTTGGCAGCAATGATCGCGAACAGTGCAGTCAATCTGCTTTAATCCGGCAATTTGATACAGTTTATCGAAGTGAGGCTAACAAGAATGGACTAGATCAAGGCTAGACTATTGACTAATGACTTTGGTCGCAAGTAACAAAGATATTTGCTATAATTATGCAAAGTAGAACAAAATAGAGGAAAACAATGAAAAACAACAAAATGGTTATGTTTCAAATGCGCATTGTCATTGATGTCTAGAGTGAGCTAAAGAAGCGAAAAAATGACATGAAAATGATCAGGTAGTTTTTGACTTACCAAGTAAGCCACGAAAAAGAAGAAAGAAAGAAAGAAAGAAAGAAAGAAAGAAAGAAAGAGAGAGAGGGAGAGAGAGAGAGAGAGAGAGAGAGAGAGAGAGAGAGAGAGAGAGAGAGAGAGAGAGAGAGAGAGAGAGAGAGAGAGAGAGTGAGAGAGAGAGAGAGAGATACACATGCAGATGGACAGAAAAGATATAGTTCTTACTTCTTTAGCAGTGGAAACTAGTAGCAATCTAAGCATTGCCACGTTTTGAACATGCAAATATAACTAAGACACTAAGGATATGACGGCCTGCGTAGGAGAACGTGTTGAGGTACTTAAGGGCATGAATTTGTAGCTTTTGTACAATTCGTAGCACCAAACTTTCACGGTCTGCGTCGCTGTTTCTTCGTGATAGCGATGACTAATCGCACAACTTCTGATAAGTTTGGCTGAAGAACGCGAGGCTGCACTCCTGCCAGCGTCAACCTAACCTCATTACGATGGTCAACACTTGCAGCGAGCCTGAAATCGCCCATCAATTATGACTGATTGCAATTCAAACATCCCTTCGCTTCCCATAATCTATCCACATATGTTGCGCTCTGGCGCAGGTATACGTGTGCTGAGTGGTTCGGAGCCTCACGCGCAGCACTCACTTGGTCTGACTCCGCCCGGCCATGGCGGCTCGGCCGCGGCCGGCGTGCGTCCGCCCTCCGAGCGCGTGGGACTACCCTCTATACCGAGCTGCACCACCAGCCGAGGTCAGTTCGAACCGCTTCGATCGACACCAGATCCCGCCGGGCACTGGGACCGGCCTCCGCTCCGGACCTCCGCTGTGCCTCCCGCCGCACCCCGGCCCGGAAAACGGATACGTATTTCACTCGTTGGCCGCCCACCCAGTGAGTATTTATAAAGTACCAGCTAATGTTCCAGAGTCTCTGCCAGCATGAAGGTCACTGGTTCAGCATCAACAGCAGAACAAAACAGCACAACTGGAGGCCCGGGGACTGCCGCGGGTGGGGACGGGCGGGACCACCGGTGTCGCCCCGCAGAGTCCATATCGCCGGCGGTGGTGGCCCGCGGACGGAGGGCGGCGACAGAGCGCACTTCTGGCGTCACCAGTGATAAATACGGGCCGCTGGCTGGGCCTCCCCGTGCCAACAGGGCCGCTATCAGGCGCCGGTGCCAGGCAGCTTCCTGGCTGCAGGCGGCGGCTTCCTGCTCCATAACGGCCAGAAATATCAGGTTTACGCAGGTTATAGTAATTTGGAATTCCTGAGAAAACATCATCTAGGGGTGGCTTCATTTTTGTCCCAATCTTGCTTTGATCAAAACATTCCTCGTAGGTCTTCAATCAAACTTCATTCAGCTGCGGCAACACGCTGCAGGCTACTAAAGTCCATCACAACCTTTTACAAAGCGCACATTATATAAAGGAGCTGACTCTTATGATCATTCCTTCGTTGTGAGTTTGGGAGTCTGTAGCGCTCCGCTCCGGCTCATGCCTCCCCGCCTCCACCGTGTTGGTGGGGCGCCGGGCTGACAAAGCAGTGGTCCTGGCTGGCCCTGTCCCGTCTCAGCCGTGTCCTGGTTGGCACAGCTCCCTCCGGCGACATCGGCCGACCTTTGGACGCGCCGTCCGTCCGTCTGTCTGTCCGTCCGTCAGCCGGCGCATGGAACACCCCCGTGACGTCACCGGGTGATGTCACCAGGGGTCTGCTGTGTGATGGAGCGCACCACTGCAGACGGATTGCAGACTGGTGCTTGTTGATGCGCAAGATTAGTGCAGTTGCAGGCCACTCGAAGCACAGGTCTGGGAGTGTATGGGAGGAGATATACGGTGGAGGTATGACAATCTCCGTGTGAGTTATGGCCGCCAGCCCGGTCGGAACCGACCGCTCGGTATCGCCTGTCACCGCCGCCGCCCCGGGGCACAGTCACGTGACCGTAGTGGCGCGCGAGGGCCGGCAAACAGGCGCCACCGGGGCTAAGTATAGCTGGCAGCGCCGGCAGCGGCGGTGGCAGCGCCGGCTCGGCGGCCCTGCCAGCCCTCACCTGACTCAGGCGATCGGGCGGCAGGTGACCTCAGCCGGACACCGAGCCGCCGTCCCGGTCACCGGGACAGGTCAGCCCTGAGGTCTCAGACGGTGACCGGGCTGGCCGACAGTGGGATGCGTCGGCAGATTCCCGGGAGGTGGGATCATCACCCACTCAGCGCTGTCTGTCGTCAGGCAGTGGAGAGCGCCAGTGAAACAGCTGTCATTGTTTGCTCGACCCGCGATGTCGAATTGAGATTTGAGACGTGGATGACGGCATGGTGACCTGGCGAAGGACCTGCCGGGCGCGCGCCGGGCGTGTTTGGACCCTGAGTGTGTCTCTGAATCAGAGCGCTGTGTCCCTAATGACGTCCCGCGGCGGGACAGTGGAGGTCAAACACGTGGGCCCTGTGAGACAGCGGCCCTCGGCCTGCGGGCCCTGTCCCTGTCGTCTCGGCTGAATCTGCGGGGAGCGGGGCAGCCCACAACGCCAGTCTGTGGTGACCGGCGCGGGGCGGTGCCACCGGGCGGGCCGGCCAAGGGGGTGCTGGGGTGGCTGGCTCCCGCCGCCACCGCCGCCGCCCCCGCCCTCGACACGCTGGCACCACTCCACAGCTCGGAAAGTGAGGGCGCTCCCAGATATTGTGCAACAATGCAGCCCCACAGAACAGGCGTCAGGCACAAATGACCGATCAAATCGCTTGCCAGAAACCAGACTGAAATCAGCGGGAGCTTACTCAGAAATTAGCAAATCATGTGGCAGCTGTTTGAGGAGGAAGAGGAGGTTTGCTCAGGCGTGGGATAGATCAGCACATAGATAACATGAATCTATGATAACATAGATAGCATAGATTCATGTTATCTATGATCAGCATTGTTCAGGCATTGTTCAGTGTGGAAAGAAAGGAAGGATATTTGACATTGGTGTTGTTTTGAAAAAAGTAAGATGAAGTAAAATAATATAATCGACAGGATGCATCACATATGCATGCACAAGGCGAAGAGAAATACAGAGACAATAGGGCGTTAGTAGCGATAGATGAAGTATGAAAGTGGAAAGTAAAGAAGCGTGTAGGCCCAGGGCAGGTTCAGACAATACCAATTGAGCTTGTTCTCTTTTGCCTACTGTACCTATTAGCTGTATATTTTTTCCTGTATATTTATCTTGTTTCATTAGCTGTATTTTTGTATTCCCACCATACAAAAATACATACTTTTATGTGGTAACTTTGGAATAATGCTTAGCTCACCTGTCATCACTTGGCTCAGAGCTCCATGATGTCAGAGGAACTGAAAACGTGTCCTTATGAACTTGCAATGAATTTTGGGGGTCAAACAGGGGTTTCAATGGGACTTCGGCAAGAGGGCAGGTACTAACTAATTTGGTCGAATAAACATGGTTCATTCATCCAACTGCTTCAAGCAAGAAAAGTCTTTACCTGCCCGAGAGCTGGGGCGCTAGAAAAGAGAAGAATTAGGTCACATAGAGAGAAACACGTAGAAGTGACAGAAAAAAATACTACACATTAGATCTTACCGTTCGCTTGGTTCGTCCACGGCTGTAAAAGAACAAAATGGTACATTGAATGAGCATGCGATGTTTTAATGCCTCGTGGATTTTCGGCATGAAACCCAACATAAAGATCACATCTCGATCTGGTGCTAAAACTGATACATTGGCCGGAGCGAAATGCCTCATTTAATTGGGTTTAATTAAAGATAGAAGTGGTCAGTCATTTTTCATCTTTTTCAGATGTAAAATGGGTGAATGTATGGCCCGATTGTCACGCTAAGCAGTGCTTGTGAATGATACAAGATTCATTTTCAAGATTCATGCCAATTCACTTACATAACAAGTTCGCCATGGATGGTTATTTTCCGAAATATGTGACATCATTTTGTTGTGGTTTGCATGACACACTTTCAGTCTCACTTGTTCTTTTGCTCTATGTGTGTTCGGAAACAATTTTTTTATTATGAATCATCTAGGCCACTAGGTTCAGCGTGACGTGATTCAGCGAATGGCCACGCCGCGTGACCACCTCCCGCTCCCCAGCCGTCCCTCATGGGACCGCTGGGACAGCGCTCGCTCATCACTCCTCCCCACCAGTGTTCGCCACGGGCCCCAAAATCCCCAGCCCAGCCCGGCCCGGGCCCATGGGTTCAGAGCCCGGCCCAGCCCGTAGCCCGCTCTTGGCAAATATTCCAAGCCCAGCCCGGCCCGGCCCGTCAAAAATAGCAATCTAGTTATTGTCTTAGTCTATGGCTATAATAAGCATGATTGATTACACTATTTTGAGAACAATTCAAATTGCATGAATATTAACATGGCAATCATGACTCCCTTCTTTTCAATGAATATAATCATTTCAAGCACCTATGGCACAAATTTTAACAGTAACAGCAAGCACCTCAGTCAATTAGGTCATGATTACACACCTATAAAAAGTTTACATGATTATATTAACTACATTCTATGAGTAAAGTTATCTTGCAAGCTGATGTGTGTGAACATTATCATTAATAATTGGTGACTCTAATGCATACTTGAAGGAAGTATTTGCAACATACTCTATACTTCCCAGCACTTACCAGCAGAAAAAAAGCTTGACTTATGGGAATTGATGAATCTGTCTGGGATTGACCTTGCTGTTAAATTCACTCCATAGATGCTGCAATATCAAAAGCCTGAGAAAGCATACAAAATAGGTGACACTAACTTTAGCACTGTCTTCCAAAAAAAGAGAAAATCCATCCATTTATCAGCAAAACTGATTTAATCTATTTTCAATTCATGCCCACGTGTCAACCGAATCTCTGTGGACAACTATCTGCTACTTTCCTTGCTATTTTATGTTAGGCTCTTTTCAAGATATGGATATCGCTAGCAGCGTAAGCAGAAAACATGGTAAGCTTGAAATGTCATTGGGTACTTTTGCGACTTGTACGCATCATCATCATCAATCGAAAATGAGCGAACACTTCTTGATTGTCGCAGCTGCGGCAGGTAGCGATTCTGACGAATTGTATAATAAAACATATATGATCAAGTTTTTGTTTTGTTTTTCGTTCGAGTTTTCAGACTTCGTGATTTTGGTTTTATTTTTCATTGGTTTAATTTTGTTTTCACCTTGATACTCACTTAAAAAACGTATTTATTTGATATACTGTTGTGTATACTACCTAGATGCCGCCACATAAACATAGCGCCGCCGCCATGATTGCACATTTTGTTGAGAAGGGGCTGGTTTGTTGTGATTTATTTTGACAAATTTATGGACATTTAAAGAAGCTTTCATCGCGAAATACTCTGTAGAGTTCCTCGTTACTTACAGTGTGTTTTGTGAGTATCCTTTTAAGGTTCTGTTCGTTAAAAAGCCGTCGGTGAAGGAAAAAAGACTGTGTTGGAATTGTCTCACTATCGCCATATATAAGTGTTAACTTAATGTAGCCCTGTAGCCCATCATTGTTGAGTGGCTTCTTAGTTTTTGGAGTTGTAGTGCTAAGTAAGTTGTTCTGATGACTACATTTTAACTTTTATTAACAAACTAATGATGCTAGAGATTCTCTGATCTTTTTGGTTGCGGAATTTTTATGAAAACCCTCCTATGTGTGACATGATGTGATATTGGATAATTCTCAAGATTCCCAAAATTCAATATCAAGTAGGTTTTCTTTCACATTGCTTAAATTTGGTTTAGTTTTTGTATTTTCCCAGTGGGTTTTGTTTGCATCAGTTTCCAAATTTTCTTAAATTGACATTAGTCGCAAAACCCATAGTGCACAAAGTTCTTGGCCCGGCCCATCCATAGCCCGTTAACTAATGATATTTGGGGGCCCGGCCCAGCCCGTAGCCCAGCCCGGCCCGTGGCCCGTTGGGCTGGCCCGGCCCGTGGCGAACACTGCTCCCCACCCCGCCCCTCCCTCTCCAGCCCCTCTCCCGGCCCGGAGCACTCACGGCTGAAGTTGAGGTTGATGGAGGCGGCCACTTCTCCGCGCTTGTTCCGCGCCTTGACCTTGTACAGGCCGCCGTCGGTCTCGATCACATCGTCAATCTCCAGCACCACGTAGTAGAGGTCGCGGTCGATCTCCTTCATGCGGAACACTGTGCGCGAGTCCTCGGCGAGCCGCTCGTCGCCGCGCTGCCACTCAATATCCGGCTGAGGCCGGGAGCGCAGTTTGCACTCGAACAGCAGCCGGTTGCCGTCATCCTCCTGACGCAGCTGCGGCTTCTGGGTGAAGCTGGGCGCAAAGTCCTCTCCGCTGGCGCCCATGGCTGCGCCGCCGCAGCCGCCGCCGGCTCAGGGTCGTGTCACGGCCTGCCGGAGAGGGGACGGAGGTCAGAGAGGTCGAGTACCGTCCCTGTCTGCGACTCTGCACCCCCAGCAGCAGCGCGACGATCGGCCAGGCGGCGAGTTTGCCTGTATTGGTAGGCTGTCCCGCAACACATGCGTGTCTTGCGGCACAGTCTATAGCCGCGCGCGGCGTTGGGGAGCATCCATTCTGGCCAGGGTTCATAATGTCCAGGGTACGTTATGCCCAGTGTCGAAATGGCCAGTGCCTTAAATGGGCCAGAGTTCATAATGTCCAGGGATTGCATGGTCCAAATGCGGCCAACTGGCTGCAGATAGGGTATATTCAAAGAGGCCAGGATTCATAATGTCCAGGGCACGACGTGTCCAGTGTTCGAAATGGCCAGGGTTCATAATGTCCAGGGCACGATGTGTCCAGTGTTCAAAATGGCCAGAGTTCATAATGTCCAGGGCACGATGTGTCCAGTGTTCAAAATGGCCAGTGCCTTGAATGGGCCAGAGTTCATAGTGTCCAGGGATTACATAGTCACTGAAAGTGACGTCATTATGTAAAAAACACGGAACCAGCTCAATGCGAAGCAGTGCAGTGCCGAAGGCAATGCCTTAGGAGAGATTACAGGCAATAGTAAATCAAATATTTTTAGGTTAAGTGGTTATGTATCTGGCTTCAGGCCGAAGGCCTGAAGCCTGATGCATAACCACTTAACCTAAAAATATTTGATTTACTATTGCTTGCAATCTATTCATGCGAGAAATTATTTCCTTATCCCCGGTAGGCAAACATCATTACCTTAGGTTAGGTTAGGTTAGGTTAGGTTAGGTTAGGTTAGGTTTGGTTAGGTTAGGTTAGGTTATTTTAGGTTAGGATAGGTTAGGTTTGGTTGGGTTGGGTGGACTATGTAATCCCTGGACACTATGAACTCTGGCCCATTCAAGGCACTGGCCATTTTGAACACTGGACATATTGTGCCCTGGACATTATGAACCCTGGCCATTTCGAGCACTGGACACATCGTGCCCTGGACATTATGAACCCTGGCCTCTTTGAATTTACCCTATCTGCAGCCAGTTGGCCACATTTGGACCATGTAATCCCTGGACAATATGAACACTGGCCAATTCAAGGCACTGGCCATTTCGAGCACTGGACACATCATGCCCTGGACATTATGAACCCTGGCCTAAATAATACGCACCCGCGGCGTTACTGCGCATCCAGCGGGCTTGGCGTATGATGGATGATGCTGATTGCTGAAGTCACGTAAATGGTAAAGAAGAATTAGGTTAGCTACCATCACGCTCCAAATCATGTGATTCGTCATAATATCCCTTCCACCCACAATGATTGTTGTTCAGAAAAAGGTTCGGCTTGGCTTGCTACTGACGTGGGACTGTTCGGAAGAGACAGTTGTATAGGAGACACTTCTTTCTGTAGGTATTTTATTTTTGTCATAATGCTCACGTTTGAACGGCATCGCTGACTTATAACTATGAGCTATTGGTAGGTAGGGTCATGTTCGAACAATCAACAATGTCTATTCCTCGATTTACCGTCCACAACAGGATGTTACCAATCCATACGTCAGTGCACTAGGGACATTCTAATTTGATTGGATATACAATGAGCTATTCTTAGCGATGGGTATTTTGACGTGAATGTGACTCCGGCTCCGGATCGTATTTATAGTTTCGGCATGTTTCAGGCGGAGCATTTGTGTATAAGCGGCGTGGTTCCGCAGTGACAGCACCAGGATTTCATGGAATTTCAGGGACAGAAAGGCATAGCAAACAAAGGCCCGGTCCGCCTCGGAGTCCTGTTTGATTGTATATAAACAGCTGCTGGCGTATCACAACAGTGGTGCAATGAAGGCGTAGAACAGCAATGAGATAATCAAGCAGCAGGCAGTCGCGATGAACTTAGGTAATTATGTAAAGCTTATCAGCGGTTTTTATCTGTTGCATGTAGTTTTTCGTTGCGTAGTTTCATAGGAAATGCATCCTTTCATAAAGAGTCGCGGCCAAATGGACATCACATTTAGCTACTCATTATTCGTTGTTTCACTCCGAATTACATTTTTCATCGTGATGAGGCACTTTGCTTATCAACACACCAACCTTGCCACAACAAACATCCTAGTGGTACAGTCTGCACAGCAAGTGGCGTTCTGAGTTCATTTCTCATGGCTCTATTTGTCCAAACGGTACTTTCAAAATACTCGTTTATATTGTGTTTTAGTTGAGCTTCAAAAATTAGTCTGGCTCGTTTTTCCCTTGGTTTTCTTAGGTGGGTTACATAAAACGCTCAAGAGTGTTTCCCGCAAGCTGCTGTAAATGCACCGTTAGGAATGGCAAATTTGTAATAGAAATAGGACGTGCTATAAAATATTGATTGAAGGTTAGGAGATTTCAAACGAACCACTGCTCGGCGGTTAAGTTATCATGTTGATGAGGCTAGTCGCCTTGCAATGTGATTAGGGTGGATTTAATTATCGTAAGTGGAATGTGAAGGTGAAATACCGAAATACACAAAAATCACACCTGCGCCACAAAGTGCCAGTCCCAGCCTATGCTCCCAGCACCTATCCCTGCTGCTGCGTCCCGTCGCCCGGCCGCGGCCGGTGCCAAGAATTCGCGCGGCCGAGCCGGCGCTGCGGTGACGTCGGTGCCGACGGGACGGGAGCGTCGGCGCCGACGGCCGGGGAGCGGCTCCCTGACCGGGCGGGGCGCGCGCTTGACCAGGTCATGGCTGCCGCGCGTACTGACGTCACGCCTGGCTCCCCCGACAGTCGGCATGTGGCAGTGATAAGTCAGCGACGGTCGGCCATGGAAAATGTGTGAAACGGGAGCTTATGCAACGCAGTTTACAATGACGCTATTTTTACTCGTTAACCTCATACTGAAGGTCCCAAAATTTCAGTGAGAAAGCACATTTGTGTTTCAATGAGATAATTGTAAGTCCAAGGCAGTTTACCATAAAAAAATTATGGAATCATAGGTGCACAGTGCACACTGTAGCTTTATTGCTGGGTATTATCCTGAATTAGCGAGCATCAATGCTGCTAAGCTAGAAAGTACAAACTACAAAGTCTACTCGCGTTTTTCGCCTGATGGTTCACGTTCCAGCCCGAGAATCGCTCTGTGACCATTGGCCCCGGCTTAAGACCGAGACAGGAGCAACAGGTGGCATCACAATCCACAGGCGGCTGAAAGCTACAGGCTCGAGCGGCCGAGAGCTTTGGGCTTGAAGAGGCAGTTGCCAAGCTACTGTGAAGTGTGAGCCCTAGATGACAGTTGAACCCGGCATCTTTGAGCTACAGAAAACAGTGATAGGCTGCGGCAGTGAACTAAAGTCGGTGACAGCGTCCGGTCCGGTTCGTTCGGCTCTGGGGCTCCCCAGCTGGCACTCGGCTGGGCCACGGGGCTTGGCGGTATGTGCTGTTTGACACTGAACTGCCAGAGCCGAGGGCGATAAATTCGGGTTCGATGTAAATTGAAAATAGCATTCCTAACGGATGCTAGCGAACGGAGATAAACAGGAGAACAGCTGGAGGCATTATAGGAAAGGAGAAGTAATCAATGATCACCAGTTCGTAACGACAAAGTATACTAAGCCAGTTAGCGTTCTAAACGTCGCTGCGTTCGGAACTTTGCTGTTATGGCCTGCCCTGGCCAATCGGCTCCCCGCACAGGCCTGTCGGACTCTGCTCCCCCTCGGGCCCACTCACCACTCAGCTCTCTGTCTCCGGTCTGCGCAGCCCTCTCTCACTGTCCGCGGCGCTGGGTCGGGTCGGGTCAGGTCGGGTTCAGTGGTCCCTCTCAGCAGCTGCCACCGCCGCGCTCGCCGTGTCGGCTGTCGGCCAGACCGCGCCGCAGGCTGGCGCCGTCCGCCGGTCGGCCGCCGACACCCGGCCGCCGCTGCCAAGTTCCGGCGCCCCCCCCCCCCTCCTCCGCCCCACCCCACTGCAGTCAGCTGTTTGGGGCCCGAGGTGCAAAACAACAAACCCACCGGCCGGAGCCGAGCCGTGCAGTTGAGAGCCCGTCAGTGGCTCCTCCGAGACGGCCCGTCACTCAGTGTCACCCTGCCCACTTGCCCAGTCCGGTCCAATTTCCCGGGACTGGGAGCTGGCGCGCCGGGAGGTGTCCGCCCGGCTTCCAGGCGGCCCCGGAGCCGCTGGAGGGCGGCTGGTGGCCTTCCAGGCGACCTTGCCGGGACACCAAGGGTGCGTGACGCAACCATCAATCTCTCGCCGCCGCCGAGTTTGCCTCAGGGCCCAGCGGAGGAGGTGATGGTGCCTGGCTCAATCTGTTGGCGTTGGCTCGACGTTCGGCGGGACGTATTTTTGAAAACGGGCGAAATCGTGATAGCCTGCATGCCTGGAGAGCAGTGTTTGAAAACGGATATTTTCATGGCCGTCCCGATGGTAAACAAGACCTCAAAGAAGGGAAATGTTGTTGGAAACATCAACTAGCTCGGGAAGATGGCAGGAATGAAAAGGATAGATAGGTAGCGGAAGAAGGGAAGGAGCTTAGTCGTTTGCCATTTTCAAACGTTTGGATGCCGAACTTGAAATATCTTTCAAGAAACGCTTTTAACACTTCACTACGTGCATGAAGGATACGGTCATATTACTGCGAGAATCGGGCCACTTATTGCGACGCAAGCCTAGTCTTCGCATCCAATGGCTCGGGAGGGCCACGGACCGACCTCTGGAGGCCACGAAAAGGCGTAAGGAATGAGGAGGGGCCTCGTCCATTGAATGTGTTTTCTTTCTCCTGTCCAGCCTTTCAGGTTACATATGATGCGTAGCATTCGATCGCACAGATATGCGGAAAAGATGTAAACAGACATTGTTGATGGAAGTATACTTTCCAGAACGAATGCTTGCATGTTAGCTGACGCGGATAGAAATTTATCGGTCATTTGGGTCCAACGAACCGCCCGATGCCGATATTGTGAAACGACAGTGAATAGGTTTAATGACACAACGGTAGCGTGCGATTCCTTG